AAATAGATAAAAGAATATTATCTTCAATTTATTGAAAATATTTTAATATAAACTTAAAATTTATTTCTTTTTATTTTTCTTGTAATAAAATAAATAATTTCATATTAATTTATTGTAAAACAGATAATTCAATTCAAAAAACATTTTTTTTTTTAAGAAATTTTATAATTTTTATTAATGCAAAAATTTATTATAGTATTAATTAAATCTAGCTTTAATTAATGAGGATTGAAAGTATATTAAAATATAAAATGTATTAGAATAGCATTTTTTATACTCAATAATTATGTAATAAATTATAATATAAAATAATAAATTTTTATTATTAAGAGCTTGTAATGTTGTTTAAAGTTACTATTTTATTATAAAAATAGAAATTTTAAAGAAAAATTAGATGAATTTGCTGATATTATTTTTTTTTTTTCATTTATTCCTTTAATTGTATTTAAATTTTAATTTATTATGCATAAATCAGTTATAAATCAATTAGTAGAAGTAATATTAAAACAAAAAAATTTTAAAAAGTTTATTTTATTTTAAATTATTGATGGGTTTTAGTAGCTTAGATTTATTTTCACAGCATTTTTACTTTAATGTTGATAAATAGAATATTAAAAAAAGTACATGGATTGGAACTGCTACTACTCTAATAGTCATTATTGCTGCTTCTTCCTATTATATATACCTTCTCTATTTATACATCAATAATTAAATAGATCCCATATACAGATCTCAAAGCATCATCTCTTAAGAAAGAATAGAAGTAAACTTAAATTCTAATTTGTTTGCATTCAAATTTCAATACGATATCAATATAAGCTTAGATTAATTACAATCTCAAAATAATAAAACATATTTGGTTAACTATGCATATTTTTTTTAGACTGATAACTAAAATAATACATATATCAATCTTGATATCATAAAATGTACAGATCCTAATTTAAGTGATTATTATTGTTTAGACTTTTCTTAACTGCAGAATCTTACTTTGGCTTATAGTATAGTTGATAACATTTACTCTTATATAGCAATTGCTACTTATGGATGCTTAGACCTTGACACTATCAAAACTTCTATTCCAAATAACTGTGCAACTTAAAGTGAAATCGATTAAGTTATGAATGGGTATAATGCTGGAATGAGATTCAAATTGTTTACTTCTCAATTTAATACCTAAACTAAGAATGAATAAGTCTAATACAGGAATTCTTACACAATTAGTTAAGGAAATCAAATTAGTTTTTCAACATTTAGGATATAAAAATAATAAACTGTAGTAAATTAAGGTTTTCTAATATAATAACAGTCAAATTTTTCTTCTCCTATCCAATATAATTTACATTAATAAAATTTTGATAGGTAATATAGTATTCAAAATAACATATAATCTGGCTATTCCTTTGTTAAAATAGAAATGGATGAAATTATTCAATAAATTAAAATTAAATATCCAACTATCCCTGAAATATTAGCTCTTGGAAATAGCATTTTGACTGTTTTAATGTTCATTGGAATATTTGGAAGATTTTCTTCTTTTGAAAATATAAGAAATGATTTTTTTATGCTTTTAATGTAGAATTTATTTTAAGAAAATTATATGCACATTTTAAAAGCTAACAAGCTTGTAGAAGATAACTAAGAAAATAAATAAATCTTCAATAAAAAAAATCTTAATATTCAAAAAGAATAACTAGAGGATAGCGAATATAAAGATGATAATTAAAACTTTGTAAATCATAAGTATAAGTCTCAGAGAATAAAAACGAAGCAATAAATTGATCAATAGAAAATTAGATAGGAATTAAAAAATAAATTTGCTTATCAGAATTTAGTAATTTCAAATGTGAGTTCACCAAAATAAATCAAAGAATAAAAAGAATCACCTAATTTTAAAAAAGGATCATATAATTTTAAGGCTATTTTTAATGAAAAGTTTTCATAGGTTATTTATAAAAATTTATTCAAAATCAAGTAAGTTAATTTTTATTTTCCTTATTGATTGATAATTATTGGTTTTTAAAAAAGGTGTCTCAAAAAATCAGAATATTTATTTAACTAAGGACTAGACAAATATACTAAAAATTTCATAGAGGAACTATTAGTTAAAGATTTGAACATTTTCTAGATCTTTAAAGATGTTTTATTTTTAAAAAAAGCAATTATGATTTTATTAGATAATCAGTAGCTTGCAGCTATAAAGCTTATAGGTAGCTCATAGAGTTTCTTAAATTTCTAAAATTAGAGCATACAAACTTTGATAACATCCCCATGTAAATTTTAAAAAATGATCAAAAAGTTCAATTTATTATCTATTTAAATTTATTGAAATGACTTATATTAAAAAATAAAATGAAAAAAAAACAAGCCACTTTGAAGAGTAGTTTGCACTTTTAATGAATGAAGAATTGCAATATTAGAATATATAAAAATTCTTCTAAAAATGTTAAAATGAAGAGGATATGAATGAAGTAGATAAAAGAATATTATCTTCAATTTATTGAATATCTTATAATAAAAACTTAAAATTTATATCTTTTTATTTTAAAAATTTAAATTACATATTATTTTAAAAAAAACAGATATTTTAAATAAAAAAGATATTTTTATTTTTATTAAAATAGTAAATTTTTCCTTAAAAATAATAAAATAATTAATTATTTTTATTTATACATATGCAATCTTTCTTAAAGTTACTATTTTATTTTAAAATAATTCAACAAATAGAAATCATTAAAAAAAAATTAGATGAATTTTTTTATACTTTTTCATTGATTTTATGTTATCTAAATTTTTTTTTTTTTGTATAAGTAAATAATAAATAGATAAATTAGTAGAAGTAATATTTAAAGCTATAGAAATTTAAAAAGTGTATTTTATTTTAATTTATTAATGGGCTTTAGTAATTTAGATATATTTTCATAGCATTTCTACTTTAATGTAGATAAATAGAACATTAAAAAAAGTACATGGATTGGAACTGTTTCTACTTTTATAGTCATCATTGCCGCTTCTTCCTATTATATATATCTTCTTAATTTATACATCAACAATTAAATAGATCCCATTTACAGATCTCAGAGCATCATCACTTAAGAAAGAACAGAAATAAGCTTGAACTCTAATTTATTTGGGTTCAGATATGAATACGATATCAACAAAAGCTTAGATTTATTACAATCTAAGAGTAATAAAACATACTTGGTTAACTATGCTTTTTTTTATTACTTTGATAACTAAAATAGTACATTTATAAATCTTGATATAATAAAATGTACAGATACTAATTTAATTGATTTTTATTGTTTAGACTTTTCTAAACTGCAGAATCTAACTTTGGCTCTTAGTGTAGTTGATAATCTTTACTCTTATATAGCAATTGTTACTTATGGATGCTTAGACCTTGATACTATCAAAACTTCTATCCCAAATGACTGCGCAACTTAAAGTGAAATTGATTAAGTTATAAATGGTTATAATTCAGGAATTAGACTTAAATTATTTACATCTCAATTTAATACCAGTACAAAGAATGAATAAGTCAAATACAGAAATTCTTATTCATTCACATAAGGAAACCAAATTGCTTTTACAACCTTAAAAATATAGAAATAAGAAACTGCAGTAAATTAAGGAATTCTTATATAGTAACAGTCAAATTTTTCTTCACCAATTGAATATAATTCCTTTTATTAAACTCTTGATAGGAAATATAGTATTCAAAATAATATTTAGTCTGGTTATATCTTTGTTAAATTAGAAATGGATGAAATTATTCAATAAATTAAGATTAAATTTCCTACTATTCCTGAAATATTAGCTCTTGGAAATAGTATTTTGACTGTTTTAATGTTCATTGGAATATTTGGAAGATTTTCTTCTTTTAAAAATATAAGAAATGATTTTTTTATGCTTTTAATGTAGAATTTATTTTAAGAAAATTATATGCACATTTTAAAAGTTAACAAGCTTGTTGAAGACAACTAAGAAAAAAAATAAATCTTCAATAAAAAAAATTTTAATATTAAAAAAGAATAGCTAGAGGATAGCGAATATAAAGAAGATAATCAAAACTTTGTAAATCAAAAGTACGAATCTCAGAGAATAAAAACGAAGCTATAAATTGATTAATAGAAAAATAAATTAGAAATAAAAAATAAATTTGCTTATCAGAATTTAGTAATTTCAAATGAGAGTTCACCATAATAAATTAAAGAATAAAAATAGTCACCTAATTTGAAAAAAGTATCATATAATTTTAAGGCTATTTTTAATGAAAAGTTTTCATAGGTTATTTATAAAAATTTATTCAAAATTAAGTAAGTTAATTTTTATTTTCCTTATTGATTGATAATTATTGATTTTTAAAAAAGGTGCCTCAAAAAGTCAGAATACTTACTTAACTAAGGACTAGACAAATATACAAAAAAATTTATAGAGGAACTATTGGTTAAAGATTTGAACATTTTCTAGATCTATAAAGATATTTTATTTTTAAAAAAATCAATTATGATTTTATTAGATAATCAGTAACTCGCAGCTATAAAGCTTATAGGTTGCTCATAGAATTTCTTAAATTTCTAAAATTAGAGCCTACAAAGCATAATAACATCTTCGTGTAAATTAAAAAAAATATTAAAAGAGTTGAATATTAGCTCTTCAAATTTAATAAAATTTTTATATTATAAAAAGAAAATGAAAAAAAAAGGAGTCACTTTGAAGAGTAACTTACTCTTTTAATGAATGAAGAATTGTAATATTAGAATATTTAAAAATTCTTCTAAAAATGTTAAAATGAGTCTGATATGAATGAAGTAGATAAAAGAATACTATCTTCAATTTATTGAATTTCTTTTAATAAAAACTTAAAATTTACTTCTTTTTGTTTTTTGTAATAACAATTTTAATTCCTTATTAATTTACAATAAGAAAGATATTTCAAATAAAAAAAACATTTTTATTTTTAAGAATTTTTATTCTTTTTGTTAGTGATTTTCTTAATTAAATCAAAACATTAAATTTCGCTTATTGTAAATCGAAATGACATTTAACTCTATTTAAATCCATAAAAATTTTTTTATAATATATTTATTATTTTTAAAATATTACAAATAAAATTTCTAATTGAATCCAATTCACTAGATTTTTCTTTGGCATATTGCTATACATAAAATGTAACTAGTAGTTTATAATTATTATTTGTATTTTTCTCTCTTTTATTTATAAATTTTACTATTACAATAATAAAATCAAATAAATATAATAATTAACTATTAATTATTTTTCACCACATAAAAATTTAGAAAATTTCTTGTACTTTTTGTTATTATTATAAGTGTAAAAATCTTTAATTAGTTTAAGTGCTTTTGTAATCTATAAAAATATTGCAAAAGTGAAATTATTAGAATTAGTTTATTAGATACTCTAAAAAATTTAGAGCAAAATTAATTAAAGTATTTTGAAATTTCTTACTATCTATCTTTTTGAGACCATAAACTAATGAACAAGCATACATATGTTCATAAATTTAATTCAGCAAGTTTTTAAATCTGAATATTTTTCAATTTTAATTGTATTAAATAAATTTGTAATATTAATGATGAAATTCACATATTTAATTTATTTATATTTAGCATTAATATTAAATATCTAATTCATCCTTTTTTGACAAGTATTAATGAATATTTTTTCACTTGTATCTTACTTAATAAAAATTTCAAAATTACATAATTGAAATGCAAGATAGATAAATGGGTTTATTTTTATCTTGAAAATGTAAATTCTATAACTATTTAATGTACTCTTTATTTTTTATTTATTAAATAAAGATGCTTTCATGTTAATAACCGCTTTACTGGCTTTATATTTAAGACTAGTTTGAGATTAACTAATCTTTAAAAAATAAATCTTTTGTGACTATCATCTATTTGACTTAAAGTAAATAATATTTTTTTTGTTATTAATTTTTATTATACTTAATTAAATAGTAGAAGTAATTAAAAAAATAATAAACAATATTTTCAAACTTATATCCTTATTACATACAGTTGGCTTGGCTTATTGATGGGTTTTTAAAATCTAGATATATTTTCATAACATTTCTACTTTAATATTGACAAAAAGTAGATTAAGAAGGGAACCTTAATAGGAACAATTTCTACTTTGGTAGTTTTAATAGCTGCAGCTTCTTACTATTTATATCTACTGGATTTATATCTAAACAATTCAATAGATCCGATATATAGATCTTAGAATGTGATTACTTAAGAAAGAGTAGATATTAACTTAGACTCAAATATAGTTGGGTTTAGGTATGAATATGATTATAACAGAAGCATAGACTAATTGCAAAAATAGAATAATAAGACATACATAGTTAATTATGCCTTTTTTTATTATTCTGACAGCTAAAATAATTCATAAATAACTTTGGATATAATTAAATGCACTGATCCTAACTTAATTGGTTTTTACTGTATAGATTTTTCAAAACTTCAAAATTTAGCTTTGACTATTAGTACTATTGATAGTATATACTCCTATATAGGAATAATGACTTATGGTTGCTTAGATTTGGATGTTTATAAAACTACAGTTCCCAGTGACTGCGCTACTTAATAAGAAATAGATTAAGTTATAAACGGAATTAACTCTGGTGTGAGATTGAAATTATTTACATCATAATTTAATATAGCGACAAATAAAATGGAGGTTTCATATAGAAATTAATTCATTTTTACAACAGCTAATCAGCTACTTTAAACAAATTTAAAGACATAAAAACAAGTCACTACAGTAAAATAAGGAATGCTATTCTTATAATCAACAAATTATTCTTCTCCTATCTAATATAATATTTTCTTGTAAAGTTATGACAGGCAGTATAGCATTACAAATATAAATTGCTCTGGGTATAGCTTTGTTCAAATAAATTTGGATGAGATTGTTTAGGAAATAAAAGTTTAATATCAGACAATACCTGAAATATTAGCTGTTGGCAATAGTATCTTAACGCTTTTAATGTTGTTTGGATTTTTAGGAAGATTGTATTCCTTTGATTCAATAAGAAAGGATTTTTTTATGTTAATCATGCAAAATATGTTTTAAGATAACTTTATGAACATTTTGAAGAAGCAAAAAAATGTTATAAAGGTAAATGAGAATATAGAAAATAATAACGTTAGCATAAAATAGGAGAAGCTAGATCTTAGTGAATAAAAAGAAGAGGGTGATTACTTTAAAAATAAACATTACTAATCCAGGATTGTTAAGACAAAGTTACAGATAGATTTGCAATAATAAATGAAATAAAGTTTAAAAGAGAGACTCAGCTATCAAAACATAAGAAGTTCTAGTCTTATTTCACCACAATCAACTATTCGTACTAATGAAAAATTTAAGTTTGATAAAAGTTTAGAAAAATTTAAGGCAATATGCAACCAAAAATTTTCATAAATTATTTCTTAAAATATCTTCAAAAAAAGGTAATTTTAAGAGAGGTATTTTAATATATCTAAATTACTGTTTTTAATAATGAATATAAAAGGTTTCGCAGAAAAGAGGAATATTTGTAAAGCCAAGGACTCAACAAGCAGTCACAAAAGTTTATAGAAGATTAAATGATAAAAGATTTGAACATTTTTTAGCTGTATAAAGATATATTATTTTTAAAGAAGGCGATAATGATTTTATTAGATAAATAATAACTCTCAGCTCTAAAACTAGTTGGATGTTCTTAGAATTTCTTTGATATTTAAAAGGAAGGAATAGGCAACACTTTAAGTTTTCAAAGTAAAATTTCATAAAATAATATTTATTTTAATTTATAAAAATAATTCTAATAACAAGCAGCAAATCAGAACAAAATGAGTTATTTTGATGAATAATATGCTATTTACATCTCAGAAGAACTTCAATACTAACATATTTAATCATTTTTCTAAAAATGTCAGTCAGAAAAATACATCAATGAAATTGACAAAAGAATATTATCATCTATTTATTGAATATTGGAATAAAAAAGCCATTTAACTTATATTTTTTCAGTATTTTTTTAATTTATATTTATTATTTATTAAATATTTAGAATATTAAATAAAATTAATTAAAAAAATAAATCCATAAATTATAAAATATTTGTACGGGGTAGGTTATTAGTGAGTGACCTAATGAAAGTATATTAGTTTAAGTTTTTATTTTTCTATTATATCAATTTAAATTCAGAAAATTAATTCTTTTTGTCTAAGAATTAGATAGATCAATACAATGATTTATAATTTTGTTAATCTTTAAGTATATTGAATAAATAATTAATAAATATATATATAATGTTATTGTATAGCTTTATGTCTTGTGTTTAAACTAATAATAATAATTCTTTTTTTCTATTATCCATCGATTGCCTTTTTTATGGTAGAAATATTTTAAGATATAACGCTTTTAAAAAATAAATAAAAAATATAATTAATAATTAAATGATTTTAATTTTTATAAATATTCATTAATATGTTTTCAACTTTTAAAAATATATTTAAAAAAAATAATAGAAATTATACTCACTTTTGAATTAGCTTACATAAATTATATTTATAATTTATTAACTTATTTCATTTGAAACTTTCTATAAACTAATTTTTATGATTTTTAATGGTTGATTTCTATCTTTTACTAGCCACAAATTATGAACGACAAATAATAAATATAAATTATTATAGGAAACCACTAATTTTAAAGCGTAAGTAGTTGTTATTAGTATTAACATTCTAGTTTGAAGATAAAACAAAATTTATTAAAAATATAAGCTAAATTATATTTAAAATTGCTTTTGAGGTGAAGTCATAAAAAATAAATTATCTTATCAAACAAGTAAGATATATTTATTTAGCTAGATTAAACAAATAAAAAGAAGTAAAAAAATTCAAAAGAAAAATAAATCTTTTTAAAATAAATGATAAATTTACTCTTATTCACTTTGATCATTTTATTAATTAGTGCTAATGGAAAGAGTTTGAATATATTTATATTACTTTCTTAATACGAGTAGGACAAATTTAGTAGCTAGTCTTTACAATCAAACCATATACTTTTTTCTGAGAAAGAAGCTAAAAATATAGAAGAGAATGACTAAACCTTTTTGTTAGCTGACTATTACTCTTGTATTTTAATTGAGTTGTTTAGTCTAAAAGATGATATACTTCAAAGCATTGTATTTAAATAAGATATGTAGTAATAATTAATGTAAATTTTTTTTTTAATTTTTGATAATTATTTGAACAAATATAAAATCTTAAACATCTTACATATTGCTTACATTAACAGAATATCAAAATAAACGAATACATAAATTCAATAGTTTTCATTTCTAAATTTTTTATTTATATTTATTTTAGAATTAAAAATAATATGCACAAATTAATTTTTATTTTAAAATTTAGATGTTTAAAAATGGATTCAAGTATACTAATTCTTCAAGAAATTTAGTTAAAAAGTATTTAGATGGTTGTTTAAAATTTTAAAGAATAAATTTCAATTTCTAGAAATAAGATATTTTCTTAGTGCAGACTATTTGAATAAAAATCCAGCTTAATTTATTCATATGATGTTTCTGTGTTGAGTTATGAGTGTTTTATATGTGAAATTCAGGCAGGAAAATATTTTGAAATTCATAAAAAGCAATGCTATTAATGCCCCGATAACTGCTATTATTGTAATAACAATTATGAATGTTTATCTTGCATGCCAAACTTTTCTATGGTAAATAATTTATGCTCATCTTCAGAATTAATTAGCTAAAAAAGATAAGATTAAATAAAGCCTGATTGTATTTATTGTGACTGTAAAAAATTTAATTAAAACAATGAATGCTTATAGTGCCGCTAATATTGCGAGTAATTAAAAGAATAAACAGTTGAGGATGAAAGATAAATTTAATAATAAAAAATATCAAACCCCTTTATTAAAAGATTTTTACCTCAAATGTCTGTTTAATGCACTGAAAGTAATATAGGTTGCTCAAAATGTGTTTAATAATATATTACTCGTTTCCTCTTATAGAATCAAAGAAACCTTCAATTCCCTATTTTATGCTCAGAATGCTTTTCATCTTATTATTTTAAATCATAAACTTCTTAATGTATACCTTGTCCAGATGGATGCTATTCTTGCACTTCCAGTGGCTGTGTATAATGCTAAGAAGGATTTTTTCTTGCGACTGATGTTTGTTAATAATGTGGCTAAAATTGCAACTGCGACTAGACTAGCAGTTGTAAATCATGTTAAGAAGGCTATTTCTTATAGTCAACAAATGAAGGAAATACATGTGTAACATGTAACCCATCCAACTATGATCCAATTAATTTATAATGTATAACTTGCTAAAGCAACTGTACAACTTGTAAATCAATAAATAAATGTGTTTTGTGTGATTCTGGTTATTATTTACTAGGTATAAGTTCAAATACAAATTAATGTGTTCTCTGTTCTGAATCAGGTTATTACGCTGACTCTATCAATAACAAGTGCATTTAATGTGATAATAATTGCTCAACTTGCGATTCAACAAATAACTGTACTTCATGTAATTCAGGATATTTTTTATTAACAATAAGTAATACAAATTCATGTGTTAGCTGTTCTGGACCAGGTTATTATGGAGATACTACCAGTAAATTATGTATTAAATGCTAAAATAATTGCTAAGCATGCGATTCATCCAATAGCTGTATTTCATGCATTAATGGATATTTTTTATTAACATCAAGTAATTCAAATTAGTGTGTTGATTGCTCTGGACCAGGCTATTATGGAGATCCTAGCTCACAAAAATGTATATAATGTTCTAATTATTGTTAAACCTGTGATTCAACAAATAGCTGTACCTCATGTATTACAGGATACTATTTATTATCTATGAATGGTATTAATACTTGTGTTACTTGTAATGGATTGGGGTACTATAAGCAAGTAATAACATAAACATGCATAAAATGTCCGAATAACTGTTTAACGTGTGATTAAAAAGGTAGCTGTACTTAATGCATGCAGTTTTATTTTTAAAACTTAAATGCATAAAAAATATATGATTGCTAAGCTTGTAATTCAGATTGCTACTCTTGTAATGGAAATACAAACAAAGATTGCATTTAATGTACTAATTCTAAGTACATTGATACAATTTCTAAAATTTGTGTAATATGTGATACTTAAAAAAACTATATTTAAGGAAATTACTGTATAAAATGTGATAACTCATGTTTAGGATGTAATGGAGCTACAAATTAAAATTGCTTAGCTTGTAATTAGGGTTATTATAAAGATAACACTAATTCTTGTTAACCCTGCAATAGTACTACAATAAACAAATCTTAAATTGATTTACTAACATTAAGATGCTAAAAATTAATTTACAAATGCTAAATAAATCCTAAAAGTGGTTTACATGAAAATACTGCAATCTGTGAGAACTGCCAAGAGTAATTTATTTTATCTAATAATTAATGTGTTAATACTTGTGAAGATTTAGGAGACAAATTTGTATTTGATTACAATAAAAATACATGCGTTTGCTAAAATACTTATCCTTATTTGCATGTGAACAACTAAGACAAAATATTTTGCTCATAGTTTATAGTTAATGGATATTATTGTAATTCAAATAATATATGTTATGAGTGTAATAAAAACTGCCTTTAATGTTCAGATAGTAGAACTTGCATCTAATGCAACTAAAATTATTTTCTCTGGTAAAATTAGTGTTTAGAATAATGTCCTAATAATATGACCGAGACAGTTGATTCATCAGGTAATTTAAAAATGTGTGCTTGTGAGCAAGGATATTTTTATAGTACTTAAGCTCAACAATGCATTTAAACTTTACAAGTAGTTTCTATCAAGAAAAAATCAGATATATATAATAATTTGATATTTTAGCTAAATAGAGTTCCAATGTAATCTGAATTGTAAAACCTAAACTTAACTATAGATCAATAAAAGCTAGTTAAAGGAAATGATTATACCATTGAATCATATTAAATCTAAAATGATTAAGTAGTATTTAATGTATAAGTGCCAAAAAATAGATAAATATCCAATATCAATATATCTTCGAATGAGCTAAATTTTTCATTTAAAGTGAGCAACATAATTCTAACTACTAAAACCTACAACTAAAGCTCAAAATACACTGATGGCTTTAGCTAATAAATGAATTTATTTAGTTAGACACTAGCTCCAAAGGATGACTCTTAAAAGGCTTTGTTATTTATTTTGAAAAACTTCTAATTATTTTGCTTTATGTCAAATTTCATTTAAATATTTGGTGCATTGATTGTTGTTAAATAATATCTACCTACCTAACTCTAAGACTGCTTCATTTATGGGGCTTCTTTTATATTTGAAAAAGTTCCATCATCTGAAGATATACCTATATTTTAAATTAACTCAAGTAAAATTGATCAAAACGAATAAATATTTTAAAGTCTTAATCTTAACCTTAATATTTTTAAAACATGTGCTATGACTCATGTAATGATATTGTTGACAATTATAATATGTTCTCTTTGTGCTTTAGCTAGAAATATGATGAAAGGAAAATAGTACACAATTTAAATTGTCGATTTTTTGACCAATCAAATGTCTTCTTTTTAATAAGGTTTTATAACTATAACTTTGTTTAGCATTTATTATTCAATGATTTATTCAACTGAGAAAGGTTTTTCTATAAATTAATTGATATTTAACATAATTTTCATAATCCAAATTTCCATAAGAGTATTTTTGAAGGATGGGAAATATGTTTTAACTAGAATTCCTAATTTAGTTCTTAATGTCTAAATATAAATGAAAGGATGGCGAACATATATTGTATTAAGCTATTTAAAAAAATATGCTTGTATTTTGATCATATTAATGTTTAAAAATAATCCAAAACTGATAATTGTTGCTTTATCTGTCATATTTTTTTGCTTCTCAATTTATCTAATTTACTTTAGATTCTTTGTAAACAGATTTTTTACAATATATAAACCCATTTAAGAGCTCTTTATATGCATGGCATTTATTATATTTTACATAAGCTTAAACTATTATGATAGTATCATAAATGAGGAAACTATTAATGAAAATGACTTAAATAAATTAGATTTATACTGTTTTATCACTATTTTGTTATTTCAGCTTTGTTTATTGCTAAGTACATTTCTTTTTATAGTCAGAACTATAATAACTATAATAAATATATACCACTAAATAGTAGATTATTTAAAAAATAAGAATCAAACAGCATCTAATACATCTGAAAAGTTAGATTTGCTAATCACAACCAGATAAATCTAATTATCTAATATCAGCTCATTAGCTATAAAAATGAATAAAAATAATTTATCAAAAAGCTTTAGCTTTGAATAGTAATAAGGCAATTAGTGAAAAGACTAAAACCTTATTTAATCTTTAATTGCAACTAATTCTCTAAGTTTTCAAGAAAAAAAATTTAATTTTAAAAACAAAAGATTAAAGACTATTTAAATCAATAGTAAAACAGATTAAAAAATAAATAAGTATTTAATTTTTGAGTTGGAAATTTATTTTCTTCTCAATTATATTTCAATGCAAATAACAAAGGTACTTACATTAACATTTGTTTAATTTAAGTATTTATTGATAATTAATTAAATATCTATAGTTCTTGATAATATTTCAATTATAATTTCATTAATAACACATCAATTAAGCTAATTCTTTTAAATATTTAAGTATTTTTTAATTTATGAATCTAATATTGCTTTATTGATTGTGGTTCACTTAAAAATTATAAATTTTAACCTCTAATTGATAAAAACCCCACCAAATATTTAATAATTTGTAGCATTTTAAAGAATAGTAAATAAATAATATAAAAAATTTATAATAAAATAAAATTAATTATGATTTAATTGCTAATCAAAAAATTTAATATCAATTAATAAAAAGAAAAGAATTTTTATATTTACAAACAAAGTACACAAATCCTCAGTAAATTTTTTTATAAATAAATGAAATCATAATATCTATTTAAAAATTAATTATGAAATTTTAATATTTTGATTATTTGGTTGAAAATGTATTTGTTTGTTTATCTGTAAATATTAAATAACATTTGATTCTTTTTTTGGGTAAAAAGAATATTTACACTTTTATATTTAAGATAAAAATCTGTTTGCTAATGTGTAAATAAAATGAGAAATTTAAATATTAAATTTAGCTTTAATTTGAAATAATTATTTATATATTATGTTTTTTACATAGAAGTATAAAAGCAAAAGAAAGATATTTATTTATTTACAAGAAGAATTTGATAAATTATATTTATTTTGGTAGTTTTTGTTGTTTGTAATTTATTAGAATTTCCTTTTTAAATAGAAAATTCATTTATGAAAATTATTTTTTCAGAGGGCAATTAACTTTTATAATTGGTTATTTGTGTTATTTTTTGAGAGATCGTCCATTTCAATACAGTTTTTGCAGTTATCTTCCTCAATTTCTTCAAAGTGCTAGTTTAAATCAGCAGATTATTTTTTAAGCTTTGAAATAGGGATTGCTTAATTTGAGTGCTTGCTTACTGAAGAGCGACGCATAGAAATAACAGTTGCAGTGGAGTTTTTATTAAATAATTTAAAGTTTACACTTGCTCTGGCAGCTACTAATGCATAAATTCCATAACCTAAGAATTAGTTCAATCCATTCTTTTCCATAAAATACTAATAAGTAGGCAAAGTAGAAGTTATGGACATATCAAACAAATTAGCTACAGCAAAAGAAAATTGATGATATTTTACTCTGATTACCTATCTCTAGAACTCAATAACAATGTTCCACATAGTTTCATGAGTTCCCTTAGCTACAAGGACTGGAAGAAGAGATGCTAAAGTTTTTAATATGGGAGAGTTATCACTAACCCAGGCGTCAAGAGCAACACTCAAAATGTAAGAGAAACCCATCACATAAAGGCAGGCCATGATAGTGTTTTTCAAAGAAAATCTGCTCATAAGCCAGACAGCAGCAATATTTCCCAACAATTCAAAAACAGTAGAAACTGCTAAGTTGAGATACAAGTTACCTTCTAATCTGTTCATAGCAATAACACATCCAACAAAACTTACTCCTACTACATTCCAAACAAGAGACCAGATCATAATATTGTTGCGCTGAGTGACATCTCTCTTGAACATCATGATGTTATCCTTTAAAATTTCAAATGAAGTCTTATCTTGGTCTTCTTTACTTATTAAAGTGTCAGGATTTAATTAAGGTGTTTGGTGGTGTTAATTGTTATTGTTCTTTTTAGAATTTTTTTCTACATCACTGCCTTTCTTTGTATGATTTTAATAAGGATTTGACACTAATTGGTCTTCATTATGTAGCATTAAAACTTAATGAGCGAAATCATTATTAGTGTTGTCTTTTCCTTATTATTGTGTTTGATAATTCATAGTATCTTGATAATTTTCTAAGAGGGCAGTCTCAAGATGGAGTTGCTCCTATTATATTTCTAATTTTTATATCACTCTGTGAATGGCGAATAGGGAAATACCCAATATGAGGTTAGTAAATCCAGTAAAGTAAACCATATTACTGCGCCAGTGACCATCAAAGTATCCAAATAAGATATGAGTAAGCATGACAACTGGCCAAGTTAGATTGAGGTAAATAACAGAGTTTTCACTCATTTTGCCTTTGAAGTGCTTATATGTGTAAGAAAAAATAAGACCGATTAAGAAAGAAAAAGAACCAAACCAAAGGAAAAAGGAGATAGTCAAAAGGACAACATGCTAATAAAATGCAGTTATGCTTGTGACAATACCAATAACTAAGATAGGAGTGTATACAGCATAATGTTCGTATTGCTCTTTAATAGGGAAGGCAACAAGCAAAATATATGCAACAAACTTACCAACATAACCACTAGTCATAATAATAACTTCATAGAACTCACGATCCCCATAGAGGTCGAGAACCATAGGAATACTTGTAATTTATGGATATTCGTCAGAGAAGTAATACTCAGATGGATTGCTCATATCTGGTATTATCTTTTAGGGACGATAGAAGAGGATAGGGACATTAGTGAACTAGGTTCCTCCCATGCCGTAAGCAGCTAAAAGGAGGATATATTTAATTAGAATTGCCAATTCAAGATTTTTGATCATTTAGTCTTAATTTTTAATTATTTTTATCTGAATAAATTATAAAAAATATCAAATACTTTCTTTTTATTTATTATCAATTTAGAACAAATAGTTAGTTAGTTAGGATATTCAATCAGATATAATCTTAAAATAAGTTTAAATCTATTTTTGATGAATACAAAGATAACTTTTAAGATATCTAGTAGTTTATTAATTAGAGTCTTAAGGTTAATCCAACAAGATAAAAACAATTTATTTGATTTTTATTCAGATATTGAAGTTGCCTCAAATATTTTTTTATCAATTTATTATTTTTTAATTTATTTTAATAAGCTGGACTGACCTGCTTAATCTATTAAATGTGTATGTTTTGATTGATTGATAAGACGAAGTAAGCAACGAACGCTGTTGCAGTTTTTCTTTACCCTTTCAAAATTAAATTTGCCTTGATTATTTTACTTTTATAATCAATTGATCTGGAAAAAAGGAAAATTAAAAGAATAATCTCGACGAAATTAAAAGCTTTCAAGGTAAAAAGATTAATTAAATCCACCTTTCTTAAGCATTTGAATTTCCAAAAACATTCGCTGTTTATTCTTTTTGTAATTAAATATCCCCTTTGATAATAAAAAGTAAAATTTCTCATAACAAACAAAGCTTAACTTAAGCTAACATCTCCTTTAAATCTTAAAGTCCTACGAAAACAAACAAGCTAGTTTTCTATTTATTTTAAACTTTTTCTTAACTTGTAAAATATTTTAAAAAATAAACCAAGTTATAATTTTTAGATAATTTATTTTTGTAAGCTTATCAAATTAAATTAAAATAATTTTTTTTTGTTCCTTCTTAAAATAACTTAGATATATTTAAGAGTTATTTTCTTTATTTGAATCATTTTGTTTTTGTTTTTTGATTTTGTGCTATATATAGAAATGCAAGAGCATTATGTATTTAAACATCAGTTCTCTTGATTTAATTGACTGTAAATCTAAGTAAAATATGTGAGGGTCTATTTTTTATTGATTAGACAAAACATTATTTTCAATCTATATTAATTTTGTAGTAATGCATAGCGTACTTAAATTTAATATCTCATATATTTGTGACTTAATATAGTGACTTAACAAATACATCATTGTCATAAAAAATTATTTATTATGATAACTATTGACAGCTTATTGCTTTAATCAAAAGCTATTTTATATGTTATATAGATCCTTTTTTATTATAATATTATTTAAATGAAGATCTCATTTTATTTTACCCAATCAATCAATATACATTTTTACAAAAGCTATTACTCTTTCTTATATTACTTATCTAAATTTACAGTAAGAAAATATAGCACTTGACTGTGTTCTAGGAGAATAAAATTAATAATTAGCTAAATAAATTCAAATTCTTTTCAAATGTAAAAATCATGGAAAAACTCTTTTTTTAAACGTGTTACTTCCTATTAAACTTTAATTTCTTTCTGTTTTCAATTTATTACCATGAAGTTATACTTAATTAATTTTAGTAAGTGTTTTTTTCAATCAATATTTTTAATGTAATTAAAAATTTTTAAATTTTAATTTCAACATATATCCAAAGTATAAAATAAATTTTTATTTTAACCCTTTACATTAAGTTTTAATTTTCTCTTCAACTCATTCTAAAAAGTAAACATATTTTAAAATTACTTCCTAATTTAAGATCAAATCATTCATTTACTTATAATGTCTTGAAAATGTTTAATGACTAATTTTTATTTGCGTTGAAAAAAATTAATTTACTTTTTTTCAAAAACTTGCTTGCTTTTGCCCTAGGACAAAATTCTAAAATTTCAAATTATTTTTGTACATATAAAATTAATAATCAATATCTCTTACAGTTTAAATCACTTAAGTATCTTTTTAAATATTTTTGTTTCTTTTTCAAAATAGAAATTATCTACACTATTTTCATATAACTAATTAACTATACATTTAAAATTATTTTTATTTATTCAAATTTAGTTAATTATTTTCTTTTTAGATTTTAATATCTTATTCTCATAAAAATAATTAGATTTTGATTTTCTTGCCCTCTTTTTCCAAAAATAGTTTGAATTAGACTTATTTTAGAACTTGCTTAAAGAAGGTTATGATGTTGCATTGATTATTTAAAATCCGCTAAAATATTTAATATTTATTTTATTGAAATAATGTAAAAGTAAGTTATAATTTATTTTTAAAATAAAAAAATCTTAATTACATCATTTTTTTTATTTAAAAATCATTTTGAATTTAAAATACTTTACAAATATAATTATGTTAAAAATTCATATTATGATAGGAATTCATATAAATACTATCTGCCCCTCCATTTATAAATCTTTACTTCTTTAATGCTTTAATATGTTCTTATTGTATTTTTATAATATAAAAAACAGTTTTAAAAAATATTTTTATGAGTTTTTGCTAATTGTCTATCGATTTTGAAAAGAAATAAAAGGAAGATCATTTTTTAATCAATAAATTTTAAAACCCATAAAATCAAATAATTTAATTAAATAAATACCTTGTATTCTCATTAATTAATAATTTTGAAAAACACTTTTATTCCTTGATTTAATATATATTTTCAAAATTTTTTAAATTTGAAGTATTTATTTTTTGACTTACTTTTAGAAAATATTTGGCATTTATTTTTTTAATAGTTTAATTATTTACTTTTTTTCAACAATACATTTAAACATTTGGAAAAGAGCTCTTTTAGATGTTTTTATTTTTTAAATTGAAATATTATCTTTCTTTATGAAATTTTTGTTAAAAAAATTAATTGGATAAAACGTAACTAAAATATATGTTTGAGATTTATAATTCATTAAAATTAATTAATTGAAAAAACAAATAATATAAAATTATTTTTAAAGATTTTAATGTAATTAATTAACAGGATAAATTAAAATTTAATATTCAGATTTTTTCAATTAGCTGTTTAGTTAAAGTTTATAACTCTACATCTTCATTAATATTTTTTTCTATTTCTTTTGCTAAATCTTTTTTCGATTCTTATTCCTCATATTCTGGAAGAATTTTAAATTTACTACTGCAAAAACCAGCAAGTAGAGAATAGAATCCATATCCTATGAATTGGTTAAATCCTATTTTTTCCATAGTGTATTGATAATAAGGTAAACTACTGTGAATGATAATATCAAATACATTTCCGAATGAGAAACTAAATTAATGGTATTTAATATCCATAATTTACTTTTGAACTTCTAGGAGCAAGTTCCACATAGTTTCATGAGTAGCCTTTGCTACAATAACTGGAAAGATAGAAATTATAATATCTAGTAAAGTGTCTTCCTCATTATTTTTAAAGGAACCTGTGTTGAAAAAGAGAAAAGATACATATGATATACCAATAATATAGAGATTATTGACTATAATATTTTTAATTCTGAAGTTCTTAATGCAGTAAATTGAAATAATATTTCCTGCTAATTCAAATAAGGTAGAAATAAACATATTGAAGAAGATATTTCCTTTCAATCTGTTTAATGCTAAGACACATCCTATGTAACTGACACCGCAAGCACTCCAACATAAACCCCAAATCATGATGTTATTTCTAATATCTTTATTTTAATATATTTCTGAATAAAGCTTCTTTAACATTTAAAATGAGCTTTCTTCATTTTCCTAATCTTCTTTTTATTATTGCTTTTATTTCTCATTCAATTCTTATTTATTATGATTTGCTTAATTTTCTTGGTTGGAATTTACTGTCTAAGATTAATTTTAATCATTACTAGTATTACCTATTTATTATTAAGATTGTTCAAATTTGTTAATCTAGCTCTACTAATTTGACACTTCCTAAATTTATCTTTAATACATATTTTCATTTGTATCGATGTACTTTTATAAGTAAATGAAAATTATTCCTATTGATAAATAGAGAAATCCTGCAAAATAGATTAGATTTTCTCTCCACCCTCCAAAGATTGATTCATAAAAAATGTGTAAAAGCATAATTATAGACCAAAAAGTGTTCAGGAATATGACATGATTATCTACTATTTTTCCAGTAAAATGAGAAGGCACATACGAGAAAACTTAACCAAAGAAGTAAGATGATGCTCCAAAATAAAAGAAGAATGAAAATACAAGCATTAAAGGTGATGAATAGATCTAAAGCAAGGTCAAAGACACTCCTATAATTAATATTGGAGCAAAGAAAAACTTGTGAGATTAACTCTTTTTAATTGGATATAAAATTAAAATTGCATAAGCTATATATTTAGCAATGTAGCCAGCTGTAAGCATATAAACTTCCCATATTTCATCATCGCCATACAAGTCATACTCCATAGGAATACTATAAATGTTAGGGAATTCATTATCAAAAAGAGGAGGTCCATTTGGATCAGGATTAATAATCTTTTTAGGTCTATAAAAAATAACAGGAACACCTGTATATTAAACGCATTGCAGTCCATAACAAATGACAATTAATACGAACTTAATGACTTTCGCCTTTTCAAAGTTTTTTAAACTCTTAAATTCTGCTATATAATTCATACTATGTTAGTTTTATCTACAAGCTATTATAAATTATGGTTTTTGTTTAAAATAATCTGCTACCTTTTAAGAATTTGTATTATTTGTTTACTTATTAATTAATTATAAAATTCGTTTAGTAGTATTTTGATACCTACAATATAAACGATACTTGTTTTGATATCTTGAATCTTAATTTAATTTACTTCTTAAAATACCTATGTTGTATTAAAAAGAATTAATTTTATAGATTTAGTAAACATTAAAGCATATTGAGTGAATTTTTTTATAGAACCTACTATTCCTATCGAATTATAAGATATTTATGGCGTCATAATACTAACTCTTACAATTATTTGCTTTTATTCACATACAATTCATAAATTTTCTATATAGATAAAAATAAAATACACATTAATTAATTTGAATTTAACTTTTAGGAAAATATTCATTTTTTAATAATATTGTTTATTTATCTGTAAATTTTATTTGTCTTCCTACATTTTTAAATAAATAAATAAAAGAATTGCCTAGTAAAAAGGAAAAAATCTGGAACAAAGATTACTCAGTATCTAAAGATAAGTTGAGTTAATTCCTAAAACCGATTTATATTAAAGTCCAAAAATAACAATAATTATTTTATAATTTTTAAGGATTTTTTGATATTTTGAATTTGATTATTTTTAAATATTATTTAATCGTTTATAAAGATAGCTATTATTTTTTACATCAGTAAATAAATATATTTACTGTTAGAATTAGAAATTTTTTCATCTTAAGAATTCGTCTGAAGTGATATAAATTAATTTTGTCTTTTAAATATGAAACTTTTTTGAAAAATACTTCCACTAAAATTTCATTTTTACTAAAATTGTGTTATTTATGCAAGTTGTAATATCAGTTTAAAAAAAAAGAAAATTTTAGATTAAAATCACTTTTAGTAGTAAAATATCGAATAATTATATATTAGAACGGCGGTGATGTAAAAAAATTAACTTAAATTATATTTTATTTAAAAACATTACACAATTTTCAAAAAAAAATTTGGAGAGAATATTTTAGGATTTAAAAAAATTCACCAAATAATTGATTATTCATAATAAACAAAGTAAAAAATTAAGTAAAACAAAAATAATCAAACAAATAAATAAGTAAATAATTTATCTATTTTAGTTTGTTTGATAAGCTTTTTGTGATAATTAAAAATTGAAAAAAAGTGTAAATACGAATGCACTTAAATAATTTTTATATATGAGGTATAATATATGTAACACTCATTTAAATATCAGTAAACAAAACGAACAGAAATGTAATATGGATTGAATAAAAAAGCTAAATTTATTTATAAAATATTATAATAGAAATAAAATAGATTACTTAAAATGTTAGTAATATTTAACGTATGAAGTATATTTAGGAAATCGCCAGAAAATAGATATTGAGAATTAAATATTGCTTCTGAATGCATATTGATAATTAAATATTGGTTCTGCATACATATTGATAATTTAATATTGGTTCTGCATGCATATTGATAATTAAAAATTTGAAACAAATAAAGTGTAAATACAAATGCACTTAAATCATTTTTATATATGATGTATGGTGTATGTAACTCTCTTTTAAATTGAAGTAAACAAAACAAACAGAAAAGAAAAGTAGATTGAATAAAAAAGCTAAATTTATTTATAAAAAATTATAGAAGAAATAAAATATATAACTTAAATTGTTAGTAATTTTTAATATATGAAGTATATTTAGGAAATCACCAGAAAATAGATATTGTGAATTAATTAAATATTTTTTCTGTGTGCATGCTCTAGTTTCAGAGATATTAGGTAAGTGCTTGTTTATTTTATAAAAAGGAAGAATATCAAGCAAGGGTTTCTTTATTAAAATCAAAATTTATTCATAAAAGAATATTATTAGAGTCCTTGTGCTTTGTTCATTCATTAGTTATTTTCTTTCATAATAACGTTAGAGTTAAATGGCATTTCTGTGTTATTTTAATTATTTATTTAGACATCCATTGGATTATTTATGAAGTTGCCATTCTTCAATACTACTACACCCTTAGGGACGAGACTACCTCTTTTATCTTCAAAAACGATGTCATAAACCTATTTATATTCTTTAACGAAGTAGATTGTCAATCCATCTAAGAGAAGTCTAGGGAAATCATGGACATCGCTCAAGTTACTGTAAGGACAAATAATTTGATCTATGTTTAATGTTTTAGCAGCTATAATCTTAGCTTGAAGACCACCTTATTAATTAATAATATTAAACAAAATTAGAAACAATATGAATGATTATTTTTGAGTATTTACCAATCTTGCATACTTCTCCAGTCAATGATAATTCACCAGTCATGGCAATATTAGCAGGAACTGATTTACCCATAGCGAGAGACAAATAAGCTGTACAGATGGCAATACCAGCAGAAGGACCATCTTTGGGAATGGCTCCAGACATAAAGTGAATATGAACATTCTTTTCAGATAGGAGCTTCTTTTTATCTTCCTTCAAGAAATTGAAGGCATTAATTTTTGCAATAGTCAAAGATTCTTACAAAACTTATTGCAAATTACCGCTTGAAGAGAATGTTCCTTTTTTTTCCAATTGAGTGCTATCAAATACACATTCAATTTTCATTATATGACCAACAAAACCACCAACACTCATGATATTTACAATACCTAATTTAAATGTAGAAAATTATTAAATTTTAATTAATATTTAAATTCTCTACCTGGACCAAAGACGACTGATTAACGAGAATCTAATTCAGCATCAAATCTTGGAACACCCAAGTATTTTTTAAGAATATCCATTTAATTTGTAGATTATGTGAGATCTAAGACAGGTAATTTTAACTATTACACTGTTTAGTCACTGAGAATTGTAGGATAAGAAACTTCCTAACTAATTTCTTTTTTGACAGCGTTATTGCTCTATGTTTCTTCATTTTGAGGAGCTGTTGTGTTTACTTTTGATAATATTTCAATTATAAATTTTAGTTTTAAGCTGTTAAAATAAGTGTATTATTTACCTTGAACAGTCTCGCTATTATTGTTGGCGTTTGTCTAAGTAGTTTAACGAGTTTATGTTTGTTATTCTTTAAGCTTTCTTTGTTATTCTTCGTATTATTCTTTTTCTTTTTGATTTGCTGCTTATTATGATTGTTGTTAGAGCTAAACAAGTTCAGGGTTATTTGTTAGGAGTTCAACTGCATACTTTCTTGATATTGTTTCAAAGCACCTCTTCAAGCTTCTAACACCAGCTTCGTCATAGCACCAATCTATGAATTAATTTTTTCAGTTAGAAATATTTTTTAAATAAAATAGAAATTACTCTTTATGACTTAAGAAATGGTTTGGTCGTTGTATTTAAAAAGGTTTTCGTTAATACCATTACTCTTAATTGCCTTTGGAATAATAAATTTCTTGCTAATTTATAGCTTTTCTTCTTCAATATATGCAGGAACGTCAATAATTTCTAATCTATTTTTCAAAGGCTCGAGCATATTCATAATATTGTTTGCTGTTAAAATGAAAATAGTATTAGAGAAATCGACCTTGATGTCCATGTAGTGATCAGTGAAATTGTTATTTTCTTCAGGATTTAATATTTCCATCAAACTGTAATAAGGATCAGCTCCCATACTTTGATAATTAAAAAGTTAGTTTTTGAATTATAAATTATGTAAAATAAATTTTACCTTGATTTAGAAATTTTATCTATTTCATCTAAAATAAATACGGGATTCATTGTCTAAGCCTTAATTAATTCCTTAATGAAAACACCTAATTTTTAAGTCAAAAAAATAGTAAGATAATTGGTAATTTCTTATGTAAATTTTACCTGGCTGAGAATCAACGTAGGTTCTACGATGACCTTTAAAGAAGGAAGGATCAGATATACCTGCAAAGCTGATGAATCTATTTTCTTTTTACAAAGCTTTAGCTACAGCTTTGGCAATAGATGTTTTGCCTGTACCAGGAGGACCCTACAATAAAAGAATAAAACCTTTGCTCTTGGAGTGGGTGTTTTTCATTTGATTTACTGCAATCATTTCAATAATTCTTTCCTTAACCTTCTCTAATCCGTAAATTTCATCATCTAAAACTTTCTTAGCATATCCAATATCCCAGTTAGCAGGAGTATATTTGTTCCAAGGAATACTGAAGACTTCGTCGAGATAAGTATTAATTTTATTGAATTCGCTGGAGTGTTTATCGATTTAGCTAAATCTCTCAATTTCTTATCTTACTCTTTCCTTAGAAGGCTCATCTTCAATCAAGTGCAATTTAGACATATACTATTAAACTAACTTTTATGTTTAACCACCTGCACCTTAGCCACCGAATCCAGGACCTACACCAAAAATATTTTATTATCCTTGCTTGTCATTAGCCAAATAAGCTTATCTAATGTATTCCATTGATAGCTTTGCTCTGGTTTAAGTCTACATTCTAATCAAATTATCATCAGCTAACTTGAAGTTTCTATTAACAATCTCCATAACATCATTAAGAGATTCCAAGTTCTGTCTCAAAAATAATACTCTTTCCACAACATTCTTGCTCTCCAAAGTAGTCTAGATTAACAAATTTATGTTTTCTTTCATGTAGCGTTAGTACAATTTTGCAATTCCTCCAATAATCTATTTTATTTATTTATTTAAAATTTAAAGCATGATTTCATTTTTAAGCTAAATTAAATAATTTAAGAAAGACACTCCAATATAAAATGAATGAGTGATTAAATGAAATTTAAAACTAATTGTTTATAAAAACTTTTTATTCAACCAACAGCTCTTTTTTGTAATTATATAATAAAAGATTATGTTTTTTAAATTAATTAAAACCACGTTTCTTAAAACAATGGTGCGAAAAAAGTAATTATGTATGATTCGATTGGAAGCATTATAATTAGCAAAATCTTATTTTAACACTAAATTGAAAAAATTATAAAAGAGTAATAGATTTATTTTTAAATAAAGAGCTATTTATCTTATGCTGCTTTTTATATTGTTTTAAATAATAAATGATTCACTCATTAATTGATTATCTTATTTTTCTTTTTGATACTGCAAATGAATCTATTATAAATTTAATTTCCTCTTAATACTTACCTAAAATATCATGCGATCAATCATTTCAGTATTGGCTTCAGAAAGGTTTGCTGTTTCTATTTCCTGAGGTCCTATGACTTCTATTTTCTCATATGATACAGATTTTTTAATATTTTGCACTAAACTACGAAGCAAGTAGAGTTCTCTTTCTAAATTAAATTTATCAATAACTTTGCTCAAATTCTTATCATCCTTGTATGGAATAGTTTTTGCAAAAATGCCATTTGAATTCACTTATATTTCAATAATCTTGACACGATGGCTTAGCTTTTTAGGAGCTAAGTCTACGTTTACTTGACCGAAATTTTGCTATGTAGAAGAGACTTCTGCGGTTTTACCTTTAAAGGATTTAGATAGCTATTTACCAACATTCTTTTCTAGCTCTAGACCTATTTGATAAACATCGCCAGCTTCATTTAAAATAAAGTAGGCAAGCTCATGATTAATCTCTGTTAAGTTACCAGTTTTCATTTAACAGGGAACCTTTGAGTAAGGTAGAATAGGTTATTAAGAAGAGAAGATGATGTGAGTTTAAGGTGTCAACTTTAGTTCCTCTTCAGTCAAATCAGTGGCTTTCCAGTTTCTCATAGGAATTGTCTTCAAAGTAACACCTTTTTTGTTTCCATGAGTATTTTCATCATTGTTATTATTCCCATTATTATTTGGATTTTGATTCCCACTTTAGCCATTGTTACTGTTGTTGTTGTTGGGATTATTGTTTGATACATTCTCAGAGCTATCATCTTCAGACAATTTTAAAATATTTTTGTTGTGAATAATAGCTACTCTTTGGAAATTTTCGAAACTTTATTTGCTTTAGCTTAACTACTGTCCTTAAATTTAACTTATCTGGTAGCTCACGCTCTTGTTGAGAGACACGTTGTCTATATTTGTATGGAATGAGACAGTGACGGGCTTAATTGTTTTGAAGCTATTAAAATTGTTGGCAAAAAATTTGTTGATATGTCTTAATCTAGAAATCATTGTTCAGCCTATTATAATATTATGAAGAGTTGTCTTGATGTCTATTAGGAATTAGCTTGTTGGAAGTGCCCTTTTTTAATAAACTTAATTTGTTTGTTTGTTTTTTATCGTCTTTTGTTTGTGTGCTTAGAGTTAGTTGCTCGCTATTTTAATTACTAGTAATTTTCTTAGCTTTTCTTTTATTTTCTAAATTTAAATAATCTCTTGTTTTTAAAGTATTATGAGCTTTTGATGTTTCTACCTACTATGATTTTTCCAGATTTCTTCTTGATTTATAAGACGGACTATTCGATAAAAGAATACGTTTGGCAAGAATATAATTCAATATTGTTCAGTCATGTATGTATGCATGTATGCAAGCATGTGTATGTATGTGAAAGAAAGAAAGACTCAAGTGTTTATCGTGATCTTAAAAAATAGATAAATAAATATTAAAAATACTTTAAATGCTTGAAATCTATTTAGAATCCTAACCCTTTAATAGCAAAGGTTTTTAACAATTATATTTGCAGGAAGACAACAAAATTAATTTTTTAGAGCTTTCTGATCTCTAAAATACCTGGCATTGAATAGAAAGAGTCGATTTTATATAATCTAGCAACAAAAGAAACTCAAAAAACAACTATTTGGAAAATTTTATACATCTGAAATTAAATCAACACGCATTTGATTAAAGAATAACTTAGAAGTTTCTTAAAAAACAAGAAAATTTCAGTATTTTTCCTTTATTTTAAATTATCTCCCAAACAAATAAAGATTAATTCATTACTACGAATGATAATTTTTTAAATCTATATTAGTTACTTCATAAGAAATTTAAAAAAAAAAATCTGATCTTATTCACTTATCAATCAATATTTTTTTTATTTTTTTAGTTTTATAATTTAAAATTCAAAAACTGAAAACAAATTGTTTGCTTACTTCATATTTGATTTTTGTTTACATATTTGAAATGTAAAAGAAAATTAATATAGAATTAGAATTGCATTAAAAATATCAATTTTTTGATTTAATAAATAAAAGCTAAGTAGAACTTATATTTGCATCATACATAAAATCAAACAAAAAGTTAAGTTAAGCCAAATAATAAACTTTTAAAATTAAAGATTTATTACAAATTTACAATTTTATTAAATAGTTTCTTAAAAATAATATTTATTTTAATAATATTATATTCTAATATTTAAATTAAATAATTATTTTATTTAAAAAATTCATTATAAATTAATATTTAGAAATTATAAATTTTATTATTTAAAAAAAATAATAAATAGTCCTAATACACAAAAAAATATCAACCTGAGACAGGCCGCACTCTAAAAAACTGAGCACTCATTAAAATGGACAAAACACAAGTTTAATTTTTTCATTTTTAAATCAATCAAAAAACTAGCTAATATTTATCTATATATATATACTTTGGGGATAGCTTTTGGTCTCACAATTCCTAGGTTTGATAAAATAGTTAAGATTTTAGTTAAAAATAATATCTTTTTTTCTTTTAAGTAATATTGATTGTTGTTTTATCCTACAAACATAAAGATATGCATTCTTTATCTACAACTATATTTTCTTTTAAGTAATATTTTTACCATTAAAATCTATTGTTTTTTTATGTTTCTTGATTTATTTTGAATAAATTAACTGGGAGAGGATAAGATTTATTATCAAATATTAATAAAAATATTTAAAAATTAAACGTAATTAAAAATGATAAAAAACTAACTAATAAATCATCAACTAAAAATAAATAGTATTATTAATTACTATAACTATTTTTTAATCTCTCATGCTCAATTTTCTTTCAATTAGATTTTGATATCAACCAATCACCTCTTAACATACTCTCCTTTTAAAATTAATGATTAAAAATTATTTTTTACCTTTAGATTAACTTGCATTTTGATACTTTTTATTTCCAAGAAAATATAGCAGAAATTATCAAAGTTTCTGATTTATAACTAATTTTATTTAAATTTTTTAGATTTTAGAACAATTCTTAAAAAGATATTAAACAAACATGGAGAGACAAATAGACACTTACTTCACTAAAATGATAAGGGCATATTATAAATTATTTTAAATTATAAATTGAACAGAAAAAGACTACATTAAAACAGAGGAAATAATTTATTTTTATTTATCATTTAACGATACGAGAGATATTTTGTAATCCAGATCCTAGACATGAGAAGATCACTGTTGTAGGTTTAGTGATACCATCTAATTATTCATCTAAATCAATTTCAGGCTCTAAAGAATCATCTTCAGCTCCACTTTGTTTTCTTTTTCCAATATTTTCAGACTCATCATCATCTTCTTCTTACATTTTTTGTTAATTCTATTCTTGTTCTTCATCATCTTCAGCTTCTTCATCTGCTTCAATCTTGAAGGTAATACCGAGGAATTATTGGATTATTTTAAGGTTTTCTACTGTGTAGGGTGTGATTCTACCAAGACGTACAGAGCTAATTTTTCTTTCTGATAAAGCCATCAAAGTTAAAACAATTGACTAGTTGCTTGAATCTACAAAGCCTGTGTATAAAATTTCATCAAGAAGAGCAAGGGCAGCTCTTTCACCTAATGCTTCAGGTAAATTGTAGGCAGGAGGATGAGATTCATCAAGACATTCATCAATAGATACAAGCTATCCATTATTGTATTCAGCTATAAGGGAAATAGAATAACCAGCACTAGAATTTTCTTTGTTTCCTCCCTTATAAAAATCTGAGTAAATGTATACATCAGGCAAGTAATCATTAAATATTCCTCTAGCAGATGTAATTATACGATTCAAAATTGAAGGGTTAACTCTTGCACCAGAGCAAACACCTCTAATTCTTTTTATTTTGCCTTATTATTTGAGCTTAATTGAACGCAAAAATTTAACAAATGGAACTTTGAAGATAACTTCTCCTTATCCGTTTGGCTTAAAGCCACGCTTATTAACTTTTAAAAAGAGTTCGCCTTCAATTTAAAATTTACGAATTAAATGTAAAGTGCAATTTGAAAAAGTGTCCACAGACATATCTATTTCATCATTAGTTACACCTTTTAATTTAATGCTAAGCTTGCTCTTACCAAACAAAGCAAGAATAGTCAAAGGCTCTAAGAAATAAGTAATACAACGTTCCTCACCGCAATCAAATTCAAAATCGACTCCTTCATTATTAGTAATAATACCAGGATAATACTTGATTGCAGTTCCATTCTTGCTAATCTAAAATTTAGCACCAGATGATATTCTTTCGACTAAACGAAGGAATTTAACTTCATATTATTAAATTCCTTAAATGCCAGTTTTTTCAAAAGCACGATAGTTTTCTATTAAGACAGGACGCTCTGAAATTGTTGAGCACACTATAATTTATCTTATATTGGTTGGATCGCTAAATTTAATCATTTTATTTAATATTCCTAATTAATTAATATTCTATTTTTTAATTATTAATTTTTAGCTTTTTTAATTCAGATTCTAATAAAAATATACAAAAAATCTTATTAAATTCTTTGTTAATTAGCATTCAATTAATATTGATAATATCATTCATTCATACTCTCTCACTTTCTTGTTATTTATTTTATTAAATGTATTCAAAATCCTACCTAAATTAAAAATATTGTCTTCATTTATGCATTCATTATTACATGAATAATTGAATAACTTTTATATCAAACCCCTTTAATTTATCTCTTAATGAATCATTAATTCTGGACTCTCAATACTTTTGAAGCATAATATAAATGACAGTTTTTAACGTTAATATCTAAAATAAATAAAAATTAACTCCTTTAAAAGAAAAGCATATTTTTTTAAAATATTTTTTTACACATAACAATATTAAATGCATTTTTCAGGATTAAATTTGCTTTATTTAAACAAACACATCCTTCATTATTTCAAATTCATAGTCTAATAAAATTTTAATTAATTACCTATTAATATGCAAAATAAACTTAGTAGGCAATCAATTAAAAAAAATAAACTGTCTTATAAATTAATTAAAATCTTAAAAAATAATATAAAACATAAATACTAATTTATTGATTGATGCTTTATATTTATTGTAATTAAATCAAATAAATAATCATGAATCTATAATTATTCGTTGGTTGATATTTATTTTTTTTTATTTTATTTTTTTAAGAAAATAATTATCATAAGGCATCATATAAGAGGAATTAAATTATTTCATTTTTCTGCTATTTGATTTTTTAAATATATTTCTATTGATTTTTATTATTTATTACTTTAATATTAAGCAATTCTCCTCTCTAACTTCTTAATAGAATTTAAATATAATTTATTTATATCTATTTATAAACTTTTGTTAAATGAAATATTTTTACTTTTATTTTGAAAATTTTAAAAAAATTTATAACCTAATTTACTAAAAAAATATATTTGTTTATTAATTGTTTCTTTATTTTACATAGTTAAATTAAAAATGAAATTTATTTTTAATTCAATATTAATTTTTGTTGAACATTCATTATACTTTACTTTAGATAAACATTAATCAATTATCATAATTAAATTAATTTATTTATTTTTTCATTCTGTTTTAATCAAGTTAGTAATATTTGTAATTTCATCTTCAATTTGTTAAGTATGGAATTTTATCATATTCAATTGTTCATTTTTAGAGCTATTAAGCTTTTACTCATCTTAATCTACTTAGGGAGCTGATTCTATTTGCTTCTTTTCTTGTGTGACTTCATCAAAGCTTTAACCTAATCTTTCATTGATTTTTTTCATGCACAATTTTACAGTTTCAATAAACTATTATATTTTAGATTTATTTAACAAGTGATTACTATCTTCAATTGTAACATTGTTTGACAGTTAATTTTTCATTCTCATTAAAATAAACTCTAAAGTACTTAGAGAACTACTTAAGATGCTGCTTTTTTCTGATAAATTGCTTATGCTAGATGTTAGCTTTTCAACCAAGACAGAGAATAAATTTGTGATGGTTTCATATTGAGTAAAGCTATTAGTTTATTGGCTTTTAATGCTATCACCTAATTCTTTTCTAAACATATCAAAAATAAAGGCAGACATAGATAAGTTTTCATTATCTAGAATCATATCTTGGTAGATTTCAAACAAACACTAATTTTATCAAATTAAATAAATTAAACAAATGAATATTTTTTAAAATTATTATAATTCATAAATTAAATTTATTTTTACATTTTTGTTAAACAATGCAAGAAGTTTCTTCAAACCTTCCAAGAACTTTTGTTATGAACTCTTTTCATATCCTTACCCAACAGGTTCGAACATAGCTACTATAACCTTGCTCAAAGGGACATTGAAATAATTTACATTGTTAATTGATTAGGGTTGCAGAGTACTTTCTTCTACTATGCTTGCTAGATCTTCAATAAAATGTTTAACTAATTCTGCTTTTGAAGGTTCCTTTTTGAGGAAAATATAAATGTAAGGAAGTAAAATTTTAAGTTTATATTCAGCTGAATAAAAGACTTAAAATGACTTTTAAGCAAATAAATCCTTGATGAAGAAGCCTATTCCTGTAAGATTGTAGGTTAAATAGGGAGTGTATTCAGTGATTTGTGATGAAATTTCTGTATCACTAAAATTATTATATCTAAGAGAATATATGAAGTTTTCAACAAGCTCCTAAGTTCCAGGAATGATCTCTAAGAAACTCTTCTTAGAAGTATCTAAGAAAGCAGCAACATTTTTTTCATCAAAAACTCCTTATTAATGCAGAGCTTCATTTACACCTTACAAGATATCCAAGTAGAAAAGGATTACATAATGGTTTATTAATGTTTAAGATGGTGCATTTTTATATTGCATCTAGCCAGTGTATGGATCTGTTTCAATCAAATCACGAGCACTAAGTAGTTTCTTGTAGTTTTTGATCTCAGGAAGATTCTTGATTATAGTTAAGAATCTATTCAAGAAATCTATAACCCAGCCTTCAAAATTTTCTTAGAACAACTTAGCATGCTAATTGAGTTCCTCACTTTTATACTTAGATTGATATTTCTCGAATTTCTTAATACCATCAGTAACTGCCCTCAAGATATCAGGAAGAATACGAGGATAAAATGCTTCTTTATTTTCAATTTGCTTACCAATTATCGCAAGCATTTCTAGTAGCATAAATTTCTTTTCAACAGTTTTTGTTTGCTCCATTCTTGATTAAAGAAATAGCAATACCCATTTCTAATTTTTAAAAATGATTTAAAAAGATATCACGAATAAAAGACAAAATCAGATTTTATCAATAAAATATGTTTTATTCAATCCTCTTCAAATTTATTTTACAAATTTTGCCTGATTTAATGAATTTCTCTAAATAGATAATTAAATAAATAAATACTTTGTTGTCAATAGCAAGTACTCTTTTGCAAATGTACAAAGCGAGTTCGTTGTGGTTAAGAGGATCGTCTCTAACACTGTCAAACTTTGTTTAGTAGATCTTCTTGAACTAATAATAGAGATTTTTATCACTGAAATTTAAGCCAAAAGCTATAAATTGGTCAGTGCATTGCTCAAAGTAATTTTGTTCTAACATGGGCACATATTTGCAATACTTTGAAATAAGCTCCCTGCCTTGTTCAGGAGTTAGCTTTTATGTCTGGATACTTGTTGCACTTTTTTCAAGGGCAGAAGTAAAATCTTCGCCTAAAACAGGTTCTTGCTTCTCGTAAATCTACTCTAAAACTTCCAAAAATTCCATCTATCTTTACTTTCTTGTTATATGTTGTTATTTAATAAAATTTGTTACTTATTTTAAAAATAAATTATTTAATTAATTTCAGATAATAATCAATATCTTCTAATCAGAAACTCTAAAGATATTCTTTCAAAAACGAGAAAAGATAATTAATTTTTAAATACAAAAAGCTCATTCCATATTCTAATCGAACACTTAAGAATAAAAATTTTCTAATTTTATAGCAAATAAATAAATAAATAATTAATTCTAAATAGTTTGATTTTTTGTTGGATTAGTTGGTTGGATGCTAAAAATCTTAATGTAAATCTCATTTTGAAGTATTTAAGTAGACTTTAAAAGTTTCATTAAAATATTTTGTTCAGAATAAAAATAAATTTAGAAAAATACAGCAAATGAGAATGAAAGAATTATTTATTTTTTTGATGCATCTTAGAAGTGTTTTGAATATTTCTCGAAAGAATATAAAAGATAATTTATTAAATATAAGCTTTTTTTTCATTAGAATTTCGATAAAGTTTTTAAACTAGAAAATTATATAGATAAAAATAAATTAAGAATAAAATATGCCAAGAGTATTTGATCCTGAAAGAGATGATCCTACAGTGAAGTTAATTAAAGGAGTAACGACGTTTTTTGAAGAATAAAAATATAAGCTGAGCGACAATGAAATAAATGAATTTATTAAGCAAATGCTAAAAAGAGAGAGATATTCTTAAATGGTTCAAAAGTATCTATAAAATAAAATAGAATTCCCTGATATTATCATAAAAAATTCATGCAGCAAGGGACATTTCTTTTTTAATACAAGCAATTACCCTTTTCAATATTTTCCTTCTGACTATAATTAGTAGAAGAACGAAATTATTCTCTGCAAAAACCAAATTAAAAATCTCTTGGAACTTCAAGAAAATTTAGACAGAGAGCTTACTCTTGCATATGATCGCAATGTTGAAAAGAAAGATCTTTCTTCAGATGCTGATTTTGCTTGCTCATAAATCAGGGCATGCAGAATACAGCTTGATAATTATAAAAAACTCGACGATGGTTCTAAGAGATAGCTTAGTTAAACTTGTGCTAGATTCTTGTTTAGAGTAAATATATATATATATTTAGTTTTTAGCACAATTTGAAATATAATTCTTTCACATACAAATTAATATTTAACTCTTAATTTTTAAATAATATAAGCATAAAGGTCCGAATTAAGATAAGCTTCCTCATGATATGTGGGTAAGATATACTGAAAAAATATTAGATAAATTTGATTACTGTTATAACCTAACCTACCCTTTTAAGTGATTTTTATGTTTTTATAATTATTTGTTTTGAATATCCATAGATAGAATTTAATCTAAATTGTTTACTATCAATTTATATTTTAGCAATTAAAGTTTTTATTACATTTTGATGTATAAATAAAAACATAGAAATGAGAATATTACATTAGTTATTTTATGTTGTTAATAAATATAAAAGTTAAAAAATAAATAATATTTGAACTAAAGTATACTTAGCATGCTTAATTTAACAATAAATATTTTTTTGTTTTAAATAAACAAATTAAGAAATATTTTAATATCTTAAATCAAATTGTATTCAACTAATTATTTCTAAATAAGGAATTAATTGGTAATCTTTAATTTTAATTCAAAAAATTAATCATTTGAAATTAAAAAATTGAACTTTTTGCTCTTTTAATTCAAATATTCAATCATATATATGTTGATTGTTTAAAATAAATATTAATTTGCTAAGCTATGTTCAGAAATATTTTTGAAATAACTTCGTTCTTTTTTTATTGCTTAATTACATAACTTGAAGGTAAATATTTATTAATTTATTTGATTTGGATTAATTAATTAATAATGATAAAAATAATTATTTTTCATCAAAAAATCTTTAAATAAATAATAATAATACATTTAATCCTTTTATTGAGGTGTAAATATTTAAAAAAACTCTTGTTGTTTTAAATTAATCAAAAATTTTTTAAGCTACAAGTATTATTGAAATAGCTTCATTAATTATAAGTAATTTATTTGCTTATTTGAAGAAAAATATTTACCAATTTAATAAATTTGTATTAATTTATATTCAGAAAACGAAAAAAATATTGTAGTCTTTATGGAAAAATTAATTAATTAATTTACACTTTTTTTCCTTTTAGTTCGAACTAATTTAAATATTTTATCATAAATTTGTTATTTGTTTAAAATAAATATTAATTTACTAAGCTAAGGTTAGAAATATTTTTGAAATAATTTCATTCTTTTTTTATTGATTACTTGAATCTTGAAGGAAAATATTTATTAATTTATTAAACTTGCATTAATAAATGAAAAAAAATGTAATCTTCATTAAAATATTAGTTAATTAATAATTTAATCTTTTAATTAAAATGTAAATCTTTTATAAAAACTTGTGTTATTTAAAAGAAAAGCAAAATTTTTTAATTGATAACTAAAAATGATAAAAGTTGTAGTCTTTATGAAAAAATCAATTAATTAATTGATAAATAAATAAATTAAACTTTAAGTTTTAAATAAAGGGTTTTTAATTTTTAATATATTAATTAACTGTGTTTCTAAAGATATTTATATAATTTAGTAGATTAAAATATTGTTTTAATAAATTCATACCTATTTAATATAACATATTTGCTTTTTAAGGATAAACGCTGATGAATGTAATAAAATTGTATTAGTTTATATTAATTTGTGGTAAAAAATAAATATGTTGAATTTTGTTTTATATTTCCTGATCCAATAATTTTTGAAATATTAACTAATATGTAATTAGTAAAATATCAAATTTCTTTTTATCTATTTTTGTCAAATTAGATCTATTAATCAATTTATTAATTATTGTTAAAACAAAAATGAAAAGAAAATTGATTTAAGAGGAGAGATAAATCGATGAAAATATTGATTAAGAATTATAGGCAATAATATATAAATACAGGAGACATGCTTAGAAACAAAGGAGTTATCTTGAAGACTCAAACTTTAGGAGTATGAAATAGAAAGACCCGGAATCTTTTTAAAATGAGTATTCCATGTCTAAGTTCCCTGGTGATGTATATGAGGCAAAACAAAAAAAGAAAAACTAGACAATATATGAGATTTATTTAAATTAAAGGAAGAAAAAAATAGATTGGTTGTTTTTTAACATTTACTAAGAATCTTATTTGATTGAAAGATATGGAATGGGTGTTCCTCTTTTCTTTACAATGATGAAAATGACAATTGCTGTATTATTGATTCTATTCTTTGCAAATCTTTATACAGGATTAAATTAGTTTAATGTTTGCAATTCTAATCAGTGTTATAGTTTTATTTTTGGAGGTTTTGGTATCATAGATATTGTTAACTTGCCTAGCGATTTTATGATTAGTTTTTCATTTGCTTCTTGGTTAGTTTTTAGTTATATATTTAAACTCTACATATACAGAATATGTGAAACAGATGATGAAAATAGACACGATTATGTCGCTAAATCGAACTAAATTATCCTTAAATATTTTCAAAAAGGGTTGTCCTAAGAATAAATTGAAGAGCAACTCACTTAAAAATTCTATCAATATATTGAAAAGGAATAAATTCCAATTACAAGTAATGACATGAGAATTTCACTTGCTCATGTCACCCCTATCACTAATTACTACAAAATATCTAAAAAAATAAAAGAAACAAATAAGATTTACATGAAAATTATAAAATTATTGAAAAGTATAGATGAAGAAATTATGAAACCCTAATAAGACTAATCAAATGAAAGTTAAAGTTTTAGTAATTATAACCAAAATTAAAACGTGATCATTAATTAGAGTTTTAAAAACTCTATAAATGAAACAGATTAAAAAAAAGAAAGCCAAGATGAAATCTAACATAAATAGCTACTATTGGAAAATAAAAATCAATAAAATACAAGTTTTTTAGAAGATTAAGCAAATTTACAGAATGAAAATGAAGAATAAAAATAGATAACTGAGGAATTAAAGACTTAAGAAATAGAGTAGAGTGAATAATAATAAAACTAAATAAATTTATGTCAATCTCTTTTGTTAGAGAATGAAACTGAAAATTAAATTGATATTAAAGAATACAATCAATAATTTAGCACAAGTTCGTCAGATGATGATTACAGAATATAAATAGTGGATTTGTTTTATTGCTAATAACTTTTAAGAAAAGAAGATGATAATAAGATCAAAAAACTAATTAAACTAATTGAGAAATATTAGAAAATAAAATTGGAATTGCAATAAGAATACATTTCGAAGAAAACTCTTTCTTCGTCTTACATAGTTAAGTGCAACAGTATTCAGCAAAAAAATTTACTTCTAATTTTTCTAAAGCCTTCTAATCTCTTTAAAAGTTTTTTTTAGAAAGCAAAATATATTTTCAGAAGTAAATACTCTAGTTATTCTTTAGACAGATATTTCCCTTAAAGTTCAACACATTTGAACATAAATTGGTAAACAATTGGTATAGAATTACAGGACAAACTATAAAAATAAGCTTTAGTCTATATTTTAGGTCTAGTTCAGTTTGTAATCTTTTATTATTTCCTAATTAATTTATACTCTTTAAAGTCTGATAATGATGAAGATTAAGAAAACGTAAAATAATAATATTTAAAAAAAGCTCTATTTTCTTTGATTACAACAATTTTTTACTTGATAAGTGAAAAACTTTATGACTTATATTCAGTTCACATGATTACTTCAATGGATTCAAAACGCATCGTGTTATACATGCAAAATTTATTCACTTTTTATTCTTTGTTTTATATTATTCTCCCTCTTGTAAATGTATTAGCGTATGGAATCTCTCGGCTAATCGATACTAATAATGATTCATAGTTTCAACCATTTACACAAGTACGCCCTTTTTAAATCTTTGTTACTAATTTTTTGGTAGCAGCTTCTCTTTTTAGTGCAAAAGTAAAATTAAATTATAAAATTAATTCTATATTAAAAATTAAAAAAAAAAAAATTTTAGTCAATATTTGCTGTTAAGATCATTAAAAAAAAAATAATTTAAATGTACTACTTAAAGTCTAAGAGGTATCTAAAAAAGACATAGTATGAATTGAATAAAATTTTTAGAAGACAAAAATTTAGATTAGAGGACTGCACTCTAGCTTTATTTAACTTACTTGTCATTTCTATTCCGTTCACATTTTGCTTACCCATTTTGCTAATTTTACCTATTTTGTTTCTATTTATTATGTATTTCTCCTTTAAGTATCAATACTTGATGGTTTTGAGACCTGGATATTACTGCAAATCAATCCATAAAAAAACAAGTAGAATCTTTGCTAATTACATCCAAAGAATTTCGTTTTTCTCTTACATTTTCTTTACATCAAACATATTTATACTCTTTAGTGGTGTTATTTTCTATTTAGCCTATAGTATTTTTGAGATAGTTGTAATAATCTATTTAAAGCAAAATTTTAAGAAAAAATAAGCTTCTAGACATGATTTCATTAATAATATGATAGGAAATTTCTAAGTGGAGAAAAAAGCTGAACTAAATACCTAACTTAGCTAAGCAGTGGAGTAGTATTGTAATATTTATTTATTTATTTATTTATTTAATTTTCTATTATTTTATTATAATTTTTTTTGTTTTAAGAGTATTTAAGTAAAAGTAATAGCCTAAACAGTATTTAGCCTAGAGTATTTTTCTTTAACTAGTAATAAATAAATAGTAATGTATAATCAGATCAGCTTTCGTAAGCTGATTCATAGATTAAAATGTAGACAGCATCAGATAGTTAATTTAATACAAAATAAAATAAGAGGTTTCATTACTCTTTCATGCTTTAATATTAAAAATATAAATATATCTAAGACTCATCAAAATAATTTCATTGCTAAAAATGCTGACTGAATCAACGAATATCATTCAAACTATATAAAAGTTTAATTAATTGATTTTAATTATTTATAAATAATTAAAAAATATTTTTAAATTAAATGTTATATTTAACATTTATTTATGGATAGATTTCCATATTTAATAATAAATTGAACTTAATGTTTCATAAAAAAGTCAACCAAATTTCTTAAATCAGTTTATTAATTGAATAATCAAATAAATATTTTATTATTGTATAAACTAAATTTTCAAAGGATTTTATATTTAATAAATTGGAAAATATTTTTTTAATTAATTTGATAATAATAAATTTAATTCTATTAATTGAAATTTAATTATTTGTAAAACTTGTGCTATTTAAAATAAAAACAAAATTTTTAATTTACAAATATTCTGAAAATAACTATATTCCTTTTTTTTTAAAGTAAGTTATTTGCTTATTTGAAGATAATTATTTACTACCAATATAATATTTTAGAATTGATAAATACTGAAAAAATGAAATATAAATATAGTAGTTCTTTATTTAAAAATTAATTAATTTATAAATAAATAAACGATACATTAAGGTTTAAAAAAGGGTTTTTAATCTGTAATAAATGTAAGTATTTTATGAAAATGTGTTTCTCAAGATAATTACATAATTTACTATATTAAAATATTCTTTAAATAATTTCATATCTTTTTTTTAATATAAGATATTTGTAAGGATAAATCTTTATGAATTTAATAAACATTGTATTAGTTTATTTAAAATTGTGGTTAAAATAAATATATTTATGCTTGTTTTATACTCCCTGACCCAAAAAGTTTTTTGGTAATATTTGTTGATAAATAATTAATTAATTAATTAGTAACATATTAAATTTTTTTAAACTATTAATTATATTAATCAAATTAATAATTATTACTAAAACAATAATGAAAGAAAAATTGATTTAAGAGGAGAGATAAATCGATGAAAGTATTGGTTAAGAATTATAGGCAATCATATATAAATATAGGAGACATACTCAGAAAGAAAGGGGTTATCTTGAAGACTCAAACTTTAGGAGTATGAAATAGAAAGACCCCGAATCTTTTTAAAATGAATATTCCATGTCTAAGTTCCCTGGCGATGTAGATGAGGCAAAACAAAAAAAGAAAAACTAGACAATATATGAGATTTATTTAAATTAAAGGAAGAAAAAAATAGATTGGTTGTTTTTTAACATTTACTAAGAATCTTATTTGATTGAAAGATATGGAATGGGTGTTCCTCTTTTCTTTACAATGATGAAAATGACAATTGCTGTATTATTGATTCTATTCTTTGCCAATCTTTATACAGGATTAAATTAGTTTAACGTCTGCGATTCTGATCAGTGTTATAGTTTTATTGGTGGAGGTTTAGGTATCATAGACATTGTTAACTTGCCTAGCGATTTTATGATTAGTTTTTCATTTGCTTCTTGGTTAGTTTTTAGCTATATTTTTAAACTCTACATATACAGAATATGTGAAACAGATGACGAAAATAGACACGATTATGTCGCTAAATCTAACTAAATTATCCTTAAATATTTTCAAAAGGGGTTGTCCTAGGAATAAATTGAAGAGCAACTCACTTAAAAATTCTATCAATATATTGAAAAGGAATAAATTTCAATTATAAGAAATGACATGAGAATTTCACTTGCTCATGTCACCCCTATCACTAATTACTACAAAATATCTAAAAAAATAAAAGAAACAAATAAAGTTTATATGAAAATTATAAAGCTAATGAAAAGTATAGATGAAGAAATTATGAAACCCTAATAAGAATAATCAGAAGAAGCTTAAAATTTTAAAGTTTTTGGTTCAATTCCTTAAATAAATAACCTTAATTATAACAAAAATGAAAACGAGATCCATAACTAAAGATTTAAAAACTCGGTAAATGAACCAGATTAAAAAAAAGAAAGCCAAGATGAAATTGAACATAAATAGCTGCTATACGATAATAAAAATCAATAAAATACTAGTTTTTTAGAAGATTAAGCTAATTTACAGAATGTAAATGAAGAATAAAAATAGATAACTGAGGAATTAAAGACTTAAGAAATAGAGTAGAGTGAATAATAATAAAACTAAATAAATGTAAGTAAATCTCTTTGGTTAGAGAAAGAAGCTTAAAATTAAATTGATATTAAAGAATACAATGAATAACTTAGCACAAGTTCGTCAGATGATTACAGGATATAAATAGTAGATTTGTTTTATTGCTAATAACTTTTAAGAAAAGAAGATGATAAAAAAATAAAAAAACTAATTAAACTAATTTAGAAATATTAGAAAGTAAAATTGGAATTGCAATAAGAATACATTTCGAAGAAAACTCTTTCTTCGTCTTACATAGTTAAGTGCAACAGTATTCAGCAAAAAAATTTACTTCTAATTTTTCTAAAGCCTTCTAATCCCTTTAAAAGTTTTTTTTAGAAAGCAAAATATATTTTCAGAAGTAAATACTCTAGTTATTCTTTAGACAGATATTTCCCTTAAAGTTCAACACATTTGAACATAAATTGGTAAACAATAGGTATAGAATTGCAGGATAAATTAAAAAAATAAGTTTTAGTCTATATTTTAGGTCTGGTTCAGTTTGTAATCTTTTATTATTTCCTAATTACTTTATACTCTTTCAAGGCTGATAATGATTAAAATTAGGAAAATGTGACAGAATAATATTTAAAAAAAGCTCTATTTTCTCTGATCACAACAATTTTTTACTTGCTAAGTGAAAAACTCTATGATTTTTATTCAGTTCACATGATTACTTCAATCGATTCAAAGCGAATAGTGCTTTACATGCAAAATTTATTCACTTTTTATTCTTTGTTTTATATTATTCTCCCTCTAGGAACTGTATTCCTTTATGGAATCAATCAGCTATTTGATGTTAATAATAATTAATATTTTGAGCCATTTAAACAAGTACGCCCTTTTTAAATGTTTGTCACTAATTTTTTGGTGGCAGCTTCTCTTTTTAGCGCTAAAGTAAAATTAAATAATCTATTTAATGAAATACATATTAAAATTTTTAAAATAAACATTTTAGTCGATTTTTCCAGTTAAGCTCATTAAAAAATAAATAATTTAAAAGTACTACTTAAAATCTAAGAGATATCTAAAAAAGACGTAGTACGAATTGAATAAGATTTTTAGAAGACAAAAATTTAGATTAGAGGACTGCACACTAGCTTTATTTAACTTACTTGTTATTTCTATTCCGTTCACATTTTGCTTACCTATTTTGCTGATTTTACCTATTTTGCTTCTATTTATTATGTATTTCTCCTTTAAGTATCAATACTTAATGGTTTTGAGACCTGGATATTACTGCAAATCAATCCATAAAAAAACTAGTAGAATCTTTGCAAATTACATCCAAAGAATTTCGTTTTTCTCTTACATTTTCTTTACATCAAACATATTTATACTCTTTAGTGGTGTTATTTTCTATTTAGTCTATGCGATTTTCGAGATAATTGTAGTCTTCTATATCAAGCACAATTTTAAGAAAAAAAAAGCTTCTAGATTTGAGTTCATTAATAATATGATAGGACATTTCTAAGTGGAGAAAAAAGATGAACTCAATACCTAGCTTAGCTAAGCAGTGGAGTAGTATTGTAATATTTAATTCATTAATTATCTGTTATTTTATTATAATTTTATTTTTTTTCTTTTTCAGAGTATTTTAGTAAGAGTAGTAGTCAAAGCAATATTCAGTCTAGAGTATTTTACTTTAACTAGTAATAACTAAATAGTAATTTATAGTCAGATCAGCTTTCATAAGCTGATTCATAGCTTAAAATGTAGACAGCATCAGATACTTAATTTAATACAAAATAAAATAAGAGGTTTCATTACTCTTTCATGCTTTAATATTAAAAATATAAATATATCTAAGATTAATCAAAATTATTTCATTGCTAAAAATGTTGACTGAATCAATGAATAGAGCTTACAAGAGATATAAAATTTTAATTAATTGATTTTAATTATTTTATAAATATTTTAAGATTTAAATATTTAAAAAGGTTATTAAAATCAATGCTTTAACATTTACATTAATGCATGCATATTACATATTCAATCATAAATTTAGCTAAACAGTTCTTATAAAGGCGAAGTAAATTTCTGAAACCAGTTTATTATAAAAAGAAAAACCTATTTTAATATTGTATAAAATAAATTTTCAAATGTTTTTATATATAATTTATTCTTATTATATTTCTTTAATTAGATAGAAAAAAAACATTAATTTTTAAAATATATCACACACATATATTAAATATAATGTAAAAGTCCAAACATTTTTCTAAAAAATTATAACTTAAAAGCATAAGTGGACTGGATATCTTTTTAATAATTTTTGAAACTTATTTATCATCTAAAAGAAATGGTTGTTAAATATGTCACAATTTTATTTTGATAGAATTCTTGATTAAGTTTAATATTTCATTCAAATCTAAATGAACAGTAAAACCTTCTTTTTTTACTAAGAATTTTTGTTTGTTTGCAAAAAAATTTAAAACAAATAAACAAATTTATTTACTGTAAAAAATTCTCTTACTATCGAAATTTGAGGTTTGAAAAAAATTCTCAACAAATTTTTTATTTTTTTAAATGTTAAAAAAAATTTGGATTAAATTAAATTTTGTATTTTCAAACTTCAAGGTAGAAAATATTTTGAATTAAAAATGATTATTTAAATACTAATTATTAAGAACAATTTGATAGATAACTTTTAGTTTGTTAATAAGTAATAAATAAGAAAGAATTATTATGTAGATATGTATTAATTTCACATTTTAATATAACTTTAAATTGAAAAAATGTAAGTCAATAACAACATTTATCTAGATAAATTGCTCTGATTTAGTTACTTTGATATATTTAATTATTAACATGACGCATAGATGACCAGAAAAAAATTTTTTTTAGCTAAGAATAAGATTATTAAGCATTTAAATCAATTAAAGTATAATAAAAAATAAATATAAAAATATGTTTTGCACAAAATTAAAGACAGACAAATTGACTTATTTTAATTATGAAAGATTCCTTAATTTAAAAATAGAATGATGCAACTTCAACAGCAGCTGAAGAGCTTCAAAATATTTTTTGGAAATATAGAAAAACCATTTAAAAAAGTAGTTTGTAAATCCAAGACCCTAGTTTTTACAACATAACATAGTAGAAAGAAGCTAAAATATCTTAGAATATTTAGCAAGCGATATCTAAGTTTCCAGCAGATTTGAATGAGGCTAAATAATAGAAAAGGAATAAAACAATCACTCAGATTTATTTTCAAAAAACCAAGAAAGAATTAAATTGGCTCTTTTTCGATGTTTATAAGTAAACTTTAATCACATAAAAATACGGGATGGGTGTTCCACTGCTATTTACTATGATGAAAATGACTATATCTGTCCTATTAGTTTTATTTTTTATCAATCTTTTTCCAGGTTTAGAATAGCTAAAAGTTTGCAAAAGTGACAACTGCTATAGCTACATTGCAGGAAGTTTAGGAATTATTGATATTGTTGAGCTTCCAAATTAAACTATGAATAATATTTCGTTTGCTATATGGATTATATTCAGCTATATTCTCAAATATTACATTAATGCTGTGTGCAAATAAGTTGATGAGAGCAAATAAGAAAAGGAACCGTAATCCAACTAGATAGTGCTTAAATATTTTTAAAAAGGATTAAACAAGGAATAAGTAGAAGAAGCTCTAACTTAAGAATTGAATGATTACATTGAAAAAGAAAATATTTAAATATAGAGCATGGATTTGAAAATAGAAGTAGAAAATTGTATTCAAATAATTGATTACTATAAAATATCTTAGCTCTTAAAAAAAATTAATAACTTTTACATGAAAATTATTAAATAACTTCAAAAAATTGACCCAAATATGATAAAAAATCAATAAAAATAAATAAAAAATTCAAAAGTTTACAGTTCTATTTCATCAATAAATAAGTAGAGAAACTTATATAAAATGGGAAATGAAGGTAGTAAATAAAATTAAAATTAATTTGAAAACGATCAAAAAAATAATGATTCTATTCATGACCCTTAGAACAAAGAGAATGATGAAATTTAAGAAGAATAGCAAGATATTAAATGTTTAATTGAATAGGATAATTCTTAAGAATAAGTGTAATAATAATATAATAGCTGCCACGACATAGAATAACAAAATGTAAATGAAATTAGCTTTGAGTGTTAAAACTAAAGAATAGAATATATGACTATTGATAAATGCTTGGAAATTTTAAAATAGAAAAATAGAAAAACAAAAAAACTTGCTTCACTCGTTAAAAAGTATGAAGAGTTAAAAAAGGAGTTAGAAAAGATATCTAATTCGAAAAAAATATTGTCTTCTTAATACATAATTAAATGTACAAGCATTTAATAAAAGAATATGCTTTTAATACTCTTAAAGACTTAAAATCCTATCAAAAGCTTTTTTTAGAAGATTAAATACATATTCAGAAAAAAGAGTTCGGAATATTCGCTAAATAGATATTAAATTTAAAATTCAACTCATTAAAATATAAACTGGAAAATGGTAGGCTTGGAACTTTAAAATAAGATTAGGAAGCTAGTTTTGGTTAAGATTTTAGGAACATTTCTATTTATTTTTTCCTTGTTTATTCTTTACTTTATCTACTTGACAAAATTAAGTAGTGAACAATATAAAGAAAAATCATTTCTTTCCTATTTATCCCTAGCTATTGTAGCAGCGTCATAAACAATATTTTATTTAGTTAGTGAAAAAATATATGATAATTATACTAATCATCTGGTAAACTCATTAAAATCAAAAAGAGTTTTTATCTACTTACAAAATATCTTCTTCTTCTACTCAATCTATTATATTTTTTTCCCTCTTGGTTCTATGTTCCTCTTTGGTTTTTACCAACTTGCATATCAAGATTATTACATCGAAAATAATATTGGCAATCTTTACCTTTTTGATACATTTTAAACAAATTTTTTGATAGCATCCATTCTTTTTAGCTTAAAGGTAAACCATTTCTTTTTTAATTATTTTAATAATTCATTTTTTTATCATTTAAATAATTCATATTTTATGATTTAAATAATTCTTTTTTTATGATTTAAATAATTCAAATTTTTCATAACTTTAATAATTTATTTTTTTAATGATTTTAATAATTTATTTTTTTATGATTTAAATAATTCATATTTTTCATAACTTTATTTATTTATTTATTTATTTTTTAAATAATTTTCTTAAATTATTATTTCATTTTTTTAATGATTTTAATCATTTATTTTTTTTTTTATAATTTAATTAATTAATTAATTTTTTATAATTGAATTAATATACTTTTTTATGATTTAATTTATTTATTTTTTGTGATTTAAATAAGTTGGTTAATAAATTTATTTTTAATAAAGTCTTTGTTTCCATTAAAGTATCTACTCTCCAAATTAAAACAATCCTATTACTAAAAGCCTCAGAGATACCTTAAAAAAACTTAATTTGAGTTAAACAAGATTTTCAAAAGACAAAAATTTTTATTAGAAGATTGCACTTTGTCTTTATTCAACCTGTTAGCGATTACTATTCCATTTAATTTTTGTATGCCTGTGATGCTGATTTTACCTATATTGCTCCTATTTTTAATGTATTTTGCTTTTAAGTATCAATACTTAGTAATATTTAGACCAGCATTCTATAGTAAAAATATTCTTAAAAAAGCTGCAACCTAAATTTCTCTGTACATCTAAAGAATATCATTTTTTTCTTACATTTTTTTCACATCCAACTTTTATGTGAGTATGAGTGGAATTGCATTCTATTTTACTTTAATTGTATGTGAAATATTAATATTTCTTTACCAAAATTTTAATTAATAATAATAATCAGTCAAGTATTAATTTATTGATTTAGCTATGGCCTACTTTAAGGAATAAAATAACTAGTAATTAAAAGATTAGCTTAATTTAGCAGTTGAGTCATATTGTATATTAAATATTTTACTCTTTTACTATATTTATAATTTTTTTATTTTAAGAATAAGGCAATTAGCAACATAATTAGTCGTCTAAAGTTTTCTATTTTAACTAATAGACTTAATAAGATGCTACTTTGATAAATTAATAATCATAAATGGATTTTACGTAGTAATAATAGAGTTTAAACAGCTAGGCTAATTAACCAAACAAGAGAATATTAGAATACTCTTATATATAGTCATATAAGAATTTTTAATAAACTATTGAAAGTCTAAAAAACTTTCACTGTGAAAATCTATGATCAATTAAAATTTTAAATATATCTTGAAAGTTCTTATATGAATAGGTTTTTTTTTTGAAAAGAACATTTTTAAACATTCTCCTAATATTATTAAAAATCTCCTTGTTTTATTTCACTATTCCTTCTTTATTTTAGTGTAGACTTACTTTTTAATTTAATACTAATTAAAAATATGTAGCTGCTATTCACGAATTAATTATTTTATGAGTAAGATATATATATATATAGCAGAGTAGTAAATATTATTTTTTAAAATTAAAGAAAATTTAAATTAAATAAAAATAGGTTTTGAAACAAATTTTGAACTTGATTTAACAAAAAATTGAAAAGATAAAATCGTTTATTAAATATTTTTAATTTTTATTTTATTAAGGTTCTTTCTAAACTATTTTGATAATATTTTTTTTTTTTTTTAAATTCATTTAAAACAAACATTTATAAGAAAATATAAAAAATTTTTCTTTACAAATGAAAATGTTTAAATTTATTGAAATATATAAAAATAATAAGAGAATTAGTCATATTTTAAATAAACTTTCATAAGTGCTTTATTATTCTAAATAAAAAAATAAATGTACTTTCAAAATACCAAGAAAAAGAACAGAGAAATATATTTAACATTTAGATATTCTGGTGAATAATTCTGAAACAACTTTTGCATTTATTATTTATTTTATTACTAATTAACTATTTAACTAACTAACTAACTTAGCTAAATTAAATTGTTTTGTTTTTAAAATTTTAAAACTTGTTCAAAGGATTATGAAATTTTCAATAGTTATAAAAAGTGTAATTGATTTAAATTTTTTGAAAAGGCATTTTGAATTTTTTATATAAATTACACGAAAAAAATAAAGAAACCAACATTTTTTCATAATTAATAAAAATATAAAATTGATAAATTAATTAAAATGTTTTCAAATAAGATAAGTTATTTATTATTATAATGAGTTAGTAAGTTATAATTTTAAAGATTTATGTGTATGTGTGGAAGGAATATTTACAAGTAAAGAAAATTAATTAATTAATTAAAGATTATTATTAAATAGTTTCATTGAATTTAATATTTTTCAAGGTTTTGTTTAATGGTAAATGGACTAATTAATTCTTTTGCTGCTCTGTATTTATTACTTTCTGAGTTCTATAATTTATTTTGATTGACTTCATCGTTGTATTCTTCGTCGTCAGTAACGTTTTCTTCTCCTAGCAAAGTATTATTTCTCATTTGTACATTTTTAGAAAGTATTTATTTTTACTAATTAGGTTTTGATTGGTTATTTTAATTTAAATTTTAGGTATATTGCTGAATTTATTTGTTAAATGTGTTTGGTAATTATCTTTGAAAAGATTATTGAGGGTTAGAGTAGTACTACTATTAGGTCTAAACTTATTTTTAAGCATTTTTAGATGCTTGGAATGTACTAAGCAGATTTCTTTTAGATTCCAAATCATCTTCACCAATATCTCCTTACAATTATTTATTTGATTCTTACACCATTTAGGGACCTTAGAATTACTTTTCTTTGTTGAACTATCTTAAGTCGATTTGATATATAGCAGCTACATTTTATCTGTTAATATTTTAATTGCTAAAATTTTCCAACTTATTGTTTTAGTTGTTATTGCTCATTGTATTATTTAATTATTGTTGTTTAGAATTAAGCCATTGGCTTGCCATTTTATTTGTATCTATGATATTCAGGGTTGGTTGATTAAAATTTTTATTTGAATCTTGTAATTATTTTGTATTGTAATTATTATTATCTTTTTTTGTTTGGAAATATTATTAGTTCTAGTTGAGCATTGGCTTATTTTATTGCATTGAAATGAAGCTATTAGTTTATTAAGTATAAGAAAAATTTTATTGTTTTTCAATAGCAGAAATATTTGTACTGTTAAATATGTTAGGTTAGTTGATAAATGATTAATTAGTTTAGTTAATGAATGAGTTACTTGAACCGTTTCTTATCAGATTTGATTTGTTCAATAGAGGACTCATTGATATTTGAGAAAAGCTTAAGTCTTTATTATTATTTGTATTTATAAATGAAGCATTAGGAGTGATCTATCTAGCATTTAAGTTTTCTTCTGTTTTGTATCCTCCTCTTTATTCGTTTAACAAAGATTAAAATGTTTAAGGATTACGTTTTTCGTTCTAAGATGTATTTAGCATACGTATGTTAGGGATCTGCATGCCATTAATTCTCTGAAGGTCATTTAACTTTTATTCTTTTTGATTTATCTAATCTATGCTGATTTCTAGAGATTCATTGGGATTATTATTCTTTAAAATTTATTACTATTTAGTAAAATTATTATTATTATTATTGTTTAAAATACCATTTAGTTTTTTGCTAGCTTAGTTTTCATTTTACTTTTGTTAAGGAAAAGAAGTCTGTTCTATGTTTGATTAGTTTGATATTAAAGAAATTGTAGAGGAATCATTCTTAAAGATATTTAAATTACTCTTTTCTATTTGGCTACTTTAAATGTTATTGTTGCTGATTTGACTAACATTTCTTTTGTTATTTGTTGCAGCTTTATTATAAGTATTATCTGTATTGTAGTTATTTATATTGACGTGTCTTATGTTTTGTGATAAAGCTCGTTAGTGGTTTAGGATGCTTTTATTATTTTCACTAGTTAGATTAGTTGACTTTTAGGATGATTGGTCGTTTGCTATTTGCATTTAGCTTAAATTAAGTGTCTTAGTTGCAGGAAAATAGTTGAGGCTAACATCATTTTTGTATGAGACAGGACTAACATTATTCTCAAGTTTATTGATAGGAGAACTTATTGTAGTTTTTGATTAATGATATCCCCTTTGCATTTCTACAAATTTTATATTGTTGTTTTAATTTATATTTGTTTATCTCGGTTATGGTGAAACAGATTGTTTTTGGTTGACTAAAAGGTGATAAGGTTATTGAATTTGATTAAATGCGAAATTAGCTTGTAGATATTCAAAGGTTTACAGAGATTCAAAATCATAAAGAATTTTTTCAGAGTAGTGGTCTTCTTTGTGGCATTTTACATATTACTCTTTCAAAGTGTAATTATTATTTGATCTACCGAATGGAGAATACGAATTATACGCACCTTGTCTTTTATTCATATCTCGTCTCTTGCCATTTGGAGTGCCATCATCTTAGTTTTGAACAATTGAAAAAGGAGAAAAAGATCTCTAACGCTCCTTGACTATCAAGGGTTCTTCACTTTTAAAGTATTGATATGGACTTTTTATTTTTATTGAAAAAGAAGATAGTATCTTTTACTTAGCTTCTTTAAAATTGAAGACCTCAAAAAGTCTAAGGAGTCTGATTAAGCAATCAAATATCTCGAGTGAAGTCATTGGTTTAGTGTCAACACTATCTTCATTATCAGAGCATTAAGAATCCGAATTAACTGAAGAGTTAAGAGAAATGCACGAGGGCGATTTAGAAGCATTTCTGCTCACGCTATTCTAATTAAAATATTTGCTATACACAATGTTTGTTTTTATACAGGTACTATTCGGAGTTGCTTTTGTTCTATTTTAAAAAGGAGATTTCGATAAATGAGGGGAATTGGCAGTCCTTTAAAAGGGTGAAGATTGAGGTGTAATATTCTGAGAGTTTTTGAAATTTTGAGGCTATTTTTAGCTTGTTAAATGGTAATTTGAACGAAATGCTGATTGAGCTGCTTGTTAGCTTTATACTTCTGAAAAGCTCTACATCCTACTTCTTGGAGAGACCTATATAGAGTCTAAGTTTATTTCTCCTTAATAATAGCAACTATTTCTGAGCACTTATATAAATTGCTCAAATAATTCTTAAAGGATATTTGGAATAATCAAACTTTACTTTTTCAAAGCATCTTTAGAGCTAGAGCTACTTTTGTCAAAACTTAGAAATTCACTTAAAATATAAATGTTCATTGGCAGAACTTCGCTCTAAAAGTGAATTTAATCCATATAGATAAGCTTTAAATGAATCAATTGTAGATAATTAATCAGTTTTAAAGTTTCAGGCAACTTTGAGTAATTGTTGTTTAAATAGTTTTGTTAATCATTTGATTCAACAGAAGAAAGGTCACAAGGTTCATTTTAGCGCAAGTTTGAAATGTTGCTGTTATTTTATCTATGAGATGGAAGAGGAGTTAACCACTAAGAATCAATTACTTTAGAGTTCGACCTAACTTATCGTGTTTAGTAATTACTACTTTAGTTTGAACAGAATAATTAGTTATAAGAAGGAGATTTTGCCATGGTAGTGTTTGGAAGTTGCTTTTGCAATACAAAAGGAATATTCATATTATCCATAGCAGTGGAAGATAAATTCTATTAATTAATGCTATTTTATTTGAAAGTTGCAGAAAAAGCAATAATTAAATTCTGAATGTTTTAAATCTCTATGAGGAATTTATCTAAAGTAAGCTGCTATGCTATTTGCATTTCCTTTTATTTTCTTTGATTGAAAATATTCCAATCAGCTTTCTTTCTTTAATGACCTACCATCTAATTAGACGAAGAGTTCGCATTCTAAGAGAATTATTCATCAAATTTATTATCTTTTGCTTTCTTTTCTTCGTAAGTGCACTCCTCAAATTCATGTTCCGTTAACTCTGTTTCCTTATGTTAAATTTAAAGAAACTTATTTTCAGCTATTTTTTAGCTCCCGTCAATCCGATTGCTTGAATTCAATTTAAATGTACCTTCTCTTTAATAGATACCATTAGTTGCTTCTAGATCTTCTTCAGTATTTTCTGGCTGAATATCTAAAGCAAAATCATCTTCATTTTCATTTTTTAAATGAAATTATGAATTATCTAAAAGCTTTTTATGCTATTAATTATAAGAAACATTATTCATATTACCATAGCCATTATAGTTTATTTATCCTTCAATTTTTTTCTACGTTGCTTACAAATTAGAATTATTTGTCAAAAAACTGTAATTGTTGCTTTTGTTCTAAAAGTTTCCCTTATTTAATAAGTTTTAATTACTTCCTCCTTAGTTCAGATTATTACCTCCACTGCTATACTTTAAATATGATTCATCGTAATTGTTGCTTTTATACTAGTTATTAGCCAAGCTATGATCATTATTGAAATTACTTAGCTTCCTTTGTTAATTGCCATACGAAATATCTTAGTTTTCATAAACATCGTCTATTGAAGAAAAATTTGAGCTATTTAAAAAGCTTTTCTTCTTTTTCATTGTTTACTCAATTAAGTTTTTTAAGTTTTAAACATTTCTTTTTTCGTTATTGCTGTCTTTTTATTTTGCATATATTTATTGTTGCTGATACTCTTAGAAAGCAGAAAAAGGAGCATTTGAAACCTGATCAATAACTCCTCCATAATTTAAATAGCCTGTTCCCTAAGCCATCTCATCATCACTAAAAATAGCCATATTTACCCAGAGATTCTCATATTTTTTCAGTAATTTATGGAGAATAAGAGATTAAATTGCAACTTATCGTGCTTATTATCCCATTATGTTTTGCGTTGTCATATCGTAGTTAATCTAATATAAAAACTCTAGCATAGAAGCGTGACCAAGATTTGCTGCAATGTGAAGTAAACTCCACTTTTGAGGTCCACCCTTTTTCTTCAAATTGAATAACTATAAATTTTATTGTTTAGGCTTTATTTAACTAATGCTTAAGGAATCGTCTTCTTCTTTACTTAACCCTTTTTATCCTGTAGCTATAAGTGATGTTTGATCTGATTTTTTATTCTTTTAACCGTCTAAATTGCTTTATAGTTTAGATAAATTATGAGCCACTGCAAATTTTATAGCACTAAGAGATCCTTTTTTTGCAGCCAAGTGAATAGGACACCATCCCTCCTTATTTCTACAATTAGGATTAGCGCCATAATCCAAAAGTAATTTTGCTATTTTGCCAGATAAATAAATATCCTTTGAAAAATTTTGCATACAGATATGAAGTGGAGTATTTTTATCAAAATCTTTCAATAATGGACTCATTCTTTCTCGCTTTAAGAGATTTTCGACAACATCATATTATATTTAGGAAACCGCTTTAAATAATAATTCGCAATTAAGTTTTTCTCTATCAGATAAAGGCGATTATATCTCATGAAGAATTTTAGTATTAAATTGCTTTGTATTACTAAAATTAGGCTAACTTGGGAGCTTAATCCTTTCTTATTTATTACTTTAATCTGAATATTATGAAGTGTAATCAGCTAGTTCATCATTGAATCCATTATAATTACTGTTAAAATTGCCTACAAATGGCTTCTATATCTATTGAATTTGCTGATTTACTGAGTTTAATAGCTTATTTTCTATTTTATTACTACCATTTTTTCGCTGTTAAAATTGATTATTTAACTACGATGTTTATTAGCTTTATTATATTTAAAGAAACATCTGAAAAATTGAATTTTTATTTGTTTAAAACTATTAATTAAAATGATAAAAACCCAATTCTTTCTAATAATCAAATCAAACTACAATACAAACAAACTAATAAACAGACAGAAAAGCAAAAAAAACATAAAAAAAGAAAGTAAAATAGGATTGAAGTTCTATCTAGCTATCTATCTATCAGATTTGCATTTAAAAGATAAAAAATATCATAATGAAAAACTAAATAATTAATAATTAACAATTTAATATTTTCAGTTATTGGTTACTAAATTTAATTTTCTTTATTTACTTTTTATTAAAGTAGAAATTCATTCTTCTAACAAAATTCAAATATTTTTAATATACATGAGCCAATATTTATCACTTCATTAAATATTTAAACTCTATCAATGCAATTAAAAATATTATTCCTTAACAGCAATATCAAAAAATAAATAAATTAATTACTAAAAATATATTTTAAATATTCCAAAAAACCACTTTTTAAAATATCAAAAGCATTTAAATAAATTATTATTTGATAAATTTGTATTAAAAACTTAAATATTTTTTAAATAAGAATAAAATTAGGTTTATTTTGTAAAAATAATAGGAAATTTTCTGAAAATTATTTTTTACATGAGTTATTTTTATGTATATCTTCGAAAAATAGAATTTTTTTTTTTAAAAGTAAGTAAGTTATTTTTAAATATTTATAAAGTTCTGGAGATAGATAGATACTCATAAATTAAGTATAGAATTATAAAAATCATAAAATATAAGGTAGGAAATATTGATTGACATGATTTTTAAAAATATGGGATATTTATAGATAGAGGTTTTAGATTAATATTTAAAAAACCTAAGAGAAAATATTTAAATTTCACGTTTCAGATTTAGGAAATCTCAATATCCGAAATCTGAGATAACGAGAGGTTACTGTAAGTAGTATTAGCATAAGAGTTAACAAATTAATATTTTATATTTTCTTAATTCTTAAAGCAAGATTTAAGAAAGTGGTTTGTTGTCTCTTTATATAAAGTTCCACCTTTTTTCATATTTTAATTTATAAAAAGCAATTTTTGTGTTTTTAATTAAAAAATAACATAATTTATTTAAAATTTTTTTAATTTATTTAGAGTATAAATTTAATCTACAAAGCTTAAATATATATAAATAAATATGCTTTAGATATTTAATAAAGTTTTTTTCATTGACAAATATTAAAGTAATTTATTTATTTATTTGATTAGATAATATAATAAATAACAAAATTGATAATTTAACATAAAATAGTTTAAAATGTTATATTGTAAAATGAATATGAGATATTGGAGATCGATCATATGTCTGTTGTGTGCTTTGGTTAAGTTTTTATTTTAAAATTAGTATAAATTAATATAGATAGATCAAACATCTGTGCATTGACGAAGGTAAGTTAACAGTTAATTGAGATGCTGATATTGATTTCTTCTTTTTTGTTCTTATTCGCTTAAATTGCTTTCTTCTTTATTTTGTTAATTAGTTTGAATTGCTATGTTTGATGCTGTTTGCTAATTTTTGATTAGAGAACCATTTTGCAAATCAAATTACATAGATTAAAAGCTACTTCTTCCTAGAATCTAGCTTTATTAATTTTGTAGGAAGACCATGGATATTTATTGAGAATTTCTACGTGATTTAAATTTATTTTCAAAATGTTTATCAAGCTTTGAATATAATACCTATCTTAGAGCTTAAATTTAATACTTTATTGCATCTTAGGTTGGTTTGTAAAAGCTTTTAGCACTAATTGAATCTTAGATTTAAAATATTTCTCTCTGGTCCATTGCAAAGCTGAGGATAAATTTAATATATCTAAAATCAAAAATATCATTTAAATTGTTTAAGTCTTCATCTTTGAAGTAGTTTTCAAGCCAGTCTTCCATATCTTACAAAATTTGATCTTATTCAACTTCAAGCAAAACAAAGTTGAATGGCAGAGAGGTATTTTATTAGTTGAGCTTAAGTTTTAAGCGATTCAAGAGGTGATTGATGTGAGGCATGATTGCATAGTCTAGATTAGCTAAGAATATTCGGAATATTTTAAGGAGTTCAGAGAAAAACTAGTCATCTAGAGGTTTTTTAAGTAATGGTTTTAATATAGATATACAGTCATCAACATTAACTTCATAATTTATGAGCTTAGTTATACTTTCAATGATTAATGTTATCACGTTGTATTCCTTTGAAATAAAATATTGGTTTTCTGGATTTTAAATTATTTTGCTCTTATGAAAACTTTCTGCCATAATCCTCATCATATCTTTACACTTTAAATAATCTTATGGGAAAAGATAAGCACGACAATTTTCTAGCTTTTCAATAATAAAATTTAAATCACCCATATCTAAGATACTTAAATGGTAAAGTGATTTATAGAGAGCATTTTTTATTAAGAAAAAATCCATTTAGGTAACAAGCGTAATTTCGTTTAACTTGCTCATATAATATTCAATTGCAGATTAATTATCAGTTAATAGGGAAGCAAGAAATCGAATGCAAGCGCTAGAGCAAGCACCTGGATTAAATTAAAATGATAGTTTTTTTTCTAACTTTTAAAAACAATTCCAAACAACTAGCCTTAGCTATTCAACACCTCCCATTTCTTCTAAAAGGTTTATGTTTGTGAAGAAATTATTCCATTTCATATTGAATTGGCTTTAAAAAATATTTAGAGCTTAATTATCAAAATGAGAATTTTACAAACATTCCCTAAACTCATTACTAATTTTTTCTTTTAAACTGGAGTCAGCCAAAATTTTTTGGACTTTACCATGTATATTATCATGAATTGTTGAAGAAATAACCATTTCGCACTGATTACTGAATTCTTGAGTGCTTACTTTGCAAACTAATTAAATTGTCTTTTAAATTTTGTTATTTCCTTCAATAAATTCATAAAGCCTAGTTACAAGCTTGTCTTCAAAAGAGATCAAATTAAAAATATTTTCTAATTTTTAGCTCTGTCTGCGAATCATCGCATTTGAATGCTTTAAAAACGATCTTTGTTTTAAATGATTCTAAGACATGGAAGAGTATTGATCGCTAATAAGAGAAAGTGTGCTTTTGCGCTATAATATTGGTTAATTTTTATTTTAAACATTTTTGAGAGCCACTTCTTCAGAAGGTGAAAAAACCTCTCCGTGCATATTGTTACCGTAAGTAAAATCATTAACTTCTAAAATTTCATCTTTATTCCCCTTTTCTTTAATAAAGTTAGTTAAGCTCTTATTTTTACTTTGGTAATCTTCATCCAAATACTCTAAAGTTTGTTTTCTTTTTAGTTTTACTTACTCTCTGATACTCATTTTTCTATTTGGAGACGAATTTATGCTCTACGCATTTAACAGCTCAGTTTTAGAGTCCCTTTTATCAACCTCATCAATAACTATTTTAAGATAATTTAAATGTATTTATTTTCAGTTATTTAAAAAAGGCTAATTTAATGAATCAAATACATGATAAATTAATTAACAATGTTTATTTAAATATTGAATTATGATTTTTAAATTTATAAAAACCAGCCAGCTTTATTTATTTATTTTTTTTTGTATTTCAAACTAAAAAAAATATTGAAAAAAGTGGAATTATAAAAATCTATTTTAGAATAATTAAAATATAATTAAATTGATTAGGATTTATGTACCTTATTTTTCTTATTAATTAAAAGTTATATTCTTAATACTTTGCTTGGAGTTTAATGAGTCGATGCCGATTTTATCTGTCTCAAGAGGTGATTATGGAGATGATATATAATACGAGTATTTATAGTTTTATTGTTTTTCTCCTTAAAGATTTTATAATAAAAATCTTTTTCTTTCATTTTTTGAATTTTAGCTGTTTTCTATTTCTTCGATATCGCTTTGACTTTTAAGCGATTAGTTTTCAGATGATTTATCAATAGTGTCGCATTAATTCTCTGCTATTTGATATAGATCACTAAAATAGTCTATTTTATCACTGCTTTTTCTTGAGCTTTTACTGGTGAGAGCTCCTATTTAATAACTTTATGATGAATTATCAACTTAATTTGAGATAGGTTGGAGTGACTTTGAAGTTTTTAGCAGAGATTATTGACTTGTAGTTTTTATTATAAACTATTTAGATTATATTAGATTAGCCGTTATTACATTCACAGAAGGAATATCCCTTAATGAAGTTTCTCTTGTTGAGTTTTCATAGATATTATTGCTTAAACCGCTATTTACTGAGCATTAAGTAAATCTTCTTGTCTTTGCATTTTGATCTCCGTTTCCATAATCGAGCATATGAGATCCTCTTAAGTACTTTGAAGTTATTTCATCATTTTTTTAGATTTTAAAATCTGCTTAGGATTAAGCAACAGCTAAGTTTTTATCTTATGAGAATTTATCATCATGTTTACTTAAGCTGAAGCTATCTGTTTTCTAGGTATATAAACGTTCTTAATTGCACCTCTCTATGTTTTCATTTTAAGCTTTAAATTTAAAAAAGTATTTTTAAATGAATGAAAATGAAATCAATAAATAAATAAATCCTTTTAATCAACTAAGAAAAATGAAGTAAATTTTGTTTAAATTATTTGTTTGAATTAGTTTGTTTTTTATCCACAAATAAAAAGCAAGAATAAATTCCTTTTTTTCAAAAGCAAATTAATTTATTTAATTTTTACTTGATAGTTTTTAAAAGTAATCAGTAGAATCTCTTTCTGAGGAAATTTAATTTTTATGAGAATGTTAAAAATTAATAGGTTGTTGTTAAAATTCACTAATTTTCTTATGTATGCCAGCAGTGTATGTGAGAGATTTTATTCTCAAATCAGAGTTGTTTGAACTATTATCTAAATTACTTAAGTTTTATGTCTCATCAATTGTGATTGCAGGATAGATGTTTGTAAAACTTTAGTTTGATTTTAACATTATTGGTAAAGATGGAACCATCATAGGTGATGGCTGTAAACTACTTGTTTGGTTGTCAGAATCAAAATCAAGGTCAAGACTACCTTTTTTATTCTATTTTAAATTAGATTTAAATTCAATTTAAATTATTAAATTAAATTTTACTTTCATATTAGCTTGCTATTTGTATCTTTCTTTTCTTGACAATTAGGCATTTAGCTTATTCATCTTTTAAAGAAATAGTGTTTCTTATTTTATCTTAAGCTACTTCATGAGCTCAAGTTGGTCATTTCTTCTCTTCTGTTTGGTTGGAGAGCCAATGCATTTCTCAGAAATAGCATTTTTTTCCCAATTCATCTTAGAGAATAAATTAAATCTTTTATAAATTAAGCAGTTATTTGTGGTAAACTAAGTAAGGTGATTACTAAAGTATGTATTTTTTTAAATTTACTCTTTACTTATTTAAGATATTATTATAATTAATTTATTTAATTTAATTCAATATAATTTTACAGCCATTCAGAAATTTGCTTTTGACTTATTGTGAATCTTAATCATGAAAAATTATAATAAGCGGGAGTGCAATTTTTAGCTCACGCTTCTAGATTAATTGATTTTCTTTCTTGTTAGAGTTTGTAAATTTAAATTACTTTTTTATTTATTGTTTGCATGAAGTGATTGATCTTTTCATTTCTTGAAAAAACTGAAAATCATTAAAACTAGAAGGAAGGCAAATGATAATTATATTTTTTTTGTTTATTTGATACAAGCTAAATATAGAATATAAGTTTTTTTGAAAAGTTAATTAACTAACTGGTTCAGTTTAAATAGAGTGAATATCTAACTAGTTTGTTAGCTAACTCTTTTATTAGAAAAGTAAGTAAGTGATTAATACATTCATTCATTAATTTACTAATAATTTATTAAAGAATTAATATTTATATTTTATATATAGAAAGAATGTAATTAAATATTTCTTCTTTTCTAATTTTTATAAAAATCCTACAAATCTTTTTTTTGATCTGAATTCAGTAAATTAGTAAATAAATAACTAAATAAATAAAAATACTATCAAAATTATTGAAACTTAAAAATATTCTAAATAAAAAATCTAATTATGATTTTGTATTGTATTGTATTGTATTGTTTTGTTTTGTTTTGTTTTGTTTGTTTGTTTGTTTGTTTGTTTGTTTGTTTGTTTGTTTGTTTGTTTGTTTGTTTGTTTGTTTGTTTGATTGTTTGTTTGTTATTCTAGTTATTTAATTCATAGTATTTAAAAACCATGAATACTTATTTATTTATCTTTAACCAATTAGATTTTTATTTTCAAAGTTGAAAAAAATAAAAATGCACATTTCCACTTACAGCTACTAAGAAGAAAAAAAAAATTTATCTTATCATTTAATTTGAAGAATATTAAAATATTTATTAGATAAATTAGTAAATTAATGATATCTAATTATCTTTTACAATTTCTAATGATGATTTTGTTTTGTTTGTTTGTTTGATATGCTAGTTATTTAATTTTTAATATTCAATTAATACTTATTTATTTAACTTGAACTAATTAGATCTTTATTTTATATGTTGGAAGAAAAAAAATGCATTCTTTTACCTACCTTACATATACTAAGAGTAAAATATTTTTATCTTTTAATTATATTTGAAGAATGTAAAATATAAAAATATTTATTAGATAAATTAGTAAAGCAATTATTTATTTATAAAAAAAATCTAATTATAATTTTTGTATGTTTCCAAAATTAGCAAATTAATTCATAATATTTTATGTCCATTACTTATTATTTAATTAAGCTAGTAAGATATCTATTATCAAAGTCTAAAAAAAGATACATACATACATAAATACTTTGAGTTGCAACAATTATAAGTAAAATATTTTGATCTGTTAATTTTATATAAAGAATATAGAAATTTCATTATAATTTGTGTGAATTTGCTAAATAGATTAGCTAGTTGATTCATAATATTTAATGTCAGTTAATATTTATTTAATTTAGCTAGTAAAATCTCTGTTTTTAAAATTGAAAAGTGAAATATGCTTAATTTATTTGAGTTGCAGTAATTAAGAGTAAAATATTTTTTTGATCTTTTAATTTAATATGGAAAATATAAAAATATATTTTAGATAAAATATTTAATTATTTTTAATGTTAATTATTCCCTTATATTTAAAATTCTTATTTGTGAATTAAAAATAATCCATCAAAAATTTTGAAACTTTAAAGATTTTTTGTTTGCTTGTTTATTTTTTTATATAATTTAATAGTTAACTTAGGTTTAGGCGAATGAATTAGATTTTATTTTAAGTCAAAAATTGTTTTCAATTTTAATGTAAAGTATTCAATTTCATTTCATTGAGTCTAATTTATGTCGAATTTTATAAGAAGCTAATCGACTATACTGTTTATGCGACTGTTTTGTTAATTTATTTTGTTTTCTATGATTTAGGCTACTTTTTCCAAGTTGCTAATTTTCTTTGCATTCAAAAGAAGTATTTGGATTTTATTTTTAGCAGAAATATATTCAAGAAGATCTTTAGGATCCTGTGATCCCTCTAAGAGTTTTTTTTCTCTCTAGTATTTGAGAATAGCCAAGTGCTTTATATTATACACCATATCAACTTTACGAATGGCTAAATTTTTATGGAACCTTGTCTAAAATATTTTGTCAAATTTTTAATCTATTATATCATAATTTTATACGTTTCCTCCATTGTTATTGCCTAGAATTTCCATGTTTTATTTTTTCAGTATTTTATAAAAAGAACTCTATGCACTGTGATCAACATTCTAAAATGAAGAATTTGTATTATTAAGTTGGTCATTTTCACCCATTTAGCTCTCTTTTCGGTTAAGGATATTATTTTCTTACAAATTTAACAACTGACTTCCATCAAGTTACATTTCTAGATCATTTGACAATTAACTGTCATTGAATTACTATTCTCGTTCATTTTATTAATTAATTAGCTGCTTTAGTGGTCTGCTTTTATTGCTAAGATGGTCTGACTATTTGACAGTGTCTTGCAAGTAGTATTGTTGATTTTTAGGTGTGCCATTTGGGTTTAAATTCGAATTTTAATCAAACGCTCCTTTAAGATTTTTGAGAGTGAAGGATTTCTAATAATTATTAAAATTCTTAAAATAATTTGAGCCTTTCCAGTTTTCAAGTCCGTGAGATCTGTCTAACTTGTTTTCAACTCTTAATGAGTTTAACTTTTTGTAATTTTTATCTGTTTATTTATAATCTTAATTAAATTAGTTTTAATCATTTATCTCTGATTTAAGGTATGTCAACTTCCTGTTTTAATAGCTATCAGCTAGTAATTTGTTAATTAGAACTTTGTTATTTTATTTATTGATAGAATGACCTTCTAAGCCTTGTATTTTTTAAGAATCTCTCTTTTGATTTTAAATAGATTTATTCATTTGCTAATTTTGAATTTCTTCCTAATTGTTTCTCTGATAATCTATTTATTACTCCTTTCGAATTACTTTTCTCAATGCATTTAAATTGTCAATAAAATTTTAATTACAAAGTGATAACACATCCTGGTGAGGGAGCTTATCTCTTGTCTAATTAACATTTATTTACTAGCCTGTCAAGCTGAAAATATTATTATCACTTGCTTTTCTGTATTAAGACATTTCTATAGGTTATTTATTTGCAGTGTTGCCTACATGAAATGAATACTTAAAATTAGATTTTGTTGCACTCTAATAACCCTTTTATTCAGTTTGAGGTGATGGATAGATCGTCCTACTAATTTAACTGGAATCGTCCATTTTCGAGTTATCTCTTTAGCGAGATTATTATTATAACTTATCAAAAGAAATGAAATTATTGATTTAATCTGGCTGAGATTTGATTTTCTCTTCTTATGAATTTCGGTACTGAATATTATTAATAAAATCATTTTGAGCCTTCTAAAGCTTTTACTAAACCTGTATAAAATACTGTCTTGTTTAGACTTAACTCATCTATCCACTATTTTGACTATCCAAACTTCTGTCTTTGGAATTGTGTAACTCATTATTCTGCCTTTGAAATTTCCCCTGTAACTTCTACAACTACTCCTACTAACTTTACAATTCAAACGCGTTTTACTTAATTACCTCTTAAGTGATTTACTCCATCTAAGCCATAGATTGCTAAATATCTAAAGTAACATTGTTTCTATGGAGAAGATCATTGATTGAGCGAGCAGGAGCTGCTGCTGCCTTTCCCTAAAAATGGCTAGTTGTGTTACTATTAATTTTACCTGAATACTATGTTTTATTTTAACTTCTAAACTAAGACAAAGACTGAGATTTGCTCAATTAATTGTTAATCGATTTGCGCTTGAAAAATACCTAAGAAGTAAGGAGCCCAGCATTAGAAGAAGCAATCCCACTTCTCTTACTTTCATTTAAAGAACTATGTTTCAAAGCTTATGCATTAGAACCTCCTGTGTAACTAGTCTACCAATATTAATTAAATTAATTAGAAGATTGAGAAACAGGGCTCTAATTACCTCTGCTGTTTCGCTCTAAGCTTCCTACAAAGTGATTTGATTTTTAAAATCCTATTTGCAAATTCTAAGTCTCTTCAAGAAGGTTATCATGTTCGCTATCTCTTGTCTACCTAAAAATCTTTCCATCTTCCATTTTATTCAGCTAGCTAATTTATTTAGTATGCATAAATTTTTAATGATCTTCAGAAAAAACCTAATTAGCATGTTAAGAATTTTAGACAGCTTTAGCTGCAGTTATCCCTAAACCGAAGCCTGCAGAAAACAACTTTTTATTGTCTTATTTTGTGTAATCTGTCAGCTTAGTTTAGGTATCGCTATTAACTTTTACTAGTTTTTTCATTATTTATTTATAGTTAGTTAGAAAGTTATTTAGTATTTCAATTTTGTCTTCTTAAATCTACTGTTTTCAAAAATGAATATAAACCTTATTATATTAATTTATTAATTCTTAACCTTATTATATTAATTTATTAATAACTTGGTTAATAAAAAAGTCTTCTTTCTTTTATTTTGATTATATGCATTTTAATCAACCAAGAGAACAAAAAAACAAGCTAATTAATAAACAATGCTTTTTATAATTTTATTTAATAAACAAAATCAACAAAAATTTTAACAAATTTCATTTAAATGAACTATAATTATTAGTTAATCTATCAATCAATTAATACCACAATATATTATTTCAAACGCATAAATAAATTTATTAATAAATGTTTTGTTTTCTTTTGATAAAGACAATTTATTTCTCATTTATAAGAATTAGTTACATATACATTTTTATTCATAAAATATTCATTATTTCTATTATTTTTTTTATAAAAAATTTCTTTTCATTTTTAAATTATTCCTTTACAAATTATTCAATTATTACATTTGGTATATTTATTAATAAATTTGCTATTTTTTTATTAATAAAGGTAATAAATTGTTCAATTAACAAAGTTAGTTACATACTATGGATACTTAATAATTAAGTTCTCCCTTAACTAAGGTCGATTTCTGAGATATAAAGATTTTGGTCCAAATTTTCAATTTTTTAACTAAAAGCAATTTGCCTTAATAAGTTAGTATCAGCAGTCTAAATTTTATTCATTTTAAATAGATAAAATATTTATTTTGTCCAAATTATTAGATAATTTGTTTTAAATTTTAAATAATAATTTACAAATTATTTAATTCTTAAATTTCATTAGTTTAATAATAAAATTGGTTTCTTATTTTATAAATAAAGTCTTTAAATATTTTTTTATAAATCTTTTATAAATTAGTAAAATAAATGAACCAACATACATTTTTACTCATAATAAATACATTTATTTATTTCTTTCTCTAAACATTTTTTTAATCAAAAAATTTGTTTTTATTTTGAAATTATTATTTTACAAAATGATTATTTATTTGTTTATTTATTTATATATTTATTTACTTACTTACTTCATAAATTTCATAAATTCGTTGTCAAAAATTAATTTATAATGATATGCTTTTTTTATTTGGTAGATTTTATCTTAAAATTGTTTAAATAGATAATTAATTTATGATATTTAATTTTTATTTAAAAATTTTAAACTAGGCTTTTTTCTCAAATGAAAGATAGATCCTTTTCAATCAAGATGGTTTTATTTGCTTTGATGGCTAAATTGTTTATGGACTAATTTATGTTTTATTTTCAAATTTTAAGTTTTGTAATTCATTTACGAGCTTGGGAGAGTCTTGATTTATTATTTAATTTTAAGTGAGCAGCTAAGATGAAATTTATTTGAAATAAGAATTAACTAATAGCTCGATTTGCTTGTATGCTCCTTCTTTAGAAACTTGGTAGAACCACTCTATTAACTCTTCGAATTTAAACGTCTCTTGTTAGTTTTGAGCATTATAACTTGTTTCTTATGGTTGGAACTGTTTTAAACGGATTATACAAGAAGGTACTTCAAATATTCTGTTAATAACTCCACAACATAAAAGTAATAAAGCCATTCTAATTGATTTTAGACCAAATTATTCTTCAAATGAAATTTTAGAATATAAATTTTTTATGTTTTGTTATTATTTTTATGAAAGGTATTTATTATCAAGTGAATTTATACTTGAATTCAAATTTTAGTTGATAGACGATGTGTTTGTACTTTGGTTTAAGGTTTGGGTAGTCGCACTGCTCATGTTTATCATATTCTTTTAAGAATTATTTCTGCTCATGCTTTATTATTATTTTGCAGTAAAGTTGCTACAATTTTTACTTTGTGCTTAATTTTACATCATTGAATTAAAAAACTGATGGCTTTTATTTCTAGAAGGAGAATTGTACTACTTTCTTTAAACTGACTATGGAGAAAGATTTGGTGAAAGCTATTTTTGGAGAATCGTTTCTTTTATTTATTATACTTATTAACCCAATTCATTAATGTTTGAGAAGCATTTCGCAGCGAATCCATATACTTTAGTGAAAATTGTCAAAGTCACTGCCCTAAAAGGTAGCTTGATTTCATTAGGTAAACTGTTAATATAAATCTCTGCATCCACTTTTTAAGGTATTTCTTCATAAACTCCTCTTTTGATATCCTCAGAATCATAGCTATAATCTTAAACCTCTTAAGAGAGCAGATGATACTCTGGTGTCCACTTTTTAATATCTTGAAGAATCTAAGTTTTCATGTTTTTAAAAGCTTTGCAATTTACAAAGTTAGCCCAATCTTTTAGATCAAATATGTTGTCAGTTTCATCAAGGTAAAATTTTAGATTTTAGAGATAGTAAATTGCAATCTTGAGGAGAAAATATTTCAAAACAGTATATTCTTTTTAACCTAACAGATCAATAATCCATCCTTACTGTACCTATTAATAAGCGATAACCAGCACTTGGTACCTACAAATTAATAAATTATAGATCATAATGTGAGTGCGAAATTAAGAACTATTTTTCATCTTCATTCTAATTGTTGAGTTTCTCACCATCATTATGCTGCTCATTTATCCAGTTGTAATTTCTTCATTATTTTTGTTTTCCTCTTCGTCTTCTTGTTACTAATTTTCTGATCTATTTTCTTATGAAGTATTCCCATTGATTACTTGCTATGACTGATACTTGAAAAGTGTTGGAAATTTATTTTCGTAGAATTATACTTTTTAATTAATATCCTCCGTTTTGTGTTTATTGAGAGCAGGATGCTAAATTAGTTCTTAGAATCCGATTCTCTCTTCTGGATTAACAACAAATATTCTTTTAAATAAATCTTTCATTTATTCACTTATTTAAAAAGCTTATTCATCTGTTTTCTATTGAATATTTTATTATAATTGTAATTCCTTTTGAAGCTGATTTTTGATATCTTCTTCCAAGCTTACTTTGCACATTCTAGCTTTACTACGAGTTTTTATGAATAAGTCGACATCAAAAGGATGATCCTCGCAGCACTACTTAATTGCTTTGAGCAATTCAGAGGGGTTATCTTATCTTGATCCAAATGGAAATTAGAAAAAGAGCATTACAAATAGGAGCACACCTAAACTCCAAATATCTACTTTATAATCATAATAATTGCCCATCAGGACTTCAGGAGCCAAATACGCTTTTGTGCCACAGAAACTCCTAGCTAAATGCTCTTTTGTAGAAGTTGGGGAATTATCTAATTTTTTAGCCAAACCAAAGTCAGCTATCTTAATAATCCCATCTTATATTAATACATTTTCTAATTTTAAATCTCTATGAATGATTCCTTTCTCATGAATACTTTGAAATCCATTAAGAATTTATAAAAATAAATCAACAGCTTCCTTCTCCTCCAAAATATGATTTTTTTTATGATAAACATAATCTAAAAGGTTGCTTTCACAGTATTCCATAACCAAAAACTAGTATTGCTATTTGTCGTAGGGTAAATTACCAGAGAAGCTCTCAATCATTTTTACTACATTTACGCAATCAATTTTTTGTAAAACTTCAATTTCGCTCTTAAGTAATTTCTAAGATGTCTTTGTGATCTTTCTCAGCGTTTTTATAGCAACCACCTAATTTGTTTCATTGTGAACGCATTTATACACAACACCATAAGCTCCTCTTCCTTTAAGTAAAAAATTAGAAATATGATAAATACTAATAAATTTCTACCTAAATAGCTTTCTATTTTATAATTCCCTATCTCAGTTAGGTACAGATCCATGTTTATGAATAAATAAATGTCAAGTAGATCCTAATTATTTGTGTATGTCTGATAAATTTTTTTGATAATAACTTTTAAATCTATAAAAATTGAATTATTTGTTTGATATTAAACTCAAATTTAAGAGGCTTTATTAATTTTTCTATATGATTTTTTTTTCTTCTACTAATAAAGAATAAATAATAACTATTTATTTTTTATAATACATAAATAGTAGAGTTAAGAGACTAAAATCAAATCACCTCTCATTTTGTTTATTCGTATATAAGTAAAATAACCAATCAGATGAGGATATTACATAATATAAGCCTTATTATAAACTTAGCAAAAAACTTGATGTAACTTAAATAAAATACACTGTATTTAAAAAAATATAGACAAAAAATCTATTTCTATTTTAATAAAAAGTTTCATTTTTTTTAATTATAAATGGTAGACTGTAAAGTTATATTTAACAAATTTTTTAATGATAATATTAAATTGTTTTAATGTCTAATTAGTTAAATTCTTAATTAAAACTAGACACAATCAAACAAATAAGGAAACAAAAAAAATCAATCAATTAGAAATATTTAAATTTATAGCAAAAAATTGATGATAGAAAAAGAATGTTAGTAATTATGTTTGTAATCAAGAAATAATAATAAGGATTATTTTTCAGCTAAATACTCAAAAATTACATTTTGACATATATATTTTTTTTTATTATTTATTGATTTTAAATATTTAAAATCATCAAAAAATAATTTTTTAATAATAATTTTTAAATTTTACTGAAAGTTTATCCCAAATTTTTTTATGATAATATTTAATTTTAAATTGATTTAATGTCTAATTAGTTAATTTGTTAATTAAACCTAGACATAATAAAACAATCAAATAAATATGAAAACAAAAAAATCAATATATTAAAAATATTTAAATTTAGAGCAAAAAATTGATTGTGTAAAAAGAATATTAGTAATTATGTTTGTAATTAGGAAATAATAATAAGGATTATTTTTCAGCTAAATACTCAAAAATTAAATATTTGTTTATGCTTTTTATATAATTTATTGATTTTAAAAATTTAAAATCATCAAAAAATAATTTTTTAATAATAATTTTTAAATTTTACTGAAAATTTATCCCAAATTTTTTTATGATAATATTTAATTCTAAATTGATTTAATGTCTAATTAGTTAATTTGTTAATTAAACCTAGACATAATAAAACAATCAAATAAATATGGAAACAAAAAAATCAATATATTAAAAATATTTAAATTTAGAGCAAAAAATTGATTGTGTAAAAGAATATTAGTAATTATGTTTTTAATTAGGAAATAAAAATGAGCATGTTTTGTCAGATAAATACTCAAAAATTAAATATTTGTTTTATATAATTTATTGATTTGACAAATTTAAAATCATCAAAAAATAATTTTTTTATATTGATTTTTAACTTTTACTGAAAGTTTATAACAAATTTATTTCTTTATGATAATATTAAATTTTAAATTGCTTTAATGTCTAATTAGCTCTATCTTAAATTTAATCTAGACACAATCAAACAAATATGGAAACAAAAAAAAATCAATATATTAAAAATATTTAAATCTATTGCAAAAAACTGATGATGTAAAAAGTATATTAATAATTATTTCTGTAATTAGGAAATAAAAATGAGAATTATTTTTCAGATAAATACTCAAAAATTAAATTTTGGATTATTTTTAAAATAATAATTTATTAATTTTACAAATTTAAAATCATCAAAAATCATTTTTGTTTTTTAATTTTAACTTTACTGAAAGTTTTTTAGCAATATTGAAATGAGTATTTAATTCAGTGCTTATTATAGATTCTAATTTTGTTTTTTTGAAATAATGAGAGATTTGTTTGTTAGCCAATCTTTTATAAATTGTTAAAAATTATATAGAAGTTTACACCTTGAATCATTATCAAAAATTGTATCAAATTATTAAATAATCTAAAATATTTGTAGAGCAAATTAATTTGAATTTATTTCAAGAAAAATATGAGTTCTCTAAAAGCAGCTAGAGCAGATAATTATTACTATCCTTAAGATTGGGATCCATCAAAGGTAACGCAATAGATTTTATAAAAATTGTTTCAGTTAGTAATTTTTAATCCCTTCTTTTTTACATTAATTAGGGATCATTAAATAAATTCTAAAATTCTCATCCTTTAGGAGATCGTGCTAAAAAAATAGATTAAGGAATTTTGGTTATTAGATATGAGACACCATTCCATGTAAGATGCCTAAAATGCGACAACATGATTGCAAAAGGTGTTAGATTTAATGCTGAAAAAAGAAAAGGTAAATAATATAAATTTTACAAAATTGCTTTGTTTTCAATGTTAAATTCTTAAATATAAAAGTTGGAAAATTCATGAGCAGCACTATTTGGGAGTTTAAAATGAGATGTCCTCATTGCTCAAATAATATTATAGTGGAAACAGACCCAGAAAATACAGACTACAAATACAAAGAAGGTGCTAGAAGAATTGTAAATAATATTATTAAGTTTCTTTTAAAATATTCTTTAAAAATGAAGTTTAAAATAAATAATCTTAAATACTTTTGAGTATTTTTTAATGTATTTTTGTAAATTAAAATTAAAAGCTCAACACAGAAAATGCTAAAACAGACGTCTAGTTCATTCGTGATGATTCTGAAAAAGCTAAAATTTAAGAAGACGCATTTTATAATCTTGAAAATAAGAATTCTGATTAAAAGGTAGCTGAAATTGAGAAACCCAGAATACAATCTATGATGCAAATGTCTAGTGTAAGTTAAAATAACCAAATTATAAAACAAAAAAATAAGCATTTGTAATTAAAAAAAGGACAGATATGAAAATGATTTTGACAACAACCTGTTATTGAGAAATAAGTTCAGAAAAGAGAAAAAGCAACTAGAAAAAAAAGAAGAAGAAGATAAAAAAAATGTAAATTTTGTTTTGCCAATAGCGCCTACTAGACAAACAGATATGGTAATTTTTAATTTATTTATAAACAAAAGTATTTATTTTAATTTATAAATTATTTTTGATTAAACAGATTAGAGTTAATAATGCTCATTTTAAAGGGCCTAATAATTACCAAAAGAATAAAATCGAAAAAAGATCTGAAATTCTAAGAGCTAACATATTTCAAGATTAAAAACAAGAAGAAGTAAACAAAGTGTATAAAAAAATCGATAAATTGCCTAAATCAACTTAAATTATGATAAAAAATTCCTTAAAGTTAAATCAAAAGAGTTAAAATTAATTTAACATTGTACATAAAAAATGAATGATAAAATAAATAAGTAATAATAGTTAACAAATAAATAAAATAAAAGTAAATTGTAGATAAAATATAAAATTGATTTTTTAAAAACTTAATAATTTATTAATTAATTAATTAATTAACTGTCTGCATTTTTTTATTTATTTATGTATGTATAAATTTCTTTAAATTAATTTATTTTTGTATTATTTATCATCAATTTTTATAGTTACAATTTAAAAATAATTTTATTTTTATTAAATTTCTTAATATAATTATTGAGTCAATCAAGTCAGTGATTTTTAATATTTTTTTAGCATCCAGGACATTCAATAATTTATAATAAATATCCATAATATTTATTTATATATGCTTAACTCATAATAAATAGCATTGGTGTTGATGGAAAAGCTTTTAATGAATAAATTAATTTTTGAATCTAAAATAATAATAAGATTCAGAACTGTGTTCTAATTATTCTAATTGGGTATAATTTACATCTTTTTTTGATGAATCCTAAAATTATAAAAAATTAAAAACACTTTTAAAAGTTTTTTATTTTTGTATGTGATTTTTACTATTTAAAATTAAATCTAGTTGTTCTTTGTGAACTCTATATATTTCTAACTATTTATTTATATATTATTAACTCCTAAATAAATAGCAAGGGTTTTAGTGGTGAATTTATAAAAAGTAATAATTTATACATGTAAAATAAAAAAAGATTTCATAACTGTATAAAATTAACAATAATTTAAAAATCAATTTGATAAATTCTAGAATATATAAAACAAATTACAAAATAAAATTAAATGTTTTTGTATTAATATATTTCATTATAATAGTGTATTACTTATAATTTTTACTATTAAATTTAAGTTTTTTGTGGGATTTATCTCAATTAAAAGCCCTATTTCTAATTCTTTTTTTATTCTTAACTTTTAAATAAATAGAAGTGGTTTTAGTGGTGAGTTTTTTATTAAAGTAATAATTTATGCATCTAAAATAAAAAAAGACTTCTGAACTGTATTATAATTATGCATAATTTATAAATAAATTTGATAAATTCTAAAACATACAAAATAAATTACAAAATAAAATTTAAATATTTATTTCTTAACATATTTGATTAAAAAACAATTTACTCAATCTAATTTATCAATTAAATTTAGGTTTTTTGTTAGACCAATTTTAATTAATACCTTTATTTATAATTATTTTTTTTTTTCTTAACTCCTAAATAAATAGCAGTTGTTTTAGTGGTGAACTTTTTAATGAAGTAATAATTTATTCATAAAAAATTTTATAAAAACAACTTAAGAACTATCTATAATTTTTATTAGAAGTAATTTATAAATTACCTTTATTAACCTGAAACATTAAAAATAAATAAAGCATAAAATTTAATGTATTTATTAATTAATACATACCTTTAGATTAATTAATTTTTGTATTATTAATTATAATTTTTACTAGTTACAATTAAATTTAGTTGTTTTTTGTGAAATCTATTTCAGTTAAAAATTTTCATCCTAATTATTTGTTTGTATATTCTTAACTCCTCAATAAATAGAGGTGGTAGTAGTAGTGAAATTTTTAATGAAGTAATTATTTTATGCCTCTAAAATAAAAAAGACTTCAGTCAGAACTGCATAATAATTAGTTAGGCATAATTTATATATGGATTTTGTGAATCTTAAAACATACAAAATAAATTACAACACAAAATTGAATATACTTTAAAAAGTTAAAAAATCAAATAAAAATCTTCGTCTTCTGTGAGATTTAGTTATTTATTTATTAGAAAGAGTAGGAAGGAAAGTATTAGCAAAATTAAAATATAAAATGGACTAGCAATATCCAGAATTAAATTTAGCTACTAAGTTTTTTATAGAGAACAGAGAATACGAAATTAGATGGTAAAATTTATTGTTTTTGAAGTAAACTCTACATTTTTTGCTTTCTGATCTAAAATATTTTCCTATTAATCAATCAATTTGTCAATGAGGTTAAACCTGCTTTCAATTTATAAAGGAATAAGTCATCCAGACTAGATGATATGTTTTAAATAGCATAGTTCATTTTAAATGACATATTAAAAATTTACTCAACTGATCAAGCGATAGTTAAGGTATTTTATAAGTTATTAAAAGCTTTGTGCTATTTATTTCCTTTTTATTATTTAGGATCACGAAATGCAAGAATATGGACTTAAAGATATTATTTCATTTTAAGTTAGAGAAGTTTATGTCTTTCTCCCTCATAAGAAAGAAGTGAGAACATACATTAAGGTAGGCCTTATACATTAAAATTCAAATAAAACATTAAGCTGCGAGTATTTTATCATTTTTTTGTTTTTATCAAAAGAATGATTAGAGAGAATTTAGATAAGTTTATTACTTTGTTAGCACTGAATAAGTCAAAATTGAGAGATTTAGAGAAAAACATACTAGGATAGATTCAATGATTACAAACATGTCAATTATAAGGTAACATTTTTGCTATTCAGAATTTCACTCAAGTTTAGTTAAATAAATATATTTTATTTTTATGTCAAATAGAAAGCAAAATTAGTAATTTGAAAACACTCTAAGATAGATAGTAGAATCTAGATTAAATAACTTGTAAATAAATAATCCTTAATCTCCAAATCTTTTCTTTGTTTCTGAACCAAGCAAATAAGACGATTTAAATGAAAAAGATGATTAATTATCTCCTAAATTTGGATCAACTGATACTAGCAGTTCATCAAAAAGCAACTCAACAACAGCTTAGAAAGTTCCTTCTTTTGGCTAAATTAACAACAACAATAATTTCTTAGGAGGATAAAAAGACTAATTATTTGATACCGATGACTCCGACCTAAAAAAAAGATAAAAAGTTGCTGGGTTAGGTACTTAGTAGGATTATTTGAAAAAGCAAGCACAATAAAAGCCAGCTGAAATAAAAGGTTATACTATGTAAGAGGTAATGCATAATAATATTTTAAATTCAATATGAGTAATTAATTGCTCATTTTGATTAACAAAAAGGTTGCTCATCATAATACAGAAAACGATGCTTGGATTGTAATTAATGGTAAGATATACGATGTTACTCACTATCTTAACTATCATCCAGGTGGAAAAGCTAAGTTAATGTTAGGAGTAGGACGTGATGGAACAGAGCTATTTTAAAAATACCATCCTTGGGTTAATGCACATTACATTCTTTAAAAAAATCATATAGGTTTTATTGTTTTAAAATGAAAGCTGTAAATAAATAAATAAAGTAATTAAAAATGATATAATCATAGTATGTATTATTATATATAAATCAAAGTATCTAACTAAATATTGCAATATATTTTTAACTCTCATCTTTATTAATTTTCAAAAAAAATTATTTAACATCTTTTCAAATCTTAAATTGTTATAAATGATTCATAATAATTTATTTATCTAACAAAATAGATCAAAATTAGTCAATTTAATTTCATTTTTTAATCAAAAAAATTTTTTTTTAAATAATGTCTAAATAAAAACAGTTTAATTAATTAATTTTAATATTTAAATTAGAAATAAAAATTTTGTTTTATAAATACTTAAACCAAAAATTAAAAGATTAAATTTGATTTCTATTTAATTAAACAAATATTTTAATTGAAAAATCGACAAATTCATTAATTATTAAAAGATTTTCTTATCAATAATTTATTTTTAAAAATACATTTTTTTTTTGTTTGTTTATTTATTTAAAAATAGAAAATGTAAAATTAATTTAGTATAAAATATTCTAAAAATTCAATATATTTTGGTCATTTACGATCAAGTAGTTATTTAGTGCTATAATCTCTTTTATAAAATTAAAATTATTTTTACTAATTAATTATTAAGATTTTTATTTACTGTGAATTAATGAATGTATGAAATAAAACGAAATAACATTATCAAAGTTATCACTTAGTTAAATTAGATCTTTTGAGATTAAAATTTTTTGTTTTTATTTAAAAGCTTAGAAAAAACAAATTATCAAAATGAAGCTAGCTATTTAATAAAAGAAATTTAACTTAATTCTATTAACACGGAGATTAAATATAAAACCTCTTTATTAATTAATGAATATTTTTTCTAATTTAATTTTAAATTACAAATTAAGCAATTCTAAATATTAATTTTTAATTCCTGAGGAAATATTAAATTATATTTATTTATTTTAAATAAAATGATAAATGATGATTGATTATAATTTAAGTTATTTAATAACATTTATTATAAATTTGCTAATTTTATTTACAATCTTAACAAAAATAGGGAATAATAATTTAGTTTAATATAAATATCAAGTAAATTTATTTAGAGTTGTAGTAGATTTTTGTTTAGACATGAAAGAAGAAAATCCCACACTCTGGTTGAGAGACTGAGAATCATCATTTCCTTTTTTATTGTCTTTTTTAGTTATCGTACTGCCTCTGCGTGAGGCTTCATCAGTATTTTCATTATCTGACTCATCTTCTAAATCTTAGAAGTCTATACCATCGTCATCATCCACATTCTTTTTAGCATGCAGTTGCTTTAAGCTTTTCATCTTTTTTTGCAGCAACTCATTGTCAGCAAATAGTATTTGTGGAGAATCTGATGCAACTTAATAAGCATATTTATATGAAGCTACTCTGTAACATCTATGAACCTCGCCAAGTTTATATTTTACATCAATTTGAGGTTTAAATTTACTTATAAAGAAATTTATTTATTTAATATAAATTAGTTAAAATTAAAACTTACTCATCATTTTTACTGCTCGGTTATAAGTGCTTTGTTATAGAAGAAACAAATGCATTATTTCTCAAAAAGTTGTTAGTTGATAAGGTAAATATTTTTTTCTTATGAGAAGAACTAGATAAAGAATCCGAACTTTTTTTCTGTTTAAAGTTGTCTGCTGTTTGTTTCATATCTACTCCCTTTCTAAGCTACGAGTGAGAAGTTTAAGGTTGTATTACAGGCAAGGAATCTTTTGTACCTTGAGATAGTTGCAATGTGCTTTAATAGTTTAAATGAGTGCCTTTCGTTTGTTATTTAGTATATCTATTATTCATCTATTCAGGATGTAATTTCTGGTTAGATGCAGCTTATGAATAGCTGTTTGTTTATTAATTGGCATTGTTGTTATTATTATCGTTATTTGTATAATTATCATTATTTTATGAATCTACGTTGTTTATTGCATTTTATTGTTGGCTATTTGTGGTACTGCTAGGATAATTAGTAAAAAATTTTGTGTCTAATTTTATTTTATATAAAAAAATATTAAATTTCAATTTAGATTTTTTTAAAAGTGAAAAAAGTTTTAAATTGAAAAAAATCTTAATAAAATTACTTTGTTTGATTTTAAAATTGGATAAAGAAGTTTTTAGTTTCAGCTTGTCTTAAACACCCTGGTTTTAAGTTTATTCTTTGTTTGGGCTCAGATTTTTTACAGCGACTTGGAGTTATGGTGAAATAATGATATTTTCTTCATCATTTGGATAATAAATTTAATTGAAATTTCCATTCAGCTCAAGGACTTTATACTAGTTAATTTCTTTGGCGTATCGATATTATTTTTTTATGTATTCTAAATCCACTTAATTTTATTCTTTCTCTTGTTGAGCTAGTCTCTTTAGTCTATTTTCTTCTTCTTCTTTTTCTTGTTCAAATTTTTAATATATTTTAGCAAATTCATCTTGTAGAGAAAGCTGTGGTTTTGCATTATATGCTATCTTTATTCCCACTTACTAGTTTTCTTCCTCCTGCTTTTATTTTTCTTTTTCAGCTTTTTCAGGCTCATCTTACTCAATAACAATTTTTTACAGCTCAGTATGCTCATTATCACTAAAATATTTGCTTGTTAAGTATTTCATTCTTACTTTGTCTTTTGAATCCTTATTAAGTTATTCGTTTTCAATGATTTTAAGGGAATCAAATACAAGATCTAAATCATTCAGCTTTTGATTCACCCAATCAAAAGGAAAGTTCCATTAGTTAGGCTTATCATATTGTATTATATTTATCTAATTATAATTAAGTTAACATTATTAATATTATTTTTTTATAAAAAAAACTATTTTAATTACTTTTGAAAAGTATTGACCTTCTAAAGACCATATTTTTACATTCTTATCATGAGAGCATGAGAATAAAGTAGGTGGCTCTTGAATTCTTATGAGTTTATTTACTATGCCTGTATGGGCAACCCATCTTTTTAAAAGTACTGAGTTTGTAGCATGAACAACCATTAGATTTTTATTGTTTCTTCTTTCTAAGCCAGAGATCATGTTGTCAGCAGCTTTAGTTGCATTAATTAAATCTTTTCTTCTTAACTGAAAGCTTTGCTTTTTTTTATCTTCCTTGATTGGAAAGATTTATCTGTTATGTAAAATATCTGTGAAATTCCAAATGTGCATTAAGCCTTTAGAGTCTCCAACATAAACATAGCAAAGAGGATTTTTTAATTGTGTTTATTTGGAAATATTTTAATCGTACACATCCCAGTATTTCTAAAACATTTCATAAGTTTCTCTGTTTTCTTCTTGTCCCTTTGGTGAGCTCTCAATATCATTTTTACGTATAGGAGAATGAAGTATTTCATCCTTAAATAAATGAGAAGTAAGCAAATTATGATTAGAATTTATCGTTTATGAATCCCTATTTGAGCCATTTTGGTTTTAGGGGTTTAAGAATGAATCTTCTCCAGTTACTTGGTTAGTGGCAAAAAATATTTTTTTCCCTTTAGAAGTTTTTTCATTGTTGCTATTTCTTGAGATGATAGGATTGAATTAACCAACTTCTGGAGGTTCAAAACCATCTTTCGGTAATTCTCTGGGAATAGGCTCTGACTAATAACTTTCATTCAAAATAGAGTTTATTGTGATATTAGTTTCAACTCCATTAATCCAGTGAGTGTTCATAATTTTTAAGATAGCCTTGTATCTAATAATTTTTACTTTTATATAATGCAAATTCAAAAATATAAAAAATCTACTTATATCTCATAGGAGCTAGTCTAGAGCCCCATAAATATGCCACACCAGCAGAGTTTGTAGTTAAAATGACAGGATAAGGATCCAAAAATTCAATTTAAATTACTTCTGATTCATCTGCCTTTAAAATACCTTCTAGTTTTCCTGTTTCAAAATCCCATAAAGCCACAATTCCTTTATTTTTAATTAAAATTTATGGATTTCAATAACTGTTAAATATAAATCTTTACCATTTGCAGATCCGCTGGCAAGTAAATTTTGCTTGGCAGAATAAGATAAAGAAATAATTTCTGAATCTTTGTGTGCCCCACTTAATACTTTTATTAGAACTGATTCTTCTGATTCTGATTCATCATAAATCCTAATAGTAGAATCCCAATAAGATGCAATGAGCAATTTTTCTTCATTAATGTAAATAAGTTAAGAAACTTCGTTTGTTTCTTTCTTTTTGATATGTGATTGCTTTTTTGAAAACTCAGAATCTTCAATCTCTTTAACATCATTAACCTTCTTTAAAAACTCTCCGTTTTTCATATTATATTACCTAATCATCCCTGCGTTATCTGCGAGAAAAAATTTTCTTTGTCTAGCACCAAAGCAAAATAGTGCCATCTCGACTGAATATTTATCATCATGTATTTCATTAAACACTTTTTTCAATCTCCCAGTCATGGCGTCGTATAACCTCATATCAATCCTAATTAATTTATTTATTAAAAATATTTAATTAAATTAGGATTTTTATTCAGGCAAAAACAAAAAAATAATTTAAAAATGAATTTTCAATATCAAAAAAATGTTTTTTTAAAAAGAAATTTTCAATAATAAAAAGAAAATTAAAAAAAAAATTACTTTGTTAAAATAACTAATTGGTTAAAATAAATATTGAAATCAACACTTAATGGGTACAGATCATCATTTGCATTTTTCATATTTTTTTAGACTTCAGCATTTTCAAAGTAAATTATTCTTTTGCCAGCAAGCAAGAACCTATCATATTTCCCTGTAATAAAGCACACATCTGTAATCAGAGAGTATCCTCTTTTTTAAAAGTAAAAAATTAACATTAAAAAAATAAAAATGTAAGCCTACCCTTCAGCAGCTATGACCTAGATAGTACTCATGCTACGAATATCCCAGATTCTTATATTGCATTTATCATCAATCGAAATCACGTTAGGACTTTGTGGAATGAATTTGCACTGTACGACTAAACTACTATGACCTTCTAGTCTAGCAATAAAAGCTCTTGTAATCGATATTTCGGGGCACCTTATATAAAATAAGTATGTAAATATATTTTAGATTGGTTTAACATAATTCATTTAAAATTATAAATTGATAATAAATGATTTACCAGACATTAATATGTTGTTCAAAACCAACTGATAATAAATTAGATCCATACTAGTGAGAGTATGTTAACTGTCTAACTCCTCTTTCACAATTTGAAGGATCCTTGAGTTCTGTTAAAAGTCTTGGTTCAGAATCAGTTAAATCCCATAACTTAATTTTTCCATCCAATGAGGCAGATGCTACTAAGCGAGGTGCTGCAAGTTCTACTACATCCATAATTTTTCCTTTATGTGCTTTAAGTAATTTATCATGCTAGAGCTTTGATTTTTTATTGTCTCCTATCTTAATAAACAAACAACAAAAAATGAAACAAAAATAAAATAAATTATAAAAAAGTACAGAATTTGAAGGGGTAAATATCCATGTTTTTAAGTTGAAATCATCTCCTGCAGTAACCCAAATTTAGTGCAAAGGCAAATACCATATTCCAGTTTAGAGTACATCTAATTTTGCACTCTTTAAAACCTTTTAGCTGAAGCTATTTTCCCAAAAAATCAATTACTTTTTAGATGTGACAACACCTATCTAAAAATAATTTTTAATAAAATTAATTAATAACAATTTTAAAAATGCTAAAATCTTACAGTGTTTATAGAATCTGCAATAAAGAAATCAATAATAAATGAGACTTTATTGTATTCAGTAGGAACAGTCAACCCTATCTTCTTTTTATTAATTATCTTTTCTTAGCAATCAGTAGTATAAAATTTTAATGTATTGGAGCTCTACTCTAGGATGATGACATTATCATTATGAGGTGAGAATTATATTTTTTTAATTAGATTAGAGTGAGTTGAGTTATCAAAAAATTTAGCTTAAACGTATCTTTTTGTCTTCCTTGAATAAGCTTTATCAATAATTTCATTTTCTGTCAGTTCTCTTTCTTTCTCAAACCTAGCTGTTAATTAATATATTTTTTTTTAAAAAGTTTCATATTTATCATTTGTATTATATTTTAAACTAAATAGCATCGAAGCAATAACAGTTTTTATAGAAAAAATTCATATAAAATAGTTCTATTTTTAAAGCTAAATATGGCTTTAAGTTTAATTAACTCCATTCTTTCATTTAAATTAAATTTTTTTATTATTTTACCATCAAAAAATCTGCCATCTTTTTCTCCTATAACTGCATCAATAATATATTAAGTAAATTCGCTCCATTCCATATGTTTATCTCCATTTATATCAATATCTTAAAAGAGTTTAATTAGTCCTGTAACTAATTCATATTTTTCTTCTACAGGATGTACAATAGCACACTTCATTAACCAAATGAAATTCGCTAACTCAATACCATTTGGATGTTCATTAAATTCATCTTCTAAAGCTGCCAATTTCTCATTATCTAATAACATCATCAACCTAAATTTAAGTTAAAATAAATTCATTCACAATTTATTTAGACTGATTCAATATTAATTTTTGTTTCTTTGATTGTTTACCTTTCTGCTGTGTAAGGATTCTTTTCAAACCTTAGCAGGTTGGGATGATCCTTTAAATAGTTGATAACATCTTATAATTTAGGTTCTATTTTTTTTAATTTCTGCTTTAAACTAAGGCTTTTAGCTTCCTTTCGTTTTATTTTATCCATTTGAATTCTTGAGCAATTAATTATAAAGATTTCTAAAGATTATGGATTTTATAGCAGTTGATTTATTTGGTAAATAGATCAAAAGAGTATTTTTAAAATAATTAATGTAGCTTGCTTGCCAATAAATTATCCTAGCTATTTAATAGGAATTTTCTAAGAGGTTTAAATATTGATTATTCTATCTACTTTCTAAAAAGCTGAACCAAAAGCAAACAAACAAGCAAAAAAAACAAAATACAATTGATAAATAAAGATTCTATAAAAAATATTAATTAGGACCAGTTAATTGAAACTTGTAATTGAATAATTAAAATTAAATGTTTTATAATTTAATTTCGCAATGAATTGGTTTGGTTTTTATTAAAATTAGAATTAAATTATGTTTGTTTAAAATATTTTTCTTTGAAGTTATTTTTAATTATTTTATTTTTAAATAGAATAACTTTTATTATGTCTTTTCATTATAATTTTAATTGTATTTTTTATTTTTATAATCTTTGAAATGTAAAAATTATCAAATAAATTAGTATTTTAAAAGTTGTTTTATTACTGTTTTACAGTAAGTAAGTTCTACTTCCTAATAAAACTAATTTTTAACGTTGATTATTTTTTTTTAAAAAAAGTTTTAACTTGTTAAATAAATAAATAAAATTAGAAAATACTTGTTATGAATTTCGCCTCCATTTTTATTTACTAAATATAATAAATAAGATTAAATTTATAAAAAACTGGCATTTAATTCTTAATAAATTGTAACTTATTATTTCATCATACAAAAACATTCATTTTTTACAAAAATGTATTAGAGCAGATAATGATTCAATTAAAATTGTATAAAATACAAAATTTAAAATTATAAATGATCTAAAGCTAGCTAACAAAGCATAAATTATTTGCTTTCTTTATTAAAATTCAACAAAAATATACCGAATTTCCTTGATTCATACAAAAGCCTAAATGGATATTTATTTTATTGTTAAAAAAATTAATTTAAAAGTTAGTTGTATTCCTTGTATGTGATTCTTCAATCAAAAATCGAGGAAATGCGGTTTTTAAGATTTTACTTGATACTAAAATGATTTAAGCTCTGCTTTAAAATTTCTATTAATACAGAGATATTTATTATTAATAAAATTAAGAAAAAATAATTTATACAAAGAACTTATTTTAAATTTAAATAAAATCTCTAATCAAAATTAAGTAGTTTGTAAATATAATTGAAACTCGTTTTCAAAAGTAAGAAGAAGAGAGAGTTTCAAATTTAAATTAATTTATGCTATTATTTAAAGAATAAAATAAATTTATAAACAAAATTATTTCTATTTCAAATCCAACTTTCTTTTTTTCTTAATCACTAATATAAAGCAATTTTATTACATTAAGTTAGCACTTTGATAATTTTATTAATATTTAAATGATAAATTTAAAAACAACTTAAATTTATGAATTTGCTTAGACATATTCTTAAGAGAATTTTAAAGAATAAAGAAGAAAAAAATTGTTAATAATTTTGTTATAAAAGTTGTCTGTCTGTATGTCTGTCTAAATTAAAGGTTGGTGTTTTCTTTAAGATTAATTATTTTTTGAATGTTTTGTTTTTTTTGACGAGTTTGAATGATAAATAGATGTTTTAATTAGTTTGAATGAATATTTCTTTATTTAATTTAGAGAGAAAATGAATCTTTAATTTACACGTATCAACTTAATAAATGAAATAAGATATCAAAATTAACTCTTTTGTTATTTAATTAAATTGATTTTTATAAGTAAACAACTAATTAATTAATTAGCTGTTCGTCCTTCGTATCTTGATCATTTGATATGTTGCGTGTTAGTTTTTTATTAATTATTTAATATTGATTTGACTGTTTTAGACATTAAATTAAAATGCAGTAGCAGTATCTCAAATAAAAATAATACTTAATAATTTATTTTATTTGCATTTTTAAATTATTTGAAAAATAATTGGTTGCTCTTTTAAAAAGTAGCGAGATAACACAAAGTCTGCAAATAAACAAAATTATAAGCTATTTATAAAGCAAACAAGCAAATTTTAAGTACCGACTTACTGAATATAAATGCGTTTCATTTATATTGCAGTGCTGATTCTCTACACCGCAATTCTTGCGAGTGCAGGCTACAGAAAGCACTATTAAACATTAGAAATTAAATCTAATGCCACAGAATAAGAAATTAAAAAGGCATATAGAAGATTATCTTAAAAGTATCATCCTGATAAAAATCATGAAGCTGGTGCTTAAGAAAGATATCAATAAATCAACCAAGGTAAATAAGGCTCTTAATTTAGTTCTTATTTGTCCATAATTCATCCCCGAAATCTTATTTTGTGCTCATTATAATTTCAATTTGAAAGAAAGTTTGCAGCTAAATTTTAAAATATTTTTTAAAAAAAACAAAGCCTATGAAATTCTCAGGGATAAAGATTTGAGAAGAGTTTATGACTAAGAAGGAGACGAAGGTGTTAAAAGATATTAACAATAAAAACAACAAGGAAATCAAGGTGGTGGTGACATTTTTGATATGTTTGGTGGCTTTTTCGGAAAGTAGCTATTTAAATTAATTGATTTATTTGAGAAACTTATGGATTTTTATGCAAATAATTCTCCTAGAATGATGATTTATGTTGGTGTCAAATTTATTTAATTGTTTTTTTTAAATTAGTTAAAGAAGAAATGTTGAAAGAAGAGGTCCTGAGTTAAAGATGAGATTATACGTTAGTTTAGAAGATATTTATAATGGAAGTGAAGTTCCTTTCTTTATCACTAAGCAAATTTTATGTCCTCACTGTAGAGGTACTGGAGCTGATGATCCTGATCACATTAAGACATGTCCTGCCTGTAATGGTTAAGGTCACGTTATCAGAAGATAACAAATTGCTCCAGGATATTACCAATAATTCCAATAAACTTGTGATAAATGTGGTGGTAAAGGTAAGACTGTAACTTCTAGATGTCATGTTTGCAGAGGTTCCAAGGTAAATAAAAAAAATAAATATCAAAGTTATAAACAAAATGCCAAAAAATAGTATTAATTAGCATTAAACAAACATACAAAAACACATTAAAGTCATAAAGAAAAATGAAAGCGAAATATATAAGAATAATCATAATTTATTTTTTAATAATATAGACTATTCCTGGATATGATGAGATGTCAGTATTTGTTGAAAAGGGTATTGGTAACGGTTAAACCATTGTAAATAATATTTTATTTAAGTGCTTTTATTAGATTTACTAATTAATGTTTATTTTTTAATAGAAATTCGATGGTGGTGGTGACGAGTATGTTGATGTTAGTGCATCTGATATAATTTTTGAAATTGCTGAATTACCTCATTCTATATTTGTTAGAAGAGGAAATAATCTTCACATTAACATTTAAATTACTCTTAAAGAAGCTTTATTAGGATTTAAGAAGAAAATAAAGCATTTAGATGGCCATTATGTGAAAATTAATAAAGTTGGTGTCACTCAACCTGAAGAAGTTTAACAAATTCAAGGAGAAGGTATGCCAATTCATCAATAATCTTCAAATTTTGGTGATTTGTTCGTTAGATATATAGTTAAGTTCGAAAAGCAATACAATACCAAGCAAATATAAGGTAAATCAATTCTTAAATAAATAACATGAAATTTGATAAATTAAATATAAATAAATAGCATTAGAAGAATTCTTCAAGATTCCTAAATGAGAAGAAATGTTAATTAGTAATTTGATAATGCGAGCAATTCATCTTATACAATAATTAGTTAGTTAGTTATTTAGTTAATATTTTGTTTTATGAATATTTGTATTGTCCAAAAACCATATCTTTGTATTATAATTTAATTTTAATCAATCATTTTGTAAAAAAAATTATGAAGTAATTAATTTTAATTTTACTAAAATTAAGCATACATAAAGCATTATAATATATAAATAACGTTGTCTGAAGGATTTATTTTAGAAGTATTAGAACTTGTAAATTAAAATTTAACAAATTAATTAATATAAATAAATACATTTATATATATTTACATAAAATAATCTAGTATTAGCTTTCTTAAATTTATAAATTTTACATAAAAAATTAATGAATAGATTTATTTATTTATAATTGAATATATTTAATATATTTAATATAATTTAATTTAAGATTATTTTATTTATTTATTAATTTATAAAATTTAGTTTTGTTTTTTATCATCAAAATCAAAATTAATGTTCCAATTTTCAGTAAATTATAAATTTAAATTTAAGGATAAACCCATAGATTAAATCTTTTCGAAATAGTCTAAAAACCATATTTTTGTGTTATAATTTAATTTTAATCAATCATTTTAATATGCAATAATTAATTTGAATTTTACTCAAATTAAACATTCAAAAAGCATTATAATAAAAAAATAAGTGGTTTGAAGGATTTATTTTAGAAGTATTAGAGACTTGTAAAATAAAATATAACAAATTTATTAATATAAATACATTTATATATATTTACATGAAATAACCTAATATTAGCTTTCTTAAATTTATAAATTTTACATAAAAAATTAATGAATAGATTTATTTATTTATTTATTATTTATTATTGAATATATTTAATATAATTTAATTTAAGATTATTTTATTATTTATTACTTTCCAAAATTTAGTATTGTTTTTTATTATCAAAATTTGGGTTAATTCTCCAATTTTCTGTAAGTTATAAATTTAAATTTAAGGATAAATCCATTGATTAGATAAATCTTTTTGAATTCTTTCAGTTCAATATTTCCTCTTACTGTATTTCTATCAATCTTCAATTCGTAATTTTTAAAAAATTATGAAAGAGGGATTTAATTTTTTAAAAAAGGCTAATTGAAATCTTATGAAATGATGTACCTAGCCAGCAGTCAGCGGAATTTCAATGCCAAGATTTATCCTCTTAATTTTGGTATATCTTTTAAATGGGAAATTACTGAGGCAATAAGGTAAGTTAGTTATTAATTTATATTTAATGTCATCTTAGAGTTTTTGAATGTTGAGAAAATTAATCTATCAATTTTCATAAAATTTTTAGAGTTGTTTTTTATTTACTAGCTTTTAAGATTATCAACTAATATTTAAGAATAACTTGAGGCTATCATGGAACTTTTCAAGTTGCTAATAGACTTACTAAATTTATAAGAAATCACTAGAAAAGCTTTCTATAATTGCATCACAAGAGATAATTTCAAATGTTTTTGATTTTTTAAAGAGATTTATTTGCTCGAGTAATTGCTTTGCACTACTCTCTCCCTTAGAATAAATTTAACTTTTGATTCCCTTAAAAGTAGTAATTATTGAATTGAAATTAAACGTGTTATGCTTGGAAGAAATATCAGCATTAGAGTGAGTCCTAACGAGATTCTGATACATAATTAAAAAACCATCAAGAATATCTATTGTGAGAACTCCTATTTTTTTTATTCTTCCAAAGTTACTTTTTGAGGATTAGTTTTCTTGTTTCTTTAAGGCATCAATAAAGTTCTCTGTTGATTGTAGTTTGGACTCTAATTTAGATATTTTTTAATTTAATTCGTTTGCTTGAAGATTACTCTTTACTAATTGAGATTGCAATTCAGCAATTGATTGATTACTTTTTACATTCTCTTCTTGTTACTCTTTCATTTTTTAAATGAGATTCTACATTTCGTTGCTTGATCCTTATGAGATAGCTTACAGACTTTCGATTTATTGTCTTAGTTTTTAAGCTTCATCGTTGCCTTTCTACAATTCAGATTAAAGCTTTTGAATTTTTTCTTGATACTCCTTATTAATTTAATCAATTTAATTATTTTGTTCTCTTTTAAGCTGCTCAATTTGTGATAGTGCTTCGTATTTGTCTAATTGCATTTATTTCTTTAATTAAGTTATTTCTGATTCTTTTAGTTGTAGCTGCTCAAGAGATTGTTAGTATTTTTATTTGAGAGACTCCAACTACTTTTAAGTCTCATCATGCTCAATGCTTATTCTTTTAATTTATGAATCTTTCTCTATCATATCAATTTTATTCTTTTCAATTTATGAATTTAATGTAATAAATTCCTTTTATACTTAAGATAATTCTTATTAGTGGGTTTAAATAAGCTCATCTTTTTCTTTTTTGCTCTTTTCCAAAGCTTATTTTAGCTCACTTTCAAGCAAAGAATAGTTTTTTTATAAATTGGAATATTTTTATTCTAGAATAGTTATTTTTTCCTTAGCTTCGTTCAAGCTGGCTTCGCTTAGTTAGTTTTTATTTTTCATTTCTGATTTAGAATCTGATAATTATTTTTCTAATTCTTGAATTTGAGAAAGTAGAATAGAAATCTTTTCTTCTTTAGTAGCATTTTAAGTTGTTTATAAATGTACTACTTCTTCTTATTTTTGACTCAGCTTTTCTTAGAGCTACTTAATACTTAACTCACTTTCCTTTTATCTTTCTTCAAGCTAAGATAGAATTTATTTTTTTTCATCTAATTCTTTCTAACTTTGTATTAGCTATTCTTCTAAATTTTTTATTTAAATAGAATTGCTATTTTGGAAATTTGCTAACTCTTTTTCTTTGTTTTGTATTTCGCTTTAATGCTAATTAATTAATTCAGTCTTCTATTTTTGCTCTTCCTCTATTTGTTTAGTTAAAATTGCAATATTCTCTTGAAGCTTTTAAATTTCAGCTGATTTTAGTTCTAATTTTTACTCACTATCTTCTTTTAGCTTTGTCAGTTCTGATTGATATTAATTAGTAGATGTTTCAATTTATTGTTTATTGTTTGATATACTTGATTCCAATTCTTATATTTCATTTTTGAGAGTTTGAATTATTTTTAAGTCTTCATCTTTAATTTATTCAATTTATGCAATTTTTTCTTAATTTTCTTTCGTTAATTCATTTAACTAGCTTTCTAATTTGTTGATTTGCTCTTGCTAAGATTTTTCTTATTCCTTTTAAGCTGTTACTTCTCTAGTTATTAAATCTAATTCATCTTTTAAAGTTTTAATTTACTTTTCGTAATCAGCAACAAGACTTTAATTCTCTTCTTTCATTTTTTATTCAATTTAAATAAGTTACTACTGTAAATTTGTACATTCAGATTCTTTGATACTTATCTTTTAATTGAGATTGTTAATCTGTTCTTACATTTATTTTTCGTTTTCAGCTTAGGTTTGTTTAAGAGATTTTTACAATTCATCAATCTATTGTTTTTATTAATCAATAATTTCCTCAGAATTTTTAACTTGCTTTTATTGCTTTTTAATTAATTCTTCTTATTCGGTCATTTTTTACAAGTTTTATTTGATGCTTTCTTGCAAATTTTTGATAATTTACTCTTAGGCAAGTTATTATTCGTTATACTCTTAAATCTTGCTTTTGTTTTAAGATATTATTTTTTGTTTTTCTTACTCTACTTAAGAAATTTGGTCTTCAGAGTTAGTTAGCTTTTCTTTAAGAAGATTAAATTTCTTTTAAAGACCTTCTTTCTCTTCTTCAAATGATACCTGCTATTATTACATGAGCTTTTCATGCTTTTCTTTAAGCTACTCTAGTGACTTTTTGTGCTAAATTTCATTATTATCCTGCATTTCAGAATACTTTTATTCAGTCAGTTATTACTACTTTTAAAATTTTTCTTCAATTTTTTTAAGATTTTACTCATAATTCTATGATTCTCTCTCGAATCTTTATTCTAAGTCTAAACAATCCTTATTTTTTTACTCCAATTTCTTACATATGACCTCATATTCCTGTTTTGAAATGTAATCATTTTTTAATATTTACTATAGCTCTCCTATTTTTTAAGAGTGATCTGAATTCTCTAAATTTGAAACAGATGTAATTTTTTGATTGAGGACCTCATTTTTTAGAATTAATTATTTTATTTCTTCTTTTAATTCTTCTATTTGCTTATTTAAGATTAAAATTTTATCCTCTTCACTCCTTTTATTTAATTGCATTTATCTCAATTATTCTTCAAAATCTTTAATCTATATTTAAGCTTAGTTTAAGTATTTTTCTTATTCTACAGTTTTTAATTTCAATTCTTAATTGTTTTGTTTTTACTTTTCGTACTTTCTCATTGAATTTTCGTATTACTCCTGCAGCTCTTTAGTCCTATTTTCTTTACTTTAATTCAAAATTTCTAATTCCTTATTCTATATTTTAGCATTTTCTAAATTTAATTGAATTTATTCATAGCGTGACTTTAATTATTCATGCTAGTCTACTTCTTTTTGGAGTCTTAGCTATTCAGAACTTAATTTCTCCTCAAGAGATCTTATTGTTTCTTTATTTTTACCGTTTTCTTCAACCAAATTCAAATAAAGCTTTCTTTATTCTTCCAATTTTAAATTTAAATCGCTAGTCTGTAAAGTTATTTGCTCCTTTTCTTCTTGCATACGGAATATCTATTGTTAAAGAGAGTTGTTGTTGCTTTCTATCTAATCAGATTTCTTTTTAATTTCAGAAATATTTTCCACTTCCTAAATCTTTTCCTACTGCTTTTGCTGAATTTAACTTAATCTACTTATTTAATCTTTAAGCTATTCAATTATTTAATTCTAAGAAGAGAATTCATTAACCATAGAGTCATTAAGTGATTTAATTTTTTCACTTGACTGAGCTTAAATTGAAGTTTTTTCTTGTTTTGCCTACTCTAACTCTTTTTGTACTAATTCCAATTTGCTCTCAGTGTGCTTTAAAGTCTCTTTTAAAGTATTAAATTATTCTTTTATTTAATTTCTCTATTCTTCCAAACTGTCTCTTTGCTAGCTCATATTCTAAATTTTTTGTGATAACTCATTTTTTTCATTAATAGATTTTTCTAATTAGTTAGAGATATTATCATACTAAGCTTAAATTTTTATTTATTCATTTTTTAAAAGAATGATTTCATCTGATTTCGCTTTTGCTTCTTCTATAATTGTGCTAATTTTTTATTTTTTTGCTTATAATTTTTGTAATTCTATTTCTGATTTCTCTTCTAACTATTTCATTTTCTATTCGTTTTTTGTTAAAGTTTCTTTCATTTAATTAAATCTATTTTCTAATTCCATTTTTTCTGTCTTAAATTGCTTATCTTAATTTATAATTTATTCTTTTAAATGATCTATTTCATTAATCTTTTAATTTAACTCCGTTTGTAGTTTAGTAACACTATCATTTGCAACTTTATTCTCTTGATAATTTGAATTTAATTTTTCAATTTACTCCTTTAACTGTTTGTTTTCCTCTCTAAAACGTTTGTTTGCATTTTCTAGATCTTGCTTCTTCTCATTGAGCATTTATAATTCGTATTTTATTTATGTTTCAAGCTCAGAAACTTTAATTTTATAATTATCAACTTAGCTTTTAAGGTCTTCAATATTTTACTGAAGGGCAATATTTTTTTCTTCTTCATTTTTAAGGGCTTTGTCATTTTTATTTTGAGATGTTAAATCTGTGAGTTATTCTTACAAGCGATTTTTTAAGTCAGCTATGACATCATCTTTTTGACTTTCAACTAATTTTTTGAGTTCTTTTATTTGCTCAATTTAGCAATTCAAAGACTCGCATTTGAAATTAAGCTAACTTATTTGAGCTTCCTTCTCAGATATCTTTTAATTCAAAGATATTATCATTTCTTTAGATTCTTTAGCTAGCTTTTAATTTTCTTCTGCTTCTTCAGAGGCAACAGCATGTTTATTTTCTAAAAGATGTTTACTTTCTAAAAGACTCAATATTTTCTAGTGAATTTCATTGCACTTCTCTTATAGTTAATGACTTTAATTTTTGATACTTTCATCTTTTACAGCCTAAAGGGAAGTTTGGATATTCGAAAAATGTTGTTAAATCAAATCTTTTAAATTATTTTCCTATATTTTCTATTACTTGATTGTTTCTTATATTTCACCTATTTCTTTCTAAGCATTTTATATTTATGATAGCTCCTTCATATTTTGTTTTGATTAGTTTATCAAGCTTTCCTACAAACAGGCAATATCATTTTATAAAACTTAAACTATTTTTTTATCATATTCTTCAATTAAATTTTTTTCCTGCTCTTCTTTCTTTTTAAGAAGCTACTCACAATCTTGCATTTTCTCCATAGCATGGCTCAGCTTGTCTTATAGTGATTGAATCTATAATTTATACTCGCTTTCTACATTAATTATTCCTTTCTAAATTTCGGATTAAGAAATTCTTTCAAATTATTATTTTTACTCCTCAACAGACTTCTAAAACAACTCTTCATATTTACTTAATTACTACTTCAACAAGTCAACTTTTTCATTACTCTAGTCAAGAACAGTTTTTTGCTAACTGAAATGCAAATCATTTAAGTTCTTTATAGCAATCTCGTGTGATTAGCGTAATTCTCTGTACTTTGATTATTCTTCTTTAATCTAATTTTCATAAATAACCATGCTTCTCTCATATTTTTCTTACATTAATTACATCTATTTCTGCAAATTTTCTCTAATTTGTTCTTCAATATTATCATATTATCTTTTCATTTCTTATTGCTGCTCTGTTTGATTTCTTTCGTGTTACTCCATAAGCTTCTAATATGCATCTTCTAATTACTTTATCTGTCTTTCTTAATCTTCTAAATCATTTCCACTTTCTTAATTTAAATAGCTCTCTTCTTTTTAAATTTTTTTCTTCTGCTTTTTTTAAGAATTTTAGATATTTTCAAAATCTGCTAATTTTTATTTGAATTATTCTTCAAGATTAGATATTTTTTAATTAGTCATTAGCAAATTTGAAGCAATCTCTTAATTCTTGCTTTATTCAATTTATTTTATTGCATCTGTTTTTTCCTGTTCAATTTATAAAATTTTACTGTTTAAGCTCTCGATTTAGGTTTAGTGTTATTTTTCTAATTCAAATATTTAGCTTTTTAACTGATTTTCCGTTTCTTGCAGTTTTTCTTATAATTAAGAGCATTTCTGTTTAACTTTTGCATTTTTCTATTCTAATTGGTTGATTAATTCAGTCTAATAATCATTTTTATGAGATTTTTCTTTCAAATTGCTGATCTCAGTAGCTATTTAATCTTTGTATTTAGCAAAATCTTCTGTTAAAAGTAGGTATTTGCTATCTTTTTCAGTATGAGAAATTTTTAATTTCTAAATTTCTTCTTCTAAGTTCTGTTTTTCAGATGCATTAAGCTAGATAAATGTTTCAAAAAGTTGTAAAACTGTTAAATTACTTAAATTTAACTAGCTTTAATTTTTTTTCTAGGCAATTTCATTTTGCATTAGGCTCTTAAGAATGTCAGCTTGTTGTTCGATCAAAGCATAATTCGTCTTTAATTAAATGAAATCTTATTCTTTTTCATTGAGCTATACAACAGAGTGATTTTCATGAAGCTATTTAAGCTTTTCATTATCTTCTTTTAGGTGAGATATAATAGCAGCGAACTATTCTTCAAAATACTTTTAAAGAGTTTGCTTTTCTTCTTTTCTGTTATTTTGTTCGCTTTCCAAGCTAATTTACAGCTATTTTATTTATTCTTCTTTGAATTAGCTTATTTGTTCAGCTTCTTTCATCTTTTAAGAGGACTCAAAGTATTTTTCTTTCATTTCATCTATCTTAGTTTAATATTCATCTCTCAATTTATTAATTTGAGCAGACTCTGTCTTGATCTCATTTTAGAATTACAGCTAAAGTTCATTTATTTTTTGTTGATATTACTCCTCTTTCTTTGTAAAGTTATTTTGGTTTTTCTCATCTATGCTCTTTAAATCATTTAATTGATTTAAGAAAATTTATTTTTCCTTTTATTCTTAGGCTACTTGCTGCTTCAGTAAAATTAATTCCTCATTCTTTTATTCCAGTTTTTATTTAGTTTCATCATAATTATCAGATTTTATTGATAGATTTTCTATTTTACTCTCAAGACTTTTAATAGTTTAATTTAAGCTTTTAATCATTTCTTTCTATTCAGCTATGCGCTCATTCTTTTCCTATAGAGCTAAATTCAAAGCCTCTAATTCCTTTTTATTAGAATTATTAGTCTCAGAAATTTTATTCTAGTAATCACTCCTAACAATATCTATTTAGTTCTATGAATTTTAGCATTGTGCATGTTCTCTTTTGACAATTTCTTTTTCTAAATTAATATCTTAGCTCAGTTTTTAAATTTCTTCATATTTTTGTTTGATTTATTTGATCTCTTCTTCTTATTTCTCACATTGAGCTTAGAAATACTCTATTAACTAATTCTTATCTTCTTTTTTCTTATCAAACTAGACAATGATGTCTTTTAGTTATTGCTGCTACTCAGTCAAATTTAATAAATGTTTCTCAAGCTATTCTTATTACTCTTTGATCAAGCTGCTTCTAAGACTTAGTTAATTTTACAGCTCCTCCTGAGCTACCTTCTGAATACTTAACTATTTCATCAAATTCTAATACTCTTAGAAATCTTACAGGTACTTATCATACTTCTCTTTATATTCTTACTACTATTTCAATATTTCTTCTGTCAATTTATTTTGTTTTTCTTCAAATTAAACTGTTTCTTCTTAAAGCTTTTACCTTTCTTTCATTAATAATTCCTAATCAATTTTAAGCTAATCGCTAAGAGAATCAAGCAATTTTTATTTTTCAGAAAGCTCATTTTGAGCCAACTTTATATTCTCCTAGCACTAAACTATATCTCTAATTTAATCGAATTCAGCATATTTCTTTTTTAAAGCTTCTTCTACCTTCATTTCAATAATATTTTCTCTAACTTAAATATAGAATGTGCTTTCATCATCATCGATATTGTTATCAGTGTTATTCTAAACATCTGATGATATACTTTATTACAGCTTCTTCTTTTCTATGATATTTCTATCATTTAAATCACAAATTAGTTTTAAGCTCTTTTGAAGCTAAACCATAAGAGTGTTTATTTGGATCTGTTGCTATTATGAAGCAGCAACCAAATCAGTATATTAAGATATTTATTCAGTATTTTCTTTGCAAACATGATTTTCGAATTAGTTATTGTTGATAAGATTTTAGTGATAAGGACAGTTTTGCATCATCATAACGATCTCGTGGTCTTCATTTGAAATTCCATTTTTACCTCCACTAGACCCAGCTTAAGGTTAATCCATATCGCTTTCAATTTCCTTTTAATTAGAGCTAAATTTCTTGCAATTCGAAGAATTTTCATCATTTTCTGTGTAATTATTTTAAGTCATTTAATTATTATTACTGCTAAATTCATCGTCAAAGCATTTTATGTTTAGATTATGCTAATTACCATTTTCTGCTTAGTTTTCTTCTTCCTCTTTGACAAACGTATTGTTATTCAAGTGATAGACACTATTATATTAATTAGAGTTAGTCAAAAATGATGTGTTCATTAGCTAATTATTGTTATTATTGTTATGATTAGCATTGCTATTTCCAATATTACTATTCGGCTGAGTACTATTATGAATGTTAAAATTAGGGTGTAAGAATCCATTTAAATTTTATTGTTAATTTGAAGCTATGCAGTTATTGTAATTACTCATTTGGTCATATTAAAAGTTTTATTAAGATTAGTTTGATGGTTTTTAGCTATGATTCATGAGTCTTGCTTATGAAGGCAAAACTGGTGATGGATTAATAAATATGGTATGAGGAACAATATTATTGAGGTTATTATGAGTGTGGTTAATCATACTTTTGTCTCCCTTAAAGCAATTGCATTTATTCGGTGAATTCAAAGCAAACGATCTTTCAGTATTCAAAAAGTTAGTCATAGTTACTGGATTAACTACACTTGCTGTTGTATTGCTCAAAATTTAATTAGTGTTATAAGATATTTGTTTAATTTACTAAATAGAATTGTTTAACTCCTGCAAATACTTTTAAACACCCGCTCCACTTAATGTTTCTGATTAATTATCTTGATTCTATTACAAAATGCTGCTCAAAGAGCTTTGCTATTACTGCATAATTAAGTCTTACTGTATTTTTTTGACAATTTAATTCTTAATTTCGAAGTAATCAATTTCGTCTTTATCTTTCAAGTCAATTTCTGGAGTGATCTGTCTAACCATTTGAATGAATTATTTCTCTTTTTCTTTGAGCTATGTAATTTTTTACTCAAGTTTTGATTTAAATAGCTCCACTCTTTACTCGTGTTCCTTCATTTAATCATAATCGTGCATCCTTTCAGTGACCAATTGATTATTCTTTTTTTCTAATTCTGCCAACTATCCTTTCAAATTAGATATTTCATCCTCTAGATCCCTTCTTCTCTATCTTCTCTGGCTGATTTCTAAATTATTCACTTCATTCACATCTTCTTCCTCTTCATCTTCAATTTGAGGATGTGTTGGGTTCTTGTCTAAACTACTGCAAGAGTATTAATAATCACTGCTTTTATTTACATTGTTCGTAATAAACTGACCATTCACTAACCCACTAGTATTCTGTAAGAAAGAGCTCTACATATTAATATTTTATTAAGGTGGAATGTTTTAGTTTAATAGCTAATTAGTAATAAGAAGTGGAGAATAAGATCTTATGCTATCTCTATTGCCAGGGATATTATAGCTATTAGGCATTTGTGTATTCAATGGAGGTAACGAGGAAGGATTATTTACATTTTGAATATTGTTTCTTCCTTTATTGTAAATTTAAGCTATGCTACGTTTGATTGACTCATATCTATCCAAAATATCCTTCGAGTGGACATTAATGATAATTTCACTCAAAAGAGAAGAAATATTTTATGTTATATTATCTTCAAAGTGACAATAGTCTTAGAAGAGTCTTATAATAAAGTCATCATACTTGTTCAAAACGATGCTAAACTATTGAATACTTTCATTGTGCATTTGTTTTGCTAGCTCTTTTTCAGAATCAAACATACCAACTATACCAAGCAATTAATCAATTTAATTTTTGAGGCTATCCACTTCTTCTTAACATTAAATCAAGTCTTCTTCCTTTTTGTGGTACTCCATCTGTAACTCTTTAATAGTTATGATTTCTTTCTTTTCATATCTATTTAGCAAGAGGCAGGTTTGATCTCTTTCAGTAATGACCTTTTCTAATCTCTCCTTCAACTCGTTTAACTTTTGCATCTATTTCTTGTATTCATTTGATATTTTCTGGTTTTCTTCTCTTAATTTAACACAATTCTATTACAATTCATTCAACTACTGCTAGAGCACCTCATGTTTATCCTTAAATTAGTGCAACTTTTTAATTAACTCTTCCAAGATGTTTGAATATTTCATTCTCAAATCTTAAACTGATTTATTATCTCTCATAATTTCATCAAATATCTTTTCCATTTCACAAATTTGTTGATATTCCAATTCTCCTAGGATTTATTTAAGATAATTTTATCTTATCTATAACGCTTTTTGTTGAGCACCAACTAATTATCCTTTACCTTACCAGTTTAAATTCTTTAAAAGCCCCTATTCTGCAAAAGCTTGCATAATTTCTTGATCTTCCTCATCACCTCCTCCTTCAGTATCCAAATTCAGTCTTTTGTTTATAATAATTGGTTCCTTGCTATTAAATATACTATTAGGTTATTTATCATTAGGGATAATTGCAATTGGTGAAATATCTCCTCCATCATTACTTGAGCTAATTTAATTATTATGAATAAGATTAGGATTATTTGGATTATTAGCATTTATTATAACACCTGAAACAAGTTAGCTAATACTATTATTATTAGTATTAGTATTATCTCCAACAGCCATGTCTTACAAATTCATTTAGTACTAATTATAATAAAAAGACTATCTATATTAAAATTGTTATTATAGCAGTTTATCATTCTTTTAGCTAAGCTCTTATCTTAGTTGCTGAATTAACTGGTCTTTATCAAACATAGTTTAATCACATTCTCTTTTATAATTGATAAAAGCTAAATGTAACTTTTCAAAATCTCTCTCAAACTCGTTGATTCTTTCATTGCATTTATAATGAATATCATTAACCTCGCTTTTATACTAATCTTAAGCTGTATTGATTTTGCTAAGCTCATTTTATAAGTCTCTAAGCTTTTATTCTTCTTTGCTTCTATCTATTTTAAGTTACTTGGCATAATTCTAAATGTTCGTTTAAGATTGTTATATATTATTTTATTATGTTGATCCTTGTTGTTATTGTTACTGTCCAGCAGGATGTGTTCTAGCTGAGTTTGGTCTTACACTGTTATTGTTTTGCTTTTCAGCACTATTATTGATAACAATAGTAAGCTAATTGCATTTAATCTCATCATTTTATTTAGATGCAGAAAAATTCAGATTGCCTATTTTCTTGCGAAGAGAGTTATATTAGTTTGAAACTAAATGAAAACCCAATTCATCCTCAGGATCATTTTTAGTAAAGTTAAACTCTTAAGATTCGCTATTTGCTATACTAATATTGCTAGTATTACTATTATTATTTTTATTTTATTAGAATAAATTATTGAAATTTGTAATTGAAATTTGGTTGTTTAAATTATTTTTTCTTGTAGGAGTTGTGATTCCACTTTCTCCAGCACTGCTTGGTGGGCCACTTTTCTTTCCATTTGAATTTAAATTTTGAATTTATTATTTTAAATTGCTCCCAAGAGAAATCTTACCATTCAAAATACCTTCAGCTAATTCAGGTTCATTTATAACAGCTTTAATTCCTGACTAATTATTGCTTCTTGAAGTATTAATGCTTGTTTGTTTTGCACCTTTATAAGAATTTGTGGACGAAGTGCTATTTTTGCGTGATGCTATTTAATTGGTACTTTTCTTATTTTATAACATTTAATCAAATATATTTAAACTATTTTTTAGTTTTTCTTGCTCATCTTTGGATAATAAAATTGGTTTTTTCTTTTATGATGATTATTCTACATGATTGATTTCTTTCTTTTACTCATTTTTTCCAGAATTCAAAGGAGGCTTCTTGCCTGTACTGATTGCAGGCTGACTTAAAACATCAGACTTTTAGGATGAATTTAAAACTGAATGATTATTTTCATGTTCAAGGTCTTTAATTAAGTCATTATTGTTTAATTAAGAAATATTCATGTTCACATCATTATGCTGTTTCTTATTTATATCATCTCCTCCTCCTCCGCCTCCGCCATCGTTATAATTATTTATAAATTCACTAAAGTTTCTTTCTCTATTGGAGCTGCTATCTTCTTATTAATGAAAATTAGAGTCCTACTAATCAACTGATTATTTTTCTATATTTTCCTGGTGAGAAGACTTCTCTTCATTATCCATCTTGCTTTATAAATTGCTTAGTTCAGCTCAAAATAAATAAATAAATTTAAAATTTCCTTGCTTGATGTTCTTTAACTTTGTTTTATTTGCGAAGGCAAATCTTTTGCAGTTTGCGGAGTAAATAAGTAAATATAATATTTATAATTTTTTTTTAATAAATCTATATTTCAGCAATATGTAAGAAAGTATAATTTTTAATATTAATTTATGTTGTTTGTTTGTTTATTTGTTTTTTCTTTGATTTTTATAATAAATTTATTTAATGTATTTGCTAATTAGTTTCTTCGATTTCTTACTGATAATTCATTTATCAAAGAATATTTATTTATGTATGTATGGATGAATGATTGCAAATAGCAAATAGATATTTAATTATGAAGAAATTACTATTGTAAGAATTTTCATAAAATAGTCATGTGATTCGCTTTTTTGCTTGCTGCTAAATTATTGAAAATCCATCTAAATAAAGAATCAAATAATAATTTAACAAATAAATTTATTTATTAATTTTCAATGATTTAAAAAATCACTTTTTGCAAAATCAAAATTAAATACTAAAAAGAGAGGGAAGAAACTCTATCTTTTGGTCACCAAATTTTAAATTTGATTTCTTTTTACTAATCAACTGATAAATAAAATTTAAAATATCTATCACTCTAAAAAGCGAAATTTATCATTCGCATTCATTTGAGCACACTCTTCACATCCTCATATTGATTATTTTATTAATTGTGCTTAGTATTTTTAGATTTTTACTAAAATTTAGAACAAAACTTTATGTCTTTTATTACAAATCTAATACAAAATACAAGCAATGCGTTTAATTAAATTTTTTGCTTTTTTATTTTCTCTCTGCAATTTTTACCATTAAAATCAGATTAATATTTATAAAATTTAATTTTATAATTTATCTATTTTTATCAAAAAATCTTTCCAGCTTTTTAAAACAAAAAGAGACAAAAAGACATAGATATTTTAGGTATATGGAATAAATTATACAAAGCAGTTAAAAATAATTAATTTATTATTTTATATAAAAAATTAATATCAATCTAATTTTACCACATTAATAATCAAAACAAACTAGATTTTTATTTGTATTAAAAAAAAATTTATTTTTTAAAATATAATAATTTAAAATGATAGAAGCAGTTAATTACTTTAATTTCTCAGTTTTTTAACAATTTCAATAATTTATTTTTAAATCTTATTACTAGAATTTAATTTGTTATTTTTACAGAATTAATTTTCGAAAAATTTGTTTAATTAATATTTTTTATATTATATTGCAGAATTAGCAGTTAAATGATAATAATAAATAACAAGAAGAAGTAAACAAACTACCAAAAAAAGACAATAAAAAGATGCAAAATTATTTTGCGTTTAATTTAAAATTTTATATTAATAAAATAAAAATATTTGTTACAAATAATCTTTTTATTAAATAAGCAATAACATATTAGATATGTTTTTAAGTAGTAAAACAACTTAGAATATAAAGCTTAATTTTAGCTTTAAACTGATAAATATTTTTATTATTTACAACATTCCATTATTTTACTAAATTATTTAAAGTAAACAATCAATTTTAAAAGAAAAGTAAAATAAAATATTTATTTTATTCTAAATACTTCAATTTAATTTATTTTATTTATCAAGTTTCAATTTAAAAAAACACTTTTGATAAAAGATAAGATAAATATTGATTTAAGATATTCATTTTTATGATTTATTAAGCATAGAATATTCTTAGATTGCTGATACAAATTATAAATATTTACATCAAATTTTGATAATATCTTAAATAAATTAAACTAAAAAATAAAGATATAAAGCATTAAAATGAGAAAAGGTTTATAGTTGTTAGGATCAGCTTTTAAGAATAATTCTATTTTTAGAAGAAACAATAAGCTTATTTCAGGACTTTCAAATATATCTATTAATCAATTGCCTGTAATTTGCTTATGATTCATTTCGCACTAATAATTTAACTATAATTTTGATTTATCTAACAATTGTTTATATTTAGAAATTCTAATTTAGCCAAGGAGATGGCAAATACTCTGAAGAAACTATGGCTAAATTGAAGCAATAAGCTTAACAATTTTACGAAACTGAAGTTAAAAGTAAAGATACTCCAGTAATTTAAATTTATCATTTAAATGAGTATTTTTTAAGAGTGTTTTAATTGCATAGATTTACGATTTGCAAAAACAAGATGAATGGCAAAATGTTGTTTTGGATTCACCTATTCCAGTTGTTTTAGATTGCTATGCAGAGTATGTATCTTTTATGGCTGATAGATAAATTAAATTTATACTCAATTTTTTGTAAATAAAAGTTGGTGCTAACCTTGCTAAAAATTAACTCCTATCCTTGAGTAACAAGCAGCAAAATCCTAAGGAAAATGGAAATTAGTTAAGCTAAATATCGATAAATTCCCCCAATTAGCAACTGCTTTACAAATTTAATCAATTCCAACTGTTTATTTGATTTCAAATAAAAATGCTATTGATGGATTTGTTGGCGGTATAGATGAGGCAGAATTAAATGCCTTCTTTGAAACTGTTAAATAAGTAGCTGGACTTACACCCTAAGAAGATGACGTAAAAGATAAGTTAGCTTTGGCTTCTACTTTCATAGAAAATGACACCAAATTAAATGAGGCTAAGGCTATTATTCAATCTGTAAAAATATTTAAAAATTAATAATAAGCTAAATTAATTTTAAATAAAAAAACAGCTCCTTGACAATGAAATTTATAAAAATAAATACGGTGGTAGACTTATTAGCTAGTTAAGTGTAATCGCTGCAAAAGAAGGAAACAAGCAAGATGCTTTGAAATATTTAAATGAAATTCGTACCAAATATTCTGAAGAAGCCAAGGATGAAGAAGTAAAAAATACAATTTATATTAATTTAACTAAATTGTTATAAACTCATTCGTAAAGCCAAATTGTGTTAATAAAAATAATTATTTTTAAAGAAATTGCATAAAAGTTAAAAACTTGATTCTTTAAAAACAGATTTAGTTGTTAATGAAGAAAGCTGAAGATATTTTAGAAGCTTTAAAAAAGAAATTATCAGATGACCCAGAAATAGATAGATTGAAAGAATTAATTGAAAAAAATCCTAAAAACCCTCAACTTATTTTCAACTTAGCTGAGTATTAAGTTAAGAAAAATCTTCACGAAGACGCTATTGAAAATCTATTCTTGGTAAATATATAATTTATTTGTTTATTTACTAAATAAATTCTTTTGAATCCAAAAAAATAGATCATTTAAATTGATAGAAATTGGGAAAATAAAAAGGCCAATAAGTTGCTAATAGATATATTTTCTTAACTCGGAGCTGCCCACACTTTAACAATCTAAGGAAGAAAGAAACTTCAAAAGCTTCTTTACTGATGAAATTTACTTGTCAAATAATTAATATTAAAATTATAAATTTTCTGATAGTATTTTCTGTTTTTTTGTCTGTCCGTCCATAAATATTTCACAAAAATTATTTATAAATTGTAAAGAAATTTTTTTATTTTCTAAATAATGGATTAATTTAAAACAAATGAAAAAAGAAACTTCAAAAACCTCTTTCCTAATATGAAAATTATGCTAAAATAATAAAACTTATAAATTTATTGAAAGTAATTGTTTTCTCTTGTTTTTTATTCTCATTGATATTAAAAAAATAACCATTAGCAATCGCTATTATTAAATTTTTATATAAAATTACAAAATAGATTATGGTAAATGAAAAAAAAAATAAAAAATGTATTTAGCTAACTTTAAAAAACTTATTATTTTTTCTTTTTATCAACAAAATATTAAACTTTATTTATTTTATTTGAAATATATTAATCAAACAAACTTTAAAAAATAGTTTAAAAAATTATTTAAGTAAAAATATATTAGGATACTTATTAAATAAAATCTAAAAACCTATCATAAAATATAAAAATAGGAGTAAGTACCAAGAAAATTCATTAAGCAAAAAAAACAAATGATTATTCTGTAATTAGATTAATTATCAATTCTAATAAATTAAGATTTACTCTGGTATTTATTTGTTAACAAATCAATATTTATATTTATTAATTTTGTAGAAAAAAAAACAGATTTTAATTCAGAATGCTTATTTTTTAGAAACTAAGAAAACCAATTTAAATACACAAGCAAAAACTTTTATCTCCTTTTAAACTTGTAATGAGTATGTCATAACTTAAAAACCTCAATATTAATATAAATCAAAGCTAAAATGATAAGGCACAATATCGCATTGTTTAATTGTTAAAGAATGAATTGGATTGTTTGCTTATTAGCGATTAAGAAGCTGATAAATCTGCATGCTCAATGAATGTATAGGTAGGTAATTTAGAAGATCCTATTGAGTATCAAGGTCTTGCTCACTTTTGCGAACATATGCTATTCCTTGGAACTGAAAAGTATCCAGTTGAGAGCGAGTACAAATCTTATTTGAATAAACATGCAGGCACATAAAATGCTTCAACTGGCCCTTTAAATACAGTTTACCATTTTTCTTGTGCCAATGGTGAAGCATTTGAAGGAGCTTTAGATAGATTTTCTTAATTTTTTACAGCACCTCTTTTCACAGAATCGTGCACGGAAAGAGAAATGAATGCAATCGAGAACGAAAATAAAAAGAACTTCAATTCAGATTCTCGTCGTATTTATCAAATACATAGGCACACATGCAAATAAGGTAGTGTCTATAACAAATTTGGTACAGGAAATCTTGAAACACTCAATAAACCTAATGTTCGCTAAAATTTAATAGAGTTTCACAAAAAGTATTACTCTGCAAACTAAATGAAACTAGTCCTTTACTCAAACGAAACCCTTTCAAAGCTAGAGGAATTAGCAGCTAAATATTTTGAAAATATTCCTAATTCAAACATTCAAGCTTTGTCTTATAAAGAAATTCCTTTTGGGAAAGAAGAACTTGCAAAATATATTAAGGTAGTATATTAAAATTAATTAACTCAATAGATCTTATTTAATTTTTAAACAAATAAATTAATAAAATTTGTTTATAAAAAACGCTTAAATTATTTAATTAAAGAATTTATAAAATGATTCTAGACACAAAATTTTTTTTAAGAATTATTTTTTAACTATTTTTTTAAAATTACAAAAGATGGTTCCAGTATCTGAGAGTCACTAGTTATAATTAGGTTGGGTTGTGGATTATCACTAAAATAGTTATAAGCACAAATCTTTGGAGTATTTATCTCATTTGCTGGGACATGAAGGAAAAAACTCTCTTCTGTCTTTGCTGATAGATGAAAATTTAGCTTATGAGCTAACTAGTGGTATTAGTGATTACTTGAAATTGTATTCTGAATTATATGTAGAGATTATTTTAACTCCACATGGTTAAAATAATATTGATAAAGTTCTAAATATTGTAGCTAAATATATTTAAATCATAAAGACAACTCCAGTTTAGAAATGGGTTTGGGATGAAATGAAATAAATCAAATAGCTTACCTTTTAGTTCAAAGAAAGATAGAATCCTGTTAATTAAGCAGTTTTACTCAGTCGCAAAATGGGCGAATACCCTTATGAAGACATTTTAAGTAGCTCTTACATTATGGAAGAATATAATGAAGAAGAAATTAATAAATACTTGTCTTAAGTAACAGTTGAAAATTTGAGAATTGCTAATTTGTCTAAAACACTCTAAAGCGTAATTTAATTTTATGTATTCAAATAAAACAAGTACTTTACAAATTATTTAGGAATGCCAATTGATTGAACCTGTCTATGGAACAGCTTATAATATTGAAGACATAAGCTAATAAGTGAGAAATATTTTTGAAAATCCTTCAATTGATTTTAAGAAATCCCATAAGGTACTTGGATTGCCTGAAAAGAATCCATTCCTTCCTAAGTCTTTGGTTTAACTACCAATAGAAGATGAATTCTTGACAGAACCGAAAATAATACTCGAAAATGATAGGACTAGAGTGTGGTTTAAGTAGGATAACAAGTTTAAAACTCCAAAGGGAGAAATAGAACTTCATATCTACTGGAAATAAGACAATGAATATCTGAACGGAGTTTAGAATCAAGTTTTGCAAAATATTTACATTTAATTATTTAAAGACAGGATTAGAGAAATGCAATACTTAGCTTCTTAGGCTAATATTATTGATCAAAGGTCAGCTTCTGAGATATACTATAAGTACAAAGTTGATGGTTTCAACGACTCCATACCTGTATACACTCGCCATTTTTTACAAATGCTAATTGATTTTCATGAAAATCCCCCTTATGTCAATCCCGAAGAAAAATCAGATTTCGAAGACAAATTCAAAATGTTTATACAAAAAAAAGAAATTTCATTAAAAAATTATACCTTGCAAGCACCCTATTAGACTGTCAGCAACCACTTCCATTCGCTCATCGATTACAACTACAATTGTATAACTGATTAGCTTGATTTCATTTAATAAACTCCTATTGATAAAATAATAAATCTCTACAAATATTATCATGAGCACAATTTAGATTCTATCAGATTCGAATGGTCATTCATTGGTAATTTCGAAAAGCAAGAATCTATTTCTCTTGCCTAAGATGCAGAAAAATTATTCTTTGAAAATTAAAATAAGGCAAAAGGAAAGAGATCTGTGCTTCCTAAAGAGGAAATATTCTACGGAAGAACAGTACAAATTGAAAAAGATAAACCAGTTATTTACGAATAGATTTTAACAAAAGACCAAATAAACTCTGCATGTTATACTGCCTTTTAATTCTATGATGAAAAATTAGAATAAAGAAGCTCAGAAGCTAAACATTTAATTTTTAAAACAAGCAATTAATTGAGAGTGCTTCATAATATACTAAAATAGCCTGCATTTTCTCAGTTGAGAACAAAGGAATAACTTGGTTATATTGTGCAAGCAGGTATTAAATCAATTCACAAAATATCAGGCATCACCTTTTTAATTCAATCAAGCACAAAATCCCCAGAATACTTGTCAAGCAGGATTTAGGTATTTTTAGAATCAATGAAATAAACTATTCAAGATTTATCTGAAGAAGACTTCAAAAAGTTTATCGAATCTATTCGCACCTAATATAAGTAAAAATTCCTCAATATCTATGAAGAAGCTAGATATTATAATGATATTATAGAGGGATAGTAAGAATATTTTGACATTTTAGATAGATTAATAGCTGATTTAGACACCATTTAAAAATAAGACATAGTAGATTTATTTAATCACCTCTTCTTCAATGAAAAAAGGTTGATAGAAATACATTTAGTTTCTCCAAATCATGAAGGAGAGTAAACTAAATTATTAAAAGAAAGAAGAGAGCAAGATGTTAACATAACTGTTACTAATTCTTATGAATATACTTAAAAACTATTAAAATTATTCCCTTCTTTCACTTACTATAAATGAAGTTTATAAATTAATTTCATTTTCAAATTGGCTAAATTATAAAATTTATTTAAACATAACCAATTTAAAAATAATAAATAAATAATTAAAATTTTTTGTATTTTTATATTTTTTTCAATTAAAAAAATAAAAATTTTAATAACTTTTTATTTATATTCTTAATATTCAAAATAAATTGAAAAGATAGATATGTTAGTTTTTCAGTATTTATTTATAAAGAAAAAAGATATTAAATTTGTGTTCAATATTTTATTTTTCCAAATATTTTTAGAATATTTATTAAAAGTAATAAGAATCATCAATCTATAGCAACTGCTCGGTTAATAATCAAAAACTTTTTAGAATATTTAAAGCGTTTGTATTATTAAATCTTTTTAGAATATTGATTAGAAATTAGAATAAATAGGATTTAAACTTTTAGAATATTTAAAAGCCTTTATATTCAATATTTTTAATATCTAACTCTTTTTAGAATATTGATTAGAAGTAATAGAATTTATCTATCTATCTATCTAATATTGTTGCTAGAATAATGATATAAAACCTATTAGAATATTTAAAATAAAATAAACTATTAATCAGAAAAATTTTTTAGTTAAAAAAATTGCTTAAAATTTTTGTTTTGCATATAAAATTAATAAATTATTAAAAACCTAAAAAATATCAGAAAAATAATTAAATAAAAAATTAAGAAATGGATTAATAATTGAAGATATACTGTAAGAAACATAAAAAATATCAGGCGAGATATTTCAATGTTTCAGAAGAAGCATTCTAGGAACTTAAGTGTGAAGAGTGTATAACAGAAGAAAACAGTTCATTAAAAGATCATCTTTCTATAGAGATTATTAATATTTGTGATGATGATTAAATTTTTCCTAATTGGCCACCAGTTAATGATATAAAGCTTTTGAAAAATATATCATCAATTATGATTAAAGAAAATGAAACCTTAGAGGAACTAGACTTATAGTTTCAATAAATGATTGCAGATATTTTAAAAATAATTGAGGAAATGAAGAAAAAATGGTATTCGTATCTAACCAATAAAAATCAGCAAAAAGTAGAAATATTGAATAGCTATAATGAGATTTCTGGAAAGGAAAGACTGAAATAATTAATTAATTTCACTTAATAAACAATGGAGGATCAGCTAAATGACTTAAGGTAATTCACTTCTATGTGTCAAAAATAGAAAGATCAAAACACTGCTCTCCTTCAAGAATAATTAAATAAATACTAAAATTTATTATTTAGTAAGGAAGATTTATCTATTTTTAAATAATCCTTATTAAAATAAGTTGACATTTTTAGCAAACACATTTTTGAAAAGATTGAAACAAAGTAACAAAGTTAAATAAATTAAATAGGGTAGTAAATTAATTTACTATTTGGAAAGTCTTCATTTTGTAATTTTGGTTAATCAAAGAAAATATAAATTTTAGAAAATATAAATGAACAAAAAATTTAGATTATAAAAAATAAGGAAAATTTATATGGTTAGGTTTATTTTTAATAGAAACTAAGCAAAGATAAAAACTATATCGTTAGGTTCAAATTTAATGAGCATATAGCAGATTAATTAATAATCGGTGTTCTTAATGAAAATAATTTGTCACTTCCTCTCTCCAGTTCTTGTTAAGGAAAGGCTTTTGGGAAGAGTAATTTGTTTTGCGGTGGTTAAGTAGTAAAAGGAAGTTACTTTTAGGAAATTAAAAAAGATTAGGTAATTGAAATGAGAATAGATATCTAAAATAAAAAATTATAGTTTTTAGACTATCCTAATTATCAAAATATAAATGAGCTTTAAGACTGTCATAATAATTTAAATTAGAATAGTAATTATTTTTTAACATTATAATTTGGTAATGATAAACCATTTAAAATGTGTGTTGATTTAATATACTTTGAAGAAATTTAAAGTGAAAAAATGATTTTTAATTGAATCAAAAATATTTATATTTTACTTATTGAGCGAGCACATTTAAAATGGAGATTTTAATTAATTAAATTACTCAAAAATTCTCAGATCAATTATTACAGTTTAAAATAAAGAAAGTATTAATAATATCAAATTTTTATAAAAGTATTTCTTATTTTCATACTTTATTAAATATTCATATTATAACAAAATAATTATGATATATCTTATTCGTTCTAAGTTAAGGTGATTTTCTAAATTAAGGTGTTTATTTTTTTTTTAAATTATTTTTCATATATCTTAATTAATAAGTAATAATTGTTATTTTTAATAATTTTTATTAAAATTATAAAGAAATTTAATATTAAAATTAGATGGGTTAAATTAATTTTTGAAGAGAAAATTTAAAAAAAGATAAACATAATGAAATTGAAGAGATAAATGAAGAAGAAGAACATGAGGAAAAAGATGATAAATAAGATGCTGAATAGAATTATGATAAAGAAATGGAAGAATAAGAATAAATAGAAGAAATTTAATTTTGATAAATATAAATGTTAAAAATATTTATTTTTTTTATATTAATTATACACTGCATATTTAATAAATTTTAATGAAATAAATCTTCTCTAAAAAATATTTTTATTTTCTAATCTTGTTTTGTATGAATATAAGACTAAAACATGTTTTTTTTTTAATTATTTAAGAAATTATGGTACTTCAATATATATTTGAAAAATAAATTTAAGATTAGTGCAATAAATGGCAAACATATTTAATAAATTAATTAAAATTTCATATTAAATTTCACAATATATCGAAAAAAGCCTTTATTAATTTATTTGAAATTTATATGAAGATTTAATTTAGATGGCTTGAGCTTATTAATTTGTTTGAAATTTTAATTTAGTTGATTTGAAGCTTATGAAAATTTTTTTAAATAAAAAATTTATGGTTGTCAATAATTAGATGATTTATAATTAAAAAGTAGAACTAAAATTAAAAAAAATTTCTAAAAAATTTAATTAGAAATAGAGAGTTAAAAATATTAATTAAACATTTCAAAAAAGAATGAGCATACAACTAAAGAAATAATAGAAAAGACTTTTTAAATTAAATTACTAAGAAATTAAGAAAAAAGCATTTAATTTAATTTATTAATTTATTTTTTATTTGTTTTTTAGTCTGTAGTTATTAATAAGTAAGGTTAGTTAATTATTTATTTAGTTAGTTAGTTAATTTTTTGCTTTTCATATTTCTTATGCTAATCTAATAAATTAAATGGTTTATTTATTATCTATCTATCTAACTATCTGCTTTGTGCAACTATATCAAGCAGTAAGTTTTTTTAATTTGATAATATCTCTTTCGTAGCTGGTGTACAAGAATAAGTGGTTAAATCTAACTTTCTAGTGTTCTTCGTTGGGTAAAACTACGTAATTTTTGAGGATGTAAGCAATCATGATCTTAGCTTCGATTAAGGCCAAGTGCTAGCCGATGCAATTACGGGGACCTGCTGAGTAAGGGATAAAACTGAAATGATCTTGAATGATGTTCTTGTCTAAGAATCTATCGGGATTGAAGGTATCAATATCTTTGCAGAGGAGTGGGAACTTTTATTCATTATATTAAATGGTTAAGTTTGATACGAAGGCACCCTTGGGAATAGGGAAGTCATCGACCATGTGGTCACGAGCAGAGACTCTAGGAATGACTTGAGGGGCAGTGGGATAAACTCTGAGGGATTCTTTGAAGAAAGCATTGAAGTATTCAAGTTTATTCAAATCTTCGTGCTTAAGATCGTCAAAGGTCTAAATAACAGAATCAATTTCAGCTCTGATCTTTTGTTGGAGTTCAGGGTGTTAAGCCAAAACCCAAAGACAAATACCAGTTTAGTTGGCAGTAGTATCCATACCAGCGAAGAAGAAAGTGGTGAATTAGTGGACAATTTCTCTTTTAGGAATGATTTCGTAATCAGCATATATTTTAGGGTTTTCCTTCAAAGCCTTTTGTTGCTTAATATATTCTAATAAGTAGAGATTAAGGAAGTTTTCATCAACCTTGGAAGTATCAGTCAACTTTTCTAATTCAGAAAGACGCTTGTCTACGATTCCTTCAATAAATTAGTTGTAGTTTTCAACACGCTTTAAGAAGTTCTTTTCAAAAGTTGTGTTCAAAACTCTGGAGGCCTTTTCTTAGCCGAAGACCATGAGCTTTAAGAAGTAGGCAAAGCTGTTGGCCTTGTAGGAGAAACCATCACCGATGATTTTAGAGATTTCGACTGAGGGTTAGAGACCATTTACTGTCATTCCCTTTAAGTTTTCACCAAAGAATGTTTGGATGACGACTTCAGAAGTGATGTTTTAAAGTTCTTCAATAATTGTGATGGGAGTCTTACCGTCGCTGGGAAGAGTTGAAAGGAACTCCTTGGTAATCTCCTTGATGATAGGGACACGATTCTTCAAAGCGTTGAAGTGGAAGGAGTTAGAAAGGAAGTTTCTTTAACGAGTCCATACCTTTTCTTCAGCAACAACTAAGCCCTAACCAAATGCATCACGAGCACCGAAAGGACCTTCTACTTTGTAGTAGGGCTTGGTGTTTTGCAAGAAGACCTTTTATAATTGGGTGTCAATGATGATAATCTAGATGATGAATCCATTGAAAACCATGACAGCCTTAACATCAGGCTTAGTTCTTTGAATTGTCTTTAAAATGTGAAGGGAATCACCATATTATCTGAAAGACTTTCTGGAAATACCAAAGTTACCTAAAAGAGGGTAGAACATAAAAACTACCTTATCACCAAATTTACTCTTGTAAGTAAAGTAGATCATCAAGTTCTTAATGATGAACCTGTAAACAAAAAGAAGCACTAAAGCTATGGCTATGTATCCTATCATTATGAAATAAATAAATACCTTTTTTTTATTACTTTTTCTTTTTTTCTTTTTCAACTTAAAAAGTTTTAAGATATTAATTAATATTCTCTTTTTTTTTGAATAATAGTACTTTTTATATTCAACTGTTAGTGCTTACCTAATATTAGAGTGATTACAAACTTTAATTCATTTTTAGCTCCAAATTTAATTCAATAACATTCATATAAATTAACAAAAAAATAAAAGATTACATAACCAAAGATACTTTTTATAAATTACGCAATCTATTTATAAAAGAGTTATTCTTATTATTTACGAATCCAATATTAATTGTCTTCAAAACCAATCAAGAAAAAGATATTCCTTTGCATATCTTTCCAAAAGAAAAGCAAAAAAAAAAAAATGTTTTTGATTTTTTTCTGACAATCCAAAATAGCTTTTAAAAATGCAATTAATTAAAAAAGGGCTCATACAACATGATGACTATGTACTTTGACTTTGTAAAAAGAATTTTTTCATAGATTGTTAAATTATTTTAGATTTTTGATAAAAAAGCAGTAAAATATAAAGATAGACTTAAAGTTTGCAAGCTAATTGCTTTAGTAGCACTAAAAAACATTAATGAATTAAGCTGATTAGAAACATTAAGATCATATTTACGAAAATGGAATTTATTTAATTATTAAATGCATCATTTGAAGTACTCGTAAACAATTCTTTTATAATAAAGCTTAATTTATAAAGGAATTAAATTTTAATCTCTGCAAGAAAGTAACTTTAAAAGGGGGGAATATAAATTAATTAGCAAACAATTTTACAATTCTATGGATATTAAAAGATATTCTTACAAAAAATTAATACAATTCATTTAACTATGCTATCATCATCCAACTGCCTTCAAATTAGTAATAACCTAAAACTTTAAACTTTTATTTTTTATGTAATATTTTCTTAGCTGACATATAAGCTGCAATATCTAATTTTTTAATATGGCATTTGATTTCATTTAACTAATTATGTAATAATTTATGTAAGATAGATACTAAATATAATTTTTTTTCATCTAGCATTAAGTTTCTTTTTAAAAACACTCTTTGACATATTTATACTATTTTTAATAATTGTATTTTTTTAATCATATCTTAGCTTAAGGTTATTAATATTACAATATCACAATAAAAGAATATAAATACTTAATTAGCTTATTACAAATTTAATTTACCACAGTTTAACAATTTATTTTCTTTATATGAAATACTACAAGCGCTTCGAATCAAATAATATCTTATAAAGTAACAATAATATTCAATAAAAGTAAACATTTTCATAAAAAGTTAATAGATTTTACATATTTTCTAAAAATATTTCATTAAAAAAGGTAACTTATATAGATAGTTTTAGCATTAATTTAAGCATATGCTCTGCCTATATCTTTTATAATATTTTAAATAGTAGTTAAACAATAATTATTTGATTGAATATTTTTTCATATTTAACGTTTTCTTTGTTTCTGATAAGAACAAAAAGATATTTTATCATAAAAACTTTAAAAAATGTATTTTTCGTATCTTTTTAATTTTAATAAAACCATGAATTATAATGTAAGGATTATACCATATTTTTAATTGATTAAATAGTATTATTAATTTAAATATTTAATCTGACTAATATTTCGAATCAATTTTAATTAGATTTTACATATCTTCTAAAAAACATTTCATAAAAAAAGGTTTTAGACCAGCTCAAACTTTTTAAGATAATTATAGCAATATTGAGAAGGTATACATATATATTAGATATATATTTATTATATTTTTAATGGTAATTAAAAAGTAATTATACTTTTAAATATTGTTTCTTATTTATTTACGTTTTCTTTCTTAAAGGAAAAAAAGATATTTTAACATAAAAACTTAAAGAAATAAGTTTTTTGTATCTATTTAATTTTAGTAAAGGCATCAATTATATTTTTAACTTAATTAATAATCACATTAATTCCCATATTCAATGTTTATATATATATCTTTTTTTAATGTGTTGGAATTTTTAGTACCAAAAATAAAAAAATATTTTATTTTAATTTGATAATATAAATTAAATATTTGAAAATTATTTTATTAATATTAATGACAATACAAAGTTATTTTTTAATTGTTAGTTAAAGTAAACTTAAAGAAATAAGTTTTTTGTATCTATTTATTTTAGTAAAGGCATCTATTATAATTTTTAACTTATTTAATAATCACATTAATTTCCATATTCAATGTTTATCTATATATTTTTTAATGTGAAATAATAAAAAAAATATTTTATTTAAATTTGATAAAATAAATTAATTATTTGAAAATTATATTTTTAATATTAATTATAATACAAAGTTATTTTTTAATTGTTAGTTAAAGTAGGATTTTTGAATAATAAGTAAGTACTTTCAATGGATCAAATCAATGGCCGTTTGAAAATTGTTTATATCCGCTAGAAATAAACAGCTTATTTTTTGTTCGTTTGTCTGCCTGACTGCTTTAATGCAGAAATGAATGTTGATTAAAAAATTAAATTAAAAATTCAAATAAATGATATTTTTGAAAAAAAAGTGTTTAGTTAGATTTTGATAGGTAAAGAGATTTGATTTTATTAGATTATTATGATTTAATTATTGATATTAAAAAATATATATATTTATTTGTATATTCCTTTCTTTTAAATAAATTGTATCAATTATTTACTTAAGAAATGATTTTAGATGATAACTAGCTTTATACTCTTTCTAATAATTTTAACAACACAAATTCAACATAACAAAATGGAACTTAGAAATTGAACAAATATTCAAGCAGCTACACAGAAGTAAATTTTAAAAGAATAAGCTGTTCGCCAATATTTAAATCATATTTTTTACTTAGATATTTGCATGGGGATGTAATCAATTTAAATAAAACTTAGAGTTTACTAATGTTTCACTAAGAGTTTAAACTCCATTTTTAATTTACTAGGCGATAATGAAGGGTAATTAGGTTTAGGCGAAAATAAATAAGGTAAAAAATATGCTATCCCTCGTATCTGCTCCTTCAATGTAGTAATTTAGCAAATCAGTTGTGGTAAAAATCACTCTGCTTTTATAGCTTCTAACGGATATGTATACACTATGGGTAACATAAATGCAACAACTAAACAAATTTGTGTTCTTATAATTTATTTTATTTTTAAAAGGTTCTAATGAATTTGGAAAATTGGGGTTATCTCATTAACAAATGATAAAAAGTGCATTTTCTCCACAACTTGTAGAATCTATATAAAAGTATTCTGATTATTTAATTTAAGTTGAAAATAACTAAAAAAAATATTGCTTATTAATAGATTTAAAGCAATAGGAATAAGCTGTGGATTTGAGCATACAGGAGTTATTTGCTGTAAGATATGCATATTTATATTTCAAAAAATGATTTCATTCATATACTATTTAATGTAAAGCAAATGGAGAGGTTTTTACATGGGGAAAAAATACAGACGGACAACTTGGTCTTGGAAATTATGTAAATCAATATATTCCTCAAAAGGTTAGTTTTAATCATATCTAAACAATAAATTCGACTATTGCAAAATAAATAAGTTGTGGAGCTTACCACACGTCAATTTTACTTGGTAATTATTTAACTTAGTCTTTAATTTAAAGATTCTAAAAATTCAATAAATAAAAAGAATATGGTGAAGTATGCAGTTTTGGATAAAATGATAAAGGACAATTAGGAATAGGGAATTAAACAAATGAATCTCTTCCTAAAATGAATGAATTTATTCAAGAAATTACTACTATGATTAGCTGTGGATATTATTACAGCTTATTTCTTACTAAGTCTATGAAGGTATTAGCTTGTGGAGATAACTCTGAAGGCTAACTAGGATTGGGGAATAAAAGATCTTAATTGAAGCCTATATTGATTAATAAGTTAGAGAATATTTAAACTATAGATGCAAAGTAGCACTCTGCAGCAATAAGCTCAAATGGTGAATTATTTCTTTTTGGAACCTGTATGTTTGGAGAGTTCCTTTTCCCATAAAAAGTTCATAACTTAAAAAAGTAAATGGCTGCAGTCAGCATCGGAGATAATTTTGGCTGTGCAATAGACATAGAGGGATAAATCTATTCATGGGGTTACAATGAAAATGGTCAGCTTGGTTTAGGAGACCAAGAACCAAGAATTCTGCCAACTCCTATGGTTTGCTTAAAGGGTAAAAAAGCTCTTAAAGTAATATAATTTCTATCTAAAGCTATAAACCTTAAACAATATCTTAATTTACTCAATAGAAAAATATAATTTTATTACAACGAATTAAATACTAATTTAACAATAAAATTATTTAAAATCAAAAAAAATAATTTAATATTTGAAAAAACCAAATTAATTTATTAAAAAAAGAAATAATTTACTGATTTAAAAAATTTGCTTATCAAAATAAGTTATTTCTTCAAAAAATAAAAAAATTATTAATCAATTAATTTGATGAGACACTTATTAAATATTCAATAAGATTTCTTTGATTGATTTAATAATAAATAATAACTTTGAAAAATTAATGATTGATTGATCGATCATGTTGATGAACTAAATTTTATTATGAAAGAATAAATTATTTTGTTTAAAAATAAAAATAAATTTTAAAAACTTTGAAGTTTGATTTTAAGAAATTTATAAATGAAGTTATGAATGAATTATTTATTTAAAATAAATGTAAAAATATTTATTTGAATTTTACTTTTTAAAATTTCAATAGATTTAATGCGGTTAAAATTATTGTATCTCATTAGGAAATACTGTGATTGTTGAGAAAGATAAATCAAAAAAAGCTGCAAATAGCTCTAAGCCAAGAACTGAAACTTATAATAATGAAAGTGTGGATGAAGCCCAAAATAGGAGTGTTTATGATATTCCAGAGTAAAACTTAATACCATTTTTTAGGAGAAATAGCTAAAATTAAAGTTAATACCTAACTCAGAATAAGAATAAGTCTAGCTATACTAATATGATTTCAACTAATTCATAATAGATATCCTAAATTAATCCTGATTGTTCCTTTATTTCAAGTCCTGAAAAATCCATGTATTAACATAGATTTGAAGAAATAAAAAACGTGAAATCAATAAAATAACAATAGTTGGATTTGATAAACAACTAAGCAAATTAACAACTTAATAATAATTAAAATTATTTTCAAAATAACATTAATCAATACTCAAATTTAATGGCGTCTAATTTATAGAATTATAATGAATAAAATATTTTGATATTTAATAAACAAAACCAAAATATCAATAGGTAATAAAATCTATCAAACTAACTTTTACCTCAATATAATGGTATGATAAATGAAAACTAATCACCTCTCAATCTTTCAGCTATTGAGTAACCTCCTTATAATCCAACTACAGCTTTTGTTTCCCAAAATTATGCTGATGATGATGAATAGCTATAATAAAATTAATAGCATCAAGTTATAAATTAATTAAATCAACAAAATTAATTTGATTCTAACAAATCAGCTAAAAATTGCAATGGATCAAATGGATAAGAACTTATTTCAAATTATAAAAAGCAATTTAATATGGTTAACTAAAAAATAAGAAGCAAATCCTCTGGAAAAAGCATAATCAAAGAAAATTCTAATTTGTAATTTTAATATTTATTTTTTTTAATATAGCTGAATTTTAATTTCAAAATAGAAATTCAGTTGATACGACTTACTTACTATAGCAAGGAGCCTCATAAGTTTTTTCCAAATTTAATAGAAGTTATAACTAAGAGTTTTTAGATAATCAAAACTAAGTAAAATTGAAATTTGTTATTTTTATTTTCCATAAAATATTTTTTAGTCGTTTGAAATTAAAAAGCACAGCCAAAGCTACTTCGAAGAGCCAGAAAGAGAAGAAAGTTGGAAAAAAATTTTATAGTAAAAAGAATTGATTATCAAAAGATTAAAAGAAGAAATAACTGAGTTAAAAGAAGATCACAATTAAGAAATGGATTTTCTCAAACAATCATTAGAATAAGAGAAAATATTGAACACAAAAATTAAAGAATAAGTAGAAACCTTGAAAAAAAGGGAAATTTAAATGGCAGAACAAATCAATGAAATTTAATCAGAACTAAATAGCAAAATAAAAGAAATATTTGATTTAAACAATGTTATTACATCTCTAGAAAAAAAGCTCTCAGAGTAAAATTTGATTTCAACAAAATAATTAGAACAACTAAATACGGAATGCAATACTTACAAAAAGAAGATTAAAGAATTTGAGTTAAGGCTTTTGGATGAGTCTTAACTGAAGTAAATTATTTAATTTTTATTGATTAAGTTTAAAAAAAATAAATAACAGCTGAATAGCATTAGATAGCTTGTTTTATTAAATTTATTTTAAATAATTTTCTGTTTTTTTGTAGAATTTATTTTTATTTAATTTAAAATAAATTTTTAACTTAAAAAAAAAATTAATCGATAGATTATTTTTTACTATAATTTTTTATAATTAAATAGCTATTAAAATTACATACACCAAATGCAATAAAAGGATTAGTAAAACGACTAGCTGAGAAATGTGATTTAAAATCTTGAAAATAGAAATAGAGAATTAGAAGAAACACTTAATGAATGTAAATTAATTTTTATTAGTTAAATCATTTTGAAAAAGATTTTTCATGAATAAGATATTCATCAATCGAATATTATTAATAAAAAATTGGTTTATTATTTGAAATAATAAACAAGTTGTATTTAAAAAGATAAGACAATTATATTTATCTTTTAATATTAATTTTAATGAAAATTAATTATTTAATTTAAATTTATTTAATGTAATCATTCATTATTCATTTTAAAATTAATAGTTAACTAAACAGGATCTTAATTCAACTTTTTGAGAGGCACTTAGTAAATACAAGTGAGTGGACTCTAGAATAGCTAGTAAATTAAAAAAGAAAGAAATTATAAATAGTAATTTTTAAATAGCTCTACAAGAAAGCTTAGTAATGATAGTAGTAGGATAAATAATAATGCTAGTTTAACATAACAGTTATCTCCTTATATTTAGCAGCAAACTCCTTTCTAAAACAACCAGCTGCTGAATAGTAATTTATTATATTAGAATTAAAATAGATGTGTTTCGCCTGCTAAGATAACTTAGAATAATATAGCTAGACAGCCTTTCTAATAAATAAGTGTTAACTAATAGAAGCTAGCAAATATAGTCTAAAGGTCTCCATTTTAATAAAAGTAAAGCTAAGCAAATTAAATGTTTAACAAGAGTTAAAGAGATTTTAGTAACAATAGTAGTATATCTTACAACTAGTATGCTTAGGATCTAGAATAATAAAAGTAACAAAGTCAAACTATGATAAACAAATTTGAGAAATCTGCTAATAAAATATTAACTATGCTAACAAGTGAGTCTCCTGAAAAATATACTTTTGATTAAAATGATTTATAAAGTGATTAGCATCTTAATTACGATGCTTCTTTTAAAAAAGATAGAAGACATCTTACTGACAATTATATTACCAAAAATGAATACTCAGATGCAACACCAAAACAACAGACAAATAATGAGCTTGGACAAATATATAGAGATATTTCTACTGTAAAATATAAAAAATTTCAAAATTTAAATATAATTTATTTTTAATTTAAAATTTTAGTTTGAGTTAAAGGACAATAGAAGTAAGAGTTTAGAGAAAAGAATGTAAGATTTTGAAAAGAGGCTAAAAGAAAGCTCTTAAAAGAATAAATGAAAATGAAAAAAAAATGTATTTTGAATACAAAATTCATTAAACCTAATTAAAAAATTATATTAAAAACTTGTTCATTGGCAAAAGTGTAACTAATAAACAAGCTAAATAAATGCACTGATTGATTTAAATAACATAAAAATTTTTAAGATTAATAAAAAATATAAAATTTATTTTAAATTAATTGAATTGTTCAATATTTTTAGTGATTAATTAATTTATTATTATTAATAAATAAATAAAAAGCAAATAGAATTCATTTATGTTTCAATTAATAATTATTAGTTTTATTGATTAAATTTTAAATATTTAATTAAGTTTATTGCTCAAATAAATAGATAGAAAATATTAATAATTAAAACTTTTAAAATTTCAAATATACAATGATAAATATGCTCACTTTATAAAGAGTTTTTTAATTAAAAATATGTACTTTTTCCAACTTAGTTGAATGATAATTTTTAAAATTATTATTTTTTGGTGTTATTTTAACATAGAGAAATGACGGTAATTGAAAATGAATGTATCAAAAAAGTAATTTAATTTAATTAAAATATATATTTTTATAAATATACTAAATAAAGAAATGATTGATATTAATTGATTGATTGTAAATAGAATTTTAATTTGTTTATATTAATATATAATATTATTAAAGAATAAATCAATGCAATATTTAGTATTTATCAATATATTTATTTATTCATTTACTTACTTCCTTATCTGGTTTATTATTTTTTTGTTTATTTTATTGCTTGCTTGTATATCTTTGTTTGTGGATATATGTTTGTTTGTTTGTTTTTTTATATTATTTATTGTAAGTTGTGTTTACATTATTAATTTTAAGAAGAAATATAATCATCAATCAGTTGTGTCCCAATCATTATTTTGGTAAATTATTATTAAGTATAGACAAAGTATTTTATTAGATTTGAAAGATATTATAAGGAAGAGAAGAGTTTCTAAATAACTTCTCTCAAACAAAACTAGTTTATTAATTATCTTATTATTAGAAAAATGGGTATTGTTTTATCATTAATAAATAATTGGCTTTAGAAAAAATCTAAATTTTCAGACTAGCGATGATTAGTAATTAATTTGTTTGTGAATTCTATGGAGAGAGTAGATGTTTATGTTTTTACGTATGTGTGTAATAGGTATATTTCAATTTATATAAGCTTTATTTAGTTTTTTTTACATTCAATAGTTTTTATTATTTTTAGCCTTAATTTTTTCTCATTTGTTGTAGCCAGTTGTAATTTGAATATCAGAAAAGTCTTGGTTAGATAAGCGTGAGTAATCAGTTGGGTTTTTTAAGGCTATATTTCCATTTACCATGCCTCTTATTTTATTAACTTAGTGACTCTTAGATCTTTTGTGGTTTGTTTGTTTAAAATTTTTACTTGAATTGCTATTATTGCATATTATTGAATTATTATGAGAGTTGGTAATACTGCCTCCACCACTGTTCAGGGTCTTAGCGTCTCTTTCACGAAGAGAAGATTAAATTAATTGGTTGATTCTATTTATATTAAATTTTTATTATTAATAAGTAAAACTTGATTTAATATTACTAATCTGTAATTAAAAAGTAACTAAAAAATACCACAAAAATTATTAAATACCAACTGAAAATATTTATTTCTAATTAAGGTCTTTAGACGAACGAACGAGCTAACGAACAAAATTTCAGAAATAAATATTTTGCTTAATTAAAGACTATAAAATAAATATTTACCCATTCTTTTAAGCGATGTTTGCATAGATTGTTTGGGCTCTGATTTCTTTGTTTCTTTTTTTATATTTGTAAACAAAATAAAAATTTTGTAAATAATAAAAAGAATAAATGAATATAAAAACGGAACATTCTACTAAAATATTTAATGTAATAACATAGTTTGACTAGTTTAAAACAAATAATATAACAAACAACAAATTTATTTTATATATGGTTTTGTATAAAATTTTAAGAAAAATTAATAAAAAATGAAACAAATTTTTACTTTTATTCTATTTTATTTTCACTTTTATCATTTTAAAAAGCAAGGGTTGATGATGTCGTCTAGTCCTCTCTGTTCATCTTAATGTTGTTGTAGAATCTCTGGTAACTTGCCTTTATGCTATTTTCTTTAATAACTTAAAAGTTCGCTTTACTTCTAACATAATCAAAAACTAATTTCTTTTTGATGCATCAAATAACATACAGTAAGTAATAAGTAAAATAAGAAGCCAAATATTTTTATTGATTTGAAATATAAAACAAAAATTTCTCAAAAAATTGTACAAAATACCGTTTTTACTGAATTTATTAAAATGGCAAAGCATCAAAAATACCAAAATTACACTTAAAATAAAGGTTTAGTGTTGGTAGTTATGAAAGAAAATTGTAAAATACCTTTTCCTTATGAATTCAGATTTGGAGTTGGAGCACGTCTTTCTACCTTAATAGGAGAAGTGCCTTAAATAGCACTATTTGTCATCATTTAATTTATTGGAGGTGTTTCAGGTTTTTTAACTTTCTTTAGATCTTGCTCATTTTAAGCAATTACCTTTTTAAAACTATTTTCTTTTTGAAGATTTTACATGGAAGCTGTCAGATATTTTTCTTGCATATTGTCCTGTAATAATTTTAAAGAAATGTTTAAATTTATTAAATTACAATAAAATGATATCAAATTAATAGCTAAATATGTTGGAAATATGATTATTTAACTAAAGAAACTATTGCAAGTAAAATAATTATAATTACAACTAACTTAAAGGAGTGTTAGATTTAAAATTGCTATTGAAAGTATAAGCAACATATATATATTTCAATAAATAAATAAACAAATAAATACCTTGACTAATTTCTCTAGCGTTTGGATTTTTTGTTGCAAATATGGCATATTATATAGCTTTTCTTCTAATAATTTTTCGTTTTCGTTAAATCCCTTTACTTATTCTGTTAAAGCCTAGTTTTCTTGCTAAAGTTTTGACAGTTATTCACTTAAAGCATTATTCTACCTTTTTATGTCCTAACGATTATATTTGTAAAATTATTATGCTATAACTGTTATCGTTTTTTTCTATTAAAAAATGCTGAAATAATCAAAATTGTTTTAATGTATACATTGATCATAGCCTTTGTTGACTCGAGTAAATCGCTACGTGCTTGCTCGCTTTCATCTAATTTTGATTGTAAGTTTTCTGCGTACAGCTTTAATTACTATTCAAGCTATTTGATTAAAAATTTAACATGAATATCAAAAAGAGCTGAAGGTAAATTAGAAATGAATAAACTGAAAAACAGCCTAATTGATTACTCTTATATGAGTTCTAATTTCGGCTTCATGCTTTTATAATATTTTTTCAAGCTAGTCATAGTCTTCATTGTTTTCATTGGTAGTCTTTTACTATGCTTTATCCCTACTTAAAAATAGAAGTTAGAAACACTTTGAATAAATCCTTATAAAAATAATGTATAAAGGAGTTTTACTTTGGCAAGTACTCATCAATTTTAGCAGTTAGATGGGAAAATATAGATTTTATAATGTCCAAGAGAGAATTCAAGTTATCGTAATCATTCAGTTTCGATTCGATTGCCTATAAATCATCTTTTGTCTTGATAAATTTCTCCATATAAGTGAGTATCTAAAGCATTAAAATGAAAAAGATTAAATTTGATTGTTAATTTGATCACAAATTTTAAATCAAATCAAGTTATTTAACACAAATTAGCTAAATTAAAATGTTTTTTTATTTTATTCTTTGATTTCATTCTGATTACTTAACAAAAACAAACTTGATTCTATGTGCACTCCTTGCTAATATAACAATAGAAATTTACCTTTTCAAGCAGGTCCTTCATTGAATTTTCCAATTAATTTTGCTATTGCTCAGTCATAAATTCATCAGTTTGCTTGAGATTGTTCATGATATTACCAAATTTATATGATCTGACTTGTTATTTAAATGCCTATTCTGTGCTAGGATCTTTACTATTCGAGCTACTTATTGAAATTATTAATTCGTGTTACTAATTTTTCTTGTTAATTTATTATTAGTTTTTTTCTTTACCTTATTACTTTTCTTTTATCTGACTGAATATGTATAGATGTATGTATGTATTAATTAATTTCTAAACAACTTTCTAATACATCGCTCTATAAATTTTTGATTGTTTGTTGTGTAATTAAAAGCTTATATGAATTATTTTATGATAATGGTTGATTTTTGCATATATATTAATATTGTCATTGAGTAATTTGTTTCTCATTGCATAGTTATTTACTATTAAACAAAAATATATGTAAATTTATTCATTCATTGATACGTCCATCATATACACTTAACTATATGCATAGATGCAAGCAATATTTTGGGTACTCGTTAGTAAATCAATAAGGAAGATTTTGTTTGTTTGTTTCTAAAATAAAAAGTTGGTGAATTACTAAATTTGATAATAAGAAAATTGATACTATGAATTGCTTATTAAATAATTTAATTATTCATTCTTTCACTATATCATTTTCAAATTAATATTTGTAAGCTATATGTACTTCAATCTATTTAATTACTCACTCACACTATCACTCATTCTTTTTACTTAATCTGCTAATTAATTAATTTGATAATAATAATTTTAACTACTTCTTCATATTTTTTAGAGTAAATTCAAGTATATTGCTGGTGATTAAAGCTGTCTTGATGTTTTTATTTATTTTTTATTTTATTTGACTTAATTTATTATTTTTATTCGTACAAAGCTTACTGTAATAAAAGATATTAATTTGTTGTCCATCCATATAAATTTATTGATAAAAAATATTTAATTTTATTATTGATTAATAATTTTTGCGATGTTATTCTTTACATTTAATCTGATGTTAATTTCAATTTTCAATTTTTTATATTAAAGGATATATTAATAACCATAAATTAATTATCAAACCATAACAATATATATCTTCATATTAAGTAAAACAAAATTATATTAGCTTTTAAAACAAGCAAACATATTTCAGTTTTTACAAAAAAAGCTAAGACATTCATTCGAATGACTAAATATCTATCTAATGATGATAATTATAAATTTATACATTTAAATCAATTAAATTATTTGATCTCTAAGTGCTTCAAAGCAACTATTTATTTTTTCTAAATAAAAAATTATAATTAAAAAATATACTCATAAAAATTCAACATATGAAAATAAGCGCCAATTTTTTTCAAATTTAACGAATAGTATTTATTTCATGTAAATCAAAAAGCTTAATCAACTATTATATCAAAATAAATGAAAAGTGCAAAGTCAATTTATAAGAAATAGATTTCAAAAACTTTTACAATTTAAGTCAGGAAAATATTTTAAATTTGTTGTTGTTTTGAATGAAATTTAGTTTGAAATTATTTTTTTATTTTATTTATTTTTCTTTTTCATAAATTTTTTAATTTTCATTAATTTTTTTCTTTTTTATTGATTTTTGATCATTTTTTTGTATTTTTCTAATTAATTTTAACGGAATTTTTATTTATTTTTTAAGAAGGTCTTTAGCTAAACATTTAATTTGGTTTTCAGTCAAAATAAATAATTTTTAAGAGTGCGGTTGATTGGTGGTTGAATGAGGAATAAGATGGTTTAGTTTATAATAGAGAAAAAGGAAGATTTTTTGATAAAGAGCAAATTTTTTTAGGAGTTAGTAAGATCAAACTTGTTTTTAGAGCATAAAATAAAAGAACTAGATTAAGATGAAGGTTTTGTTAGTTTTGGGGTTTTTTTGATATTCCATACATTAAAGAATGTAGATTTTAATGCAAAGCAATAATTATCACTAGATATATGTCAAAAACTTATTAGACGATGCTTGGTAGTGTGTTTAGCTAGACTTTCTTTTAAGAAAGCTAGGTGTTTAAAAACTAATGTTATTTGTGATGAATATTGATTGCATTAATAAATTTTATTTAGAATCAGATTAAAGGAAAGTAAAAAAATGTATCAAATATCTAGACTTATTTTCTATTAAGATAACATTTAATCTCATGATTACTGAAAAACTTTTTATCGAGAAAACTATTTTTTATGTCTTGTTAATGTTAAATGTTTTAAAAACTGATTTGATTTATGTTATCATATTTATTATTTACCTTTTAAGCCAGATATTTAATTAATTTTTTTTTTTGATTATTTTTATAATTAAAAGATATTTCCTTCTTTTTAAAGGTTTTTAACTGACTAAAATTAATACATAGATAGAAGATTTATTTTCTTAGCTAATTAAATATCTAACAAATATCTATTTTTTTGAAACATTATTAAATCTTTCATATTGTTAGTGTTAAAAACTTATTATTTACTTTCTAAATAAACATGAATATAAAGTTAATAAAAACCAATATATATAATTGATTGATAGATAGATATTGTTAGCAAATTAAAATATCTAACAAATAACTGTTTTTGAAACATAATTACATTTTTCATATTGTTAGCGCTAAAAGCTAATTCATTTCTAGATACATAAGTTAACAAAAGTCAATTCATATTATTTATATTTCTTGTTATTTATTTAGTATTTTTTTATTTAAAAATTTCAAATAAAATATTTTTTATTAGTTTTATAATTTTTCAAATTCTTTTTAAAAACTAATTATTTTCACATTTTATTATGCTTTTTTAAGACTTGAAATAAGTAAATCTAAGTAGCAAGTTATAATTTGTATTTTTTTATAAGAAAACAAATAAGTTGATAAAATATAACATGTTTTTCTTATTTATAAAAAAAACTTATCAATACATTTTAATTTTAAAGAATACTAATTTTTTATTTTTTCTTTTAAATAAATTAAAAATTTTCTTCCTTTCTGTCATATCATTTACCCTTCTATTTAAAAGCCAAAAATTTAAAATGATTTTTAGTTAAATTAATTAATTAATACGGTAAACTTAATGTTAGATGATTAAGACTCGAAATAGTTTACAGTTCTAATACAAAATTTAAAGCCTAATAACATTGAGTAAACCTATTCAAATTAAAGTAGCTTTTTATTAAATAGTAAAATTTATGAATTTTACCTAACACTGATTTAGAGTATCTTTATTTATTTCAATTGACTTATTTGTTATCCAAATTTTTATAAGGCTTAATCCCTAAATTGGTTTTTACTATTAAATTAATAAAAAGTTATATATTATATTAAAAATCAAACTTTTTGCTTTTATTCAGTTAAAGGCTAATAAAATTTACTTAAGATTTAAATCAAGGTTAATAAGATTTTTCATCAATTATAATTTTTCTCCAATAATTAAAAGTAATTAGTCTTGAATTTAGCAAGATCTTTTTAATATTTATGAAATAAATAAAATTTATTAAGGAAAAAAAATAAATACTCAAAGGATAGAATTAATTATTTCAAATTTAGACATTAGCTTATTGATTAAACTAAATAGCTGAGAGTGTAGTCGCTCGTTGCCAAAGAACTTTTATAATATTTAATTTATTATTTAAATAATTATTTTTTGTTAATACCTAAAGAAAAGCTGCAGCTTGCTTAAATTTTGGCATGTTTGTATGGATTGAGAAAAGCAATTTATCGCTTCATCATTAAAATAGCAGTTACTTTAATAATATTAAATGATATTTTAAATTTTATTTATAAAAATTATATTTACTAAAATTCTAGAAACAAATTCTCAATTGTTTAGTTTAAATTAAAGATTTAACTCAGGCATTTCAATCCTCTATTCCCCAATTCAGTATACCTAGTACAATTAAATTTTAATAGAATATCTTTGAATATAAAAATAATTAAATTTCATTAAAAGTTAATGAACAAAAGTGCAAGTTTTTTGGCAAAATCAGCACAAAATCATTTTTTCCTAGTTCATATAAACTATTTTATTGATTTTTTTGAAAAATTTCTCAAACCTTTTTTAACTTCACCAAAAATTTAGGATAATCTTAAAATTATTATTTTAAACCCTAATTAGAATAGTTAATAATTTTTAATTTTTAAAATTACCTTAAACTTAACGACAATGAAACTAAATTTGCAAGTTATAATGGAAATATATCTATTTCTTAGCTTCCAATTTTATTATCACTTCAATTTTTAATGAAAAAATTTAAGTAAAAAATTAATTTTTTTAGTTTTTTACTAAAGATTTAAGTTCAAACATTTAAGAGAAGAGTTTTAGCTAAGCAAGTGAATGTATTTATATATTGCTTCTTAAGTTATTTGATTATAGCTTTTCAATAAATGTTTATCAAATAATTATGATGCAAAATATTTACCTATTATCTATTCCAATTTCTCTAAGATTTAAACAGAGAGCTAGATTTTAGGCTAAATTGATGGCACCTTCGTTTTTTATCTTAATTTTACTTATATATTTTGATTTAAATATAATTTATTTTTAAGGTAAATTACTATAGATTCAGATTTAAGCAGCATAGATTTTTAATTTAAGATATTTGTTAACTTAACATTGTTATTCCTTGCTCACCAAAACAATTTTCTCTAAAATAATAAAAAAAATTTAGTTGAAAAATTCAATCATTTAATTACCTTAAGTTAATGTTCAAATGAGTTAGTTTTTCCAATTGATTCATATTATTAAAAAGCAGAGTTACCGTTTTATCATCAATTTTATCACTTCTAATTAATTTAAATTTATAAATTTTTTTTCATAAACTTCTTAATAATTAATGAAAATAAATGATTTATGAACCAAAAAATTTAAATATCAAGAATATGATTTTATAATATAAGAGATAATGAAATAAGCTAATAAAAAATATTTACTAGAAATGAATAGTGATATTTTCTATTTCCTTGAATTCTGAAATGACAGTAGAATAGTGACATATAGATGAAGGATAATTTGCAAAATATTTTTAATCATAATAATAACAATTGCTAATACATAATGAATATAATTAAGTAAAAAGTTTTCCAAATTTATTTATCTAAATTTACTAAAACTCTAAAATAACTGATTTTAAATTCTTTGAATTAGAAACTAATTTTCTTAAAGAATGCTCTTCATTATTCCAGACAAAATCTTAATCTCTAGAAATATGTTATTTAGTTTTTATTATAATATGATAAATTATCATATAACATTTTTTTACGTAATCTTCAAGTGAAGAGTATTAGCACTTAATGATTATTTGATCTTTTCTTCTAAATTTTAGAACAGATAATTTAAAACTAAATCTAAATAACTTTTATCAACAAATTCTAAGTTTAAATTAGCAACATAACTCTTTTTCTCATAGACATGATATAGTAAATACCAAGTTTTTAAACTCAAGTTAAAGCTTATTGTGGTCTAAGTTAAAATTTTCTAAAGATTAAAAATATTCTATAAAATCTTATTAATTTTTTAAAATTGTTTTTACATTTTAAAGTATTTATTTTTAAGAATAGGCCATTACTTTTTTATTTTTGTCTTTATAATTTTTTTTCTTTTTGTAATCTTTCTTTTTAAGTTAAATTTTATAACTTCAATTTGATTATTAACCCCAAATTAAAATAATTCAAACTAAACACAATAATAAATAGATACCTTACAACTCACTAAATTGAATGACTTTATTTAGGTTTATATTTTTTAAATTTATTATTTTAGCTAAATTTAACAATTTTGATGTCAAAAAATTTATTTATTTCTTAAATTTTGATAAATTAAATTATTTATTAATTACAATTCTATTATCAAATATAAAAAGTGGCTTGCAAACCACTAAATTTTTGTATGGCATCCTGCTATGTTAAGGTAAATTTATTTTACTATCAAATAAAGATAATTTTTTATAGAAAATTAAATTGTTGAAATAAAAATAATTTTATTAAAAAATGCAATTAATGATTCAAATAAATATTAACAACAGAATACTTTTATAATTAATTAAAATATCTAATTTCTTGCTTTCTGGTAATAAATTGTAGAAACATTTAAATTTTGATTAAATGAATGAACTAGTTTCTTAAATACTTTAAGTGTTAGTGTCAAAAGAAAAAATTATTTAAAACAAGCTTTTTTGTCTTTTTTAATTTTCTTCTGAGTTTTAGTTTAATTTTTTCATCAAGATATTTTATTCTTATTTATAAGATAGATGATATATTTAAATTAATTGAAAATATTAATTTAGTAATTTAAATTACTTGAAAAAACCAATTATTTAGTATAATTTCTAAAATTAGACAAGTAAATTTATTAAACAGGTGATTCCAACTTCTATTTCTTCGTTATTGCTTTCACTTTTTTAATTTATTTTAATTTTCTAATAACAAAATAAGTAATTTACTTAAAATGAAACTTAATATAATTTAAGTTTGAGCAAACCTTTAAATAAGTACAAAAGTCAACCAAACCTGAATTGTTAACTCCACAATTACTATTTATAATATATATTAGTATACATCAATTATTTTTTTTAATTTATTACGATAGATATAAATTCAATATCTTAAGTTCACTCAATTATGATAAGTAAGAACCTATAGCAATCATTCCTTAATTTTTAATTTGATTATACCTATTTAATTAGTTATTATTAAAATATAGACTAAAAAAAATAATAATACCCAATTAGAAGATTTAATTCTTATATCTTTGAGCAGTTTTAAATACCTTAAATTAATCCTTCAATACCTTCAGCTTGTATGTGGTTTGCTCTATATTACTTTAGTTAATAATAAATTATTTCAAAATTAATCTTACGATAAGTACAGAGTCAATTTCTTAATTTGAATGCATGAACCTATCCCTTAACCTAAGAGAGAAGTGCCTGTATTTCCAAGTTAATTCTAGCTTTAAAATATGTTAATTATATCTTTTTTTATACAAATACAATTATACGTTAAATATAAATTCAAAAACTCTAGTTATTGGCACTTAGACAACCCAAAAGCAAGGCCAGTAGCTCCTGTAATTCCAACTTTGGCTTAACTTTGCATTTAATTTAATTAAATTTAAATAATAAAATTTATTTTATATTTTTTTCAAAAATAATTTCATTTTATCTATTTATTTATTAACTTATTAAATAAATTATTTGAACTAATAATTAATTATGAAAATTAAATGAGTATTTATCATATTTATAAAAGAAGATATATATGTAAATCAATTTAAATTTAATTTCTTTAAGTAATTAACTTTTTTTAAAGCTTTTATAATATTTAAAAATGAAAAGCTTTTTATTGAAAAAAAAAAAATTACAATAAATCAATTTATATGTTCTTTAGGTTAGTTAGCTATGAGATAGTTTTGCCTAAGGCTGATGTACCAGAATTATTAATATCAGAGTTACTTTTGATAAAAGAGAAATTTAGTGTGCATTATTTGATTAAAAATATTTACTTTAAATTGAGAGATAGTGAAATGAGATTAACACACTTTGCAATTTGTTAAAATATGTAAATTGAACTCTTTTCATCTAAAATGTTTTTACTTTTAAAAAAATTAATTAAATTTTATTATTTTTTTTCGTTTTACTCCATAGTAAGTTTAAGATGAACAAGGTTTGAACACTACCCAATATCATCTCCTAATTTATGTAAGTCCATAATATAGATAGATTCAACTCTAATAAAAAATATAATTAATAAATAATAATAAATTAATAAAATAAATCTTTACTTTATAGAGATATCTATACTTTTTATTTCATGTTTCAAAGTCTTTTTAAGCTTTTTGCAAAAAACAAATATATTTGCTAACTCAATTATTAATTTTTAATTAATTTTTTACATCTTGTTCATCTTGAATTATTTTTAAATCATCTTCCATTTTTTTATAATTTATTTAATTTAAATTTATTTAATAAAATTAAAAATTTTTTGTCATTATTAGTATCAATCAATGTATTTTATAAACTAAATTAATTTATTTGATCTTCATGAGAATAATTTCTAAATAAAATTAACAAAATTTGGATTGATTCAAGAGTTTGAAAATTGAATTTTTTTTTTCTATTTAAATTAATTATTGTTCGTTAAAGCAATAAATAAATAATCAATTATTAAAAAATAAATAACTAAATGTAAAACTTAATAAAGAAAAGAAGAAGATAGAAGCACGATATTGGAAAAGCAAAGATGGAAAAAATCGAAGTTTATTCGAAACGAAAAACATGTAGCTCAATTTATTTTCTAACGCAAATTTTTAATCTCGGTGGAAGCACTTCGGAGATTTGAGAAAATCCAATCGAAATAGTCCACATCCATGAAATCATATGTGGATTAAAGTTTTTAACAGCCAAAAAGTTAGATTATGAATTAGCTAAATGAATATTTCGAAAACTTCCTTTCTAATATCAATGGGAAAATAGCTCAGGCTGATAAGAAATAAATCAAAGTTCTAAAATTGATTTAAATGAGTATATAAATGAGCTAGTAATTTAGATTTACTAATGTGAGTGTCCTTGTTCAGAACGGATGGAAAAAGCTAAAGTTTTTTATGGCAAATTTTTAAACATCAGGAAAATAAATGCTTTGGAATAATCGCTTCTCAGAATAGCTTTTTCGAATCATTCGCACACGAAAAGAATTACTCACTGCAAATCTAAAAGAATGTTCATCTATAGAAAATAAAATCTTTTAAAACTTGCCTGAATTAACTCCATAGTTGCTTACTAATCTAAAAGGAAAAAGTTTTACCGTTTTCACTATTTATAAAATTGAATTTCATTTATTTCTTTCTTTACAAGATTGATTCTCTTTTTGATTAAGATAAAATTTAAAATTTGAAAATACAGTTAAAAAGATATTAATAAAATTAAAAATAAAATAATCCTAACTGATTAAATAAACATTAAGAAAATTAATAGCCAAATACAAACAAAACAAAACAAAACAAAACAAAATAAATAAAATAAAATCAAGTAATTAAAAACAAAACATAAAAAACAAACAAAAGGAAAAAGAATTAACAAATATATAAAATTCAAATTAAAAACTCACAACCATAATAAAAAAAAATAAAGACATCTAAAAAATATATATATTCTTAATATCATATCATCTGTCATAAAATTAAAAGCGATATTTTTAAGCTCTTTCTATATGTTTTAAATTTCATGTGTATTAGTTAATACTGGTAGAAAAAATGTTATTTGATTAATTTTCTTAATCATAAAATTATACTTGATAGCTAGCATGATGCTTAAAAGCCAAAAAAGAAATATTTAGCATTTAAAATTGAATGAAAATTATTAAAATTTATTTTGTTTATTTAAAAAATTCTTTGTTCTCTAAATTGAAAATTTTTATTAAAAATGAATGTAAATTCATTATTTTGCAGTCAGTCTAATGTCAATGTTTAAATCCTATCAAACAATTATTTTTGATTGCAATAATAGGAAGGAAATTTTTATTTGTATAAACATTCATAATAGAAAGATAAATAGAGTGGTTGATAACAAATTTTTTTATCAGAAGGCCTAAGAATAGAAAACAAAATCATAAATTACTAAACTGAATTAATTGATTGATTGATTAATCAATGCTTGCATCACATATATGCATACATATATTTATGTAAAAAATCTTAAAGAAATTAAATTAAGATATTTATTTGTAAATTGAAAGAATTAACATTCATAAGAAATAATATTAATTTTAATAGGTTAACCTGACCTAAAATAGCAATTAAGAAAGTATGGAAGGTTAGTAATAGGATTAGAAGCTTTAGGAAGAAGCATTTAAGACAGATTAGATGAATTAAGCAGAATAAATTTCAGACTAATAGAACTAGCAAGGCTGCGAATAGGATTTAGAAGAAGCAAATTATGTTGGGCTTTCTAACATTGGTATGATTAATTGTTTGATTTTAAAAAATAGGTAGTAGCTCTTAACTGAAATTAATTAAAAAAAATAGGAGCGACATGTTATATGAATAGTGTGTTATAGACTCTATTTATGACTCCAGAGTTCAGAGAAAATATATATTAATGGAAGTATTCAATTAGCTTATTTTTGATTGTTTTATTATTTTAAAAATATTTACTTGATATAATTTAAATAGAATGAATATAGTAGAATTTAAATAACAAATCAATTTTATGTCAATATTTTAGATATGATTCAGACGATTCGTAGGCAGAAGACTGTATTCCTTTATAATTGTAGATTTTATTTGCTAAAATGCAGTTAAGGTCTTTTCCATACGTAGATACAAAGGATTTAGCCAAAAGCTTTGGCTGGGATAATTAGGATGGATGGGAATAGCATGACACTTAAGAATTTGTTAGAATACTTTTAGATGCAATAGAAAAGAGTGTTCATGGAAGCAAAAATTATAATTTTATAAATGACATATATGAAGGAACTTCAGCCAATTATGTCAAGTGCATGGAATGCAATTATGAAAGCATAACACAAGAAAATTTTTTGGATTTAGTTGTCACTGTCAAAAATATTTATGACAAAATATACAATGATTCACTCGAAAAAGCAGTTTAGCGTTACATCAAGCCTGAGACCCTGGATAATGATAATAAGTATATGTGCTCTAAATGCAATAAAAAAGTAATAAGCAAAAATAAGATAATATTTTTCATTTTGTAAAACGAAATCTGTCTGATCTGATCTGATTAAATCCTTATTCCAGTTTTATAAATATCAATCAACAATCAGCCAGCATAGAAGCAAATTAAATATAGATATTTAAAATGCCCAAAATAATTTAAAATAGAATTTATAATTGTTATACAAGGCTTTTTAGAAAGAATTCATAGCGTTTTAAATTTAATCAAAGCACTTTAAAGAGTTTTAAAGAACGAGCTTTTAATTTTTAGGAATTCCTTAATAATTGAAATAAATAATAATGGCTAGTTGGAATTTTATAGAATTTAGCTGAAAACACAAATTAATTTGATGTTTTTCCATATTCTTTGAAAAGAAAAATAAAAATCCTACAATTTTTATTAAAATAGAGATGAAAAAATTTACAAAATTTTTGTAACTATTTTTTGCAAGGAATTTAATAATAATTAAAAACTAATTTATTATTTTAGAAATTGAAATAGAAAACTTTTTTAATTTATTTATTTTTTATTTTTATTAATGAAAAACCAATTTTGTTAGAATTAATAAATTAAATTCTTTAAATAATTAATTTAGGTTAAAGCACTGCGTGGTACTAGGTTCTGTAAGCTACCAAAAATTCTCAGCTTTATTATGAATAGATTTACTTTTGATTTTTCTGATATGAAGAGATTAAAATTAGATGATTATGTGAGTTTTCCTTTTGTGCTGAATATGAATGAATATATAAACGGATACGACAATATCAAAAATAAACTCAGCGAAGAAGTTGATCCTTCTTATTTCAAAAGTGATTATACTATAAAGCCTCCTGTAAATAAAACAAAAATTGGTTTAACAACAACTAAAACTGCTAAAATTAGCAGTGTTACTACTTAAATTAAAAAAAAAGTACCTATTAAATCTGCATCTAATTAGACAAGAGATTTTTTAAAGAATTTAAGAACCCAAAAGAAATTTTAAACTGATGAAGCTGCAGGCGGAATAAATTCAAATGGAAGTTCATAACAAGGAATGTTTATTGAATTTGATTAGAATAGTATTGATAAATAATAAGATGCAGAATTGCAAAAAGCCATACAACTTTCTCTAATTGAATCACAAATACATGAAAAAACTGGAGAGAGCAAGGAGAGTGGAAACAATCAAAATAATTCTTCTGCTGAAACAGCCGATACTCTCACAGATAGTTAAAATCATTTAAATTTTAATCCTGCTGGTCCTTCTCCTGATCCTTTGTAAAATAAAAAGCAATTATGTGGAGCTGGAGTTGCCTAAGTTGTCTCAGACTTTTAAAATATTTAAATGCAAGATAATGTGATATAAGAAGAAGAATAGAAGTGTAATTCTTAGATAGTAGAGGAAAATTTTAATGAAGAAAATGAAGGACAATTAACTCCAAATGGAAAGTCAAGCAGTTTAATAAATTAAAAAGGTATCAATTTATCCAACTCAAAAGCTTCTAGCTCTAGGATAAATAGGCATCTCTCAAATAAAAAGCCATCTACAATTTAATAAGGATCTTCAAATACTATAACTTCATCTACTAATTAAGGACAATAAAGAGAACACAGTACTAATAAACGAGATCAAGAGGAAAAGAATAAATAGGATTACAAAAAAATATTGGCAGAGCACTTGTAAAAAAATACCTAAGATTGCAATCAGCTGATAGAAAAATATTTAAAAGATGGCCCTCTCGTTTATGAGCTCTATTCAATATTAATCCATTCAGGAGGTGCATATGGAGGTCACTACTATGCATATATTAAAGCTTTTGAAGATGGTGGAAAGTGGCATTCTTTTAATGACACATCAATCATGGAAATAGATGTCAACGAAATACAAGAAAGAGTATTTGGTGGAAATTCAACTAATGCTTACATGTTATTTTACAGGTAAAAGAGATTTTATTTGTTTTATCATTTTATGTTGATAGCTTTGTATGCAAAAAATTATTTATTTTGTTCATTTAATATTTTTTTATTCTTAAATTTGTATTTTATATTTAAATAGATAGTGGGAACCACCATAAAGAAGGAAATTAAAGATAGATAATTTACTGATTCCTAAAAACGTAATAGATATTATTGAAGTGCAAAAGAACAAATGGGTTGAAGAATAAAACTGGAAATTAGAACAGTCTAAAATGATGTCAGTTAAAGTTCACTACATTTTAAATGTCAAAGTTATTCAAGTAAGCTAAATTAAATTTATTTATTTTTTTCAATGTTTTATGCTATTTGCAGTTAATATTATTATAAGCTACTTTGCAGTTAACATTATTTTTGTTATTTTGCAGTTAATATAATTATATGCTTTAATATTATTATTATTATTATTATTATTAGAAAATATTTAATATTTTTAATGAAAATTGTATAATTTAGGTGAAATCAACTGATACGCTCTCAAAAGTACTCGATTCAGTCATTTAAGAGTTTAAAATCAAAGAAAAGAGAGAAAACATTAGACTAAGAAGATACAAGCCAAATACAGATTAGATGCTAGACACTTTTGAAGAGCTGGAACATTTGAGCTTAGATAAGCTAAAGATTAACCATTTTACTAATTTATGTGTTGAAGTTAAAAAAGATGGAGAACAGTTCGAAGAATATGACGCTGGCACTACTTTTGTTAAAATGGCAGTTTGGAAGCCTAATATTATTTCTCTTGATGAAAATTATTTGGATGTAATTAATAAGAATTTAAAATTTAATTGTAAAAGTAATTTTTTTATTTAGATAATAAGAGTTTCAACTAGGAGAAATGCAACTATTTATAGATTAATGGAGTAGCTTGCAAGGGCTGCAAATATTGACTTCGAGAAGATTGTGGTTATCAAAAAACATGAGAATATTCATGGAATTAACACTGCAGAGGTGATTTCTACATCTTAAAATTACGATTCTAGACTCGAAGACATGGGAATAACAGAAGGATAGCTTTTATTTATAGAAGAAAAGCAGCTGTAGACATCGACAAACACGTTAGAGAATTAGGAGCATAAGTGGCAAGAAGTCTTTGAGAGTGACTCGAATAAAATATTTATAAAATTTAATAACCCAATAGAATAATAATAGCAATAATCAAAGACAACAAGTAATATTGAATATAATCATTCTATTATCATAGACTCAAGGTAGACTATGTAGCAGCTTAAAGAAAAAATATCTGAGTAATTAAAAATAGATCCTGTAGAAGTTATTATCAGGAGAGGAGGTAAAGCAGGCATTGAGCTTAAAGAAATGAATAAAACAATTAGATCTATGAATTTTATTAATAACTCTTCGATTTATTTAGAGCTTGGAAAGCCTGCAAAGGAAGGAGAAATTAGAGTAATATTTTATTTAGCAATAAAAACACCATTAAATGCAGATTAGATTTTGCACACTTTTGAAGAAATAGGTGAGCTTCCAATTCATGGAAATCTTCTAGTAAGCAAATTTAAATTAATTTAATTTTTAATTGTGTTAAAATGAGTTTAAATTAAATAAAAGGCTTCAGAAGTGAAAGTTATTGCTTGTTAGTTTTTAAAGGAAAAGAAGGACATAGATTTAGATCCTAATTTTATTAGACTACGTGAAAAAATTTCTGATAATTTAACTAGAATTTATAGGGAAAAGAAAATGAGAGAGCAGTAAGTTATAGAAAAAAAGATGATTGCTATAGAATAAATAGACGAACCTATAGAAATTAGTCTTAAAGAATTTCTTATTTATGTGAGGATTTGGGATTAACAACAATGGACTCTTTCAGATAGATTTGAGTTACTTGTTTAAAAAACTGACTCAGGCTATGACCTTGAATAAAAAATTTATAAATAAAATCAACAGATACCAGTAAAAAACAAAAAGAAATATTTTAACTTAATGATTATAAATTTAATTTAAAGATTGGACAAATGTCAGCAATGAAAATAAATGTTTGGAATTTCAATTTATCATAGCTGCTTAATGAAGATGTAAATTGATTATTTAATGAGAAAAATTTGTAAATTTTTTTATTGAAAACTAGTGGTATAATTTAGATAGCAGCGATGTGAGTATTTCACTACATCCTTTCCATATTATGAATGATGGAAATATGATTATGTATTTATTTTTTATTAATTATAATGTTGATTTCTAATAAATCTTTATTATAAAGAATCAAAAACAAAACTTAAACTCCAAGAGAGCTAACAGACGAAGAGGTTAAACAAATGGGTATAATTTAATGTAAATAAGCTTATAAAAAAGTTGGGGTGAAACACATTTCTCAGTAAAAAGAAAAAGCCCTCTCAATCAAAGTTAAAAAGTAACTTACAAATTTTAAAGCAATACGATTTATTGTACAATTATATTGTAATTAAAGAAAAGAAAGTTAGAAAGATGGAATTCTCAGTTGTGGTAAAGAAAATAGCGAATAAAAGGAAAGTTTATAAAATGCTGCTTTCCTTTAAAGTTAGTAATAAGTTTCACAACAAAATCATAATAAAAAAGAATAAAATAGCTAAAATGAAATGAAATAAAATGATGATATATAGTAAACTGATAATTAAAATAACCCAAAAACAAATTGAAATTTGAAATAAAAAATAAATTAAGTCAAAGAATCAAAAAAAAATAAATATATATCTCACTAACAAAATTAAAAATATCTTTTAATAAACTATTTGATGCATTTTATTTATATTTTTTATACATCTTAAATAAATCAATTAATTCATTATAATTTTAATTGTATCAGAGAATATTTATATCAATCATACAAATTTATATACTTTCTTATTATATATTTTTATTTTTGCAAAAAAAAACCATACATTTATAATCAAAAATTAAATGATTATTTTCGAATCATAAGCATTCCTCATACTTATAACAGTTTTAGTTATTTTTTAGAGTGGATTTAAGTCAATAAAATATATTAACGAATTTTTACACAGTTATTTATTTTTTTATTCAGTTTTTGATTTTGGATATTTTTTAGTTTTCCGAATATAAATTTATGGTTTAAATTTAACCATTTTTTATTTACAATTATCCAGAACTTTATCATTTTTTTTCTTCTTTTATTTAATTTTATATATAACATAATCTTCATAAAATAATTAAAAAAATATAAACTATAATATAAATCTTATTAATTAACACCCAAAAAAAAAAAATTTTTATTTTATAAAAAAATTGTTAAAATTAAAAGTATTTTTGATATTTTTCAATATTCTATTGTTAGTCCTAAAGGGAACTTATATGGTATACATTTTTGATATTAAAAAAAAAAACAGTAATAAATTTGTTAAAACTAACTATGACTTTCAAAGTATGTTATGTTCTGCAAAATTTAGCATATATTTCAACTCCAATTTAAAAATAAATGAAAACATTTTTAATTCATCAATAGAACAAACAAACAAGCAAGCAAATTTATATTAATTTTTTTCAAATAAATCTGTTATACCAAGAGAATTTGTCTCTCTCTATTTGAAAAAATATTTAGATAATAAATGATAAATATTTTTTTACTTATCTATGAATCAAATTTTGAATTTAGAAGTACGTATCACAACTAATTTTTTAAGCTTCCTAACAAAAAAGCTAAGGTCAAAATCTGAATCATTTATTCTCAATTCTGTTAATTTATTGCAATGCATTTGATTTATCTAGATATATTGTCCTAAGTTAATTTTATTTTAATTTTAAAATATATTTCTTTAAAAAGCAAAAGAAAAGCTTTCTAATTCTCTATGAAGAAAAACTTATTCAAATATTTAAGCAAGAGGCTCAAAGTTTATTTCATCAGTTTTAATCTTTAAAATTTTTAAATTTATGAAATTGGATAAATTTAGTAGGAATAAATTATTTTCAGTGAAATTACTGAAATAAATTTCTAAATCTTTAGTTAAAAATGGCTTATTGTAGTTGACTAAATTACTATCAAATTAGTAATGAAGATCAATATATTTGATATCTTATATTTACTATAGGATTAAATCAAATAAATCGTATTCGTTATTAGTGTGAATGTAATTTTATTCGTTTTGATTACTATTTACGTCTTAAATATATTTTTTATCTTAATACTAATCTAAAGTAATTGTAAATGAAAAAGCTCCTGCTTAGACAAATAAATTAATATTATTTTTGAATTTAATCTTGCCATTTAATAGACTTAAAATAAAATTTTAAATGTTGTTTATAAAATTAATCTTTAATTCTATCTATTTTTAATTCTAGTTATAGTTTTAACCTTATATAATCAATATTTTATTTTATAAGTATATTTTTAGGCTAATGTCGAAATTTTATAATTTTAAATTTTAATATAAAGAATCAATGTTCTAAATTAAAACTCCAATTTCAAATTAAATATCAATATTAAAATCAGCCTTGACTGAAAACGATTACTGTTGTATCAAATCAGAAAAGTATAAAATAAAATCTTAGGAGAAACAGGGTGCATTTTAAAGTTCTAAGCATACATTATTACTAAATTTAAAATTAGAAATTATTTTTTCTAATTATTTACAGTTATCACAGCTTGAGATATCTTAATCTTTCAAAAACTTTAAATTCAATTTTTTCAGGGTTTTTTCATCAACCGAGTTTAGTGATTAAACAATAAAGCTATAAGTTTCATAATTGTAAGGGAGGTGTATAGTTATATTATCAATAGCTTTAGGACCAGTCTTTAAGCAATTAATTGAATGAAAAGGGTTCATCTCTTCAGGAGTTTTAGTATATTTTTAATACAAAACATTATCGTTTTTGAGATTAAAAGATATATTACTAGCTTACTTAAGCTATGCAATAGGATTTTCTATCAAATAATATAAAATAGATTAATTATTATCAATATTATCGCTTATCTATTAAGAAGAGTTCAACTCACTAAGCTACATCTTGTCCATATAAATATCCATTGAATCTGTTTATGAATAAATTTTAATAAACACATTTTCCAATTCTTTGATAAAAGCAATTGACTTAATAAAACATTTAAGAAGATAGAATGATAATTGTGCCAAAAATATCTTTAATTTTATTATGCTTTCTTATTAATTTTTTTTTACATCAATTATTAAATATTTTGATAATAAATCAAATTTTATATTTAAACTTTTAGCATTTTTTAAATTTTAAGCCAAACTTGCTATGTCTTTGAAAATATTCTCTTCTTTTTCTGATTGATTATCCAATTAAAATGTTACTTCATGCTAATCTAATTAATTCTTTAATAATTCAGATTAGTAAGCAATCATAGCGCTCGAAAAACTAGGGACTTTTTCTAAATTAAGATAAACTTATTTAATCTACAAGAAATTAATCAAAGTATTTTCAAGTTGCTTTGTTTATAATTCATACATTTTTTGAGTAAACTTAAAGTCAATTTTTAGGATCTTGAGAGCACTATTATCAAAAGATTTAATAAGATCTTAAAAAACAAGAAAGTTTTCTTAACAATTGAGAACCTCAACAGATAGTTACTGAATGATGTTATTATTAAATGTAAATCCGTATTATAGTGGACCAAATATTTACATAGTTACAGTTGGAATTTCTTTCACCATTTTAAAGAAATAATTTAGTTCTTGAGCTAAATTTTGAATATTCTTGGATTTTTAGTTTTCGTAGTTTAAAGTTATTATTTTCCCGTAGCAATCTTCGCATTCAATTTTTATTTAAAGAATATTGAAGAAAAAATTTAGTTTTTTTAATTGTTTAGCTCTTTTCGATATAAATTATAATAATCCTGAATAGAATTTTGGAGTAATATCAGTCTACTATAAATTGATTTAAATATGTTTCAATTTGTTTAATTAACCTGGATTATCTAATCTCAATATCTCTATATCTTCTATATCACATTATTTCACTATTAAATCGAAAGTTTCTAAATCATGCGCATAATTTAAACTTTATAACGCATCTTAAATAATACTACCTACATTCTTTATTTTATTAAAATTTAACTTTAACTATATTATAGATAATTGTTATTAGCTTTCTAAAACATATGGCTAGTTAAGATTAATAACGCAATTTTCTAATTTCATATATAGATAAATTAATTTATTTTAATGAAGTGTTTTGATAATTGATTGATAGTATATAGGCTCTTCATTATTAGCAATCGAAATTTATAAACTTTTTAACTAACATAACTAATACAAATTAGAATATATTTTTTCTTATTATTTGTAATTTAGGTTATTATCTTTTATATCTAATACCAAATAATAAATATCTAAATCACCGAAAATAGTAGTCTGTATGGCTGAATCAACATTTTTATTTGAATTACTCTCATTTATAGTCAATTCTAAATTACAAATTTAAGTTATTTATTAAAACATCACTTTTAAATCTTCTTCATATTATTTAACATATTTTGCACTTTTTTATTCTAAATCTAGTACATTAGTGTCTAAAGACAATGATAAATCTCTCAATTTGTGCAAATTGTTTATATGCTTTGCTAAATGCTAGAACTAGGAAGTAGGAATTGCGTTATCAAAACATATAATTAGCTTAAGCTATTAAAGATTCTTAAATTGATTAATAAGATATAACAATCCTGTTAAAGCTTAACTATCTTTAAAGTTGCATCCCATTATTTGAACTGATAAATCATATATTGTGTCATTTTGCTCTGATAAATTAATGAATTAATTGTAATTACAATTGAAAACTTCAAACTATGAGCAGACAATACTGATTATGTTATCAATTCTTTAAAATTGGATTATTTTATTCATTTTTTAATAATTTTTTTTGAATTTGATTATTAATTATTATTTTGAAAAAATAATTACCTATGTTTAAAGAAGTAAAAGATATTAGAATATGTTTTGATTATTGTTTTTCCTTTTTACCTATTTTAAATTATAAGATCAGATTATGTATTAATTATTTATTTTTTCCTTCCTACCTATTTCTGAAATCTTAATACCAGGTTTTTACTTTTTCTCTTATAAGAATTTTTTATTTACTAAACGATAAATCAATTAATTTCCATCACTCATTTTATATATTATACAAAGATATTTTTAATTAACTCAGCATTTCTAAAAATTTATTACTTTTTATTTATTAATAGCGCAAGCTTAAAGTGCTCTTTGATAATTTTATTATATATTTTTACTCTATTTTATGAATATAAATATCTGAGTTTCCATAAAATTTTTATTTAATACAACTCTTTAATAATTATTTTAATTTTTAATTCAAAAGAAGAACAAGAGCAACATCATAAGTTTTAATCTCTTTAATATGAATAAATTAGATTTATTTAAAAACTATTTTTAAAAGTTGTGTAAAAATTTATATGTAATGCGTATTTTTTTTCATACCCATATAATTATATAAAAGATTTTTTTTTTTAAGATAATAAATCTGAATTATATTAAGTGATTTCTGGGAACATGGATACAGATTGCATAATGCTGCTCGCTTAATAATTTGATTACCACAAATTTTTTTGATCTATACTCTATAAGGATATTCTACTTTAGGCTATATCATCTGAGAATCATTGCTTATTCTGATTTAGTTAACCTTCTTGTTCTGTAAGATTTTTCTTTTTTAATCATAAAAGATATCAATCTTAAAGATCAATTATTTAGTTGGTTAGGTGATCCATTTTTTAAATTTCATAAATGAAAAATGCTAAGTTTAATCTTTCTTAACTAAACACCGTAAAATTCTTTTGCTTTTTACCTTATTTATTTTTGATTTTTATCACTTTACTAAGATTTACTTATATTTATTTATATATATTCTTTCTTTCATGAATAATTTTTCTTAAAATTGTTATTTATCTAAAAATTATTTTTCTAAATAAGCAAATATGTTGAAATTTAATCTATGAAAATCAATTTTTAATAAACTAAAACAAAATAATATGTTAAAAGATAAAATTTATTTTAGTTGTTTGCTCATATTTATAAATAAATTATATTGATTTATTCTGTTTCTATTTTCTTTAATTATTCCTGCTTGTTGTAAGTAAGTAAGTAAATAAATAAATAAGTAAGACGTTTTTAATAAAATGAAATTTTAAAGTTTTTATTTTATTATGAATTTATTATGAATAAATTTTGAAAGTAGCTTTTAAATAGATATATACATACATACAATCAAATTCCTGATAAAATTAGAATTTTCGATTAAAAATTTGTTATTGTTTTTAGATATGATTTCAGTTTAAAGAATTAGAGCATAAAAAAAGCTTGTTGGGGCAATTTATAGGCATTTTAGCTATGTGAGTGAGAAGGATTTGTTAGACCGCGTTCCATACAATTTCGGAGGAGTAAAGGCACAAATAAATCCAAATAGTACATACAAAGTTTATCAGTTATTGCATTCTATTTTTAATGATAAATTGGATCATGGATTCAAATTCGCTTACGAGTCTATGTTAGACGCTTTTGAAAACCACGATTTAGAATTCTTTTAGGAAACAGTTGAGCCCAATTTATACTTAAAAATACAGAGAGGTTTTGAGTTCCTAGAATCAAAAGGACTAAAAATTTGCCAATAAAATAAAAATAGCTAATTTGATATCGCTTACAATAGTTTAGAAATACATAATGGAGTCTATTTCGATAGATAAAAGAATCCTTCAGGATTGAGAAAATAATCATTGCAAATGTTTGATTATGCAATATTTAACTTATACACATCAAATGATATGGGAGCATCATTCCCATTCTAGGGATTAGTTAGTCGTCCTATTTTGCAAATTGGTCTTTATCTAAGTTCTTCTCGTAAACTCTACCTCGAAGATTCTAATGGAAAAATAGTTGCAGGTGAAAACTCTAACATGAATCAAACTCATAAAATATTATTTGAAACCGATCCAGGTGAAGCATCTTCATTAGGCAACAATTAAATTTTCAACATGTTGAGAGGTTTCTAGACAAATACCAATAAAGAAAAGCTATTCAAGGAAATTTTCATTGGAAATGACTCTTAATGGAAAATTACAGATATTGATAATTTCATGAAAGGAAATCCTTTTACAAGATGAAAAAGAAAACAAACTAAATATAGGATTAAAAAATAAATAGTTTACTTCACATTTCATAGAAAATTAAGTTTAATAAATAAATAAAATAAATATTCATTGTACTTTCCTATTAATTTATTTGTTAAAGTTTTAGCCAATTTATTCAAAAGCTGGATGTAACTAATCATCTTATTTTATTTAAAGCAAATCAAGTCGCGTTTATTCTAAATAATTAACAAATGTTGAAAAAATTCAAATAATTAATTTAATTTTATGTTTTAAATAAAGCAATAATTTTACTTAATTAAAACCATTAAATTCAATTTAAGAATTTTAAAAAAAATGGTATTCAACTCATCATCTAAAAAATTATTAAAAATTCAAATCAAATAACTAACAATTCAATTAGCAAATGAGTAAGTTTACAGAAAAACTTGCGTTAAAATTATAAAAATTAAATGAAATTAATTTATTAAGGTGAGATAAAACAAGATAGATACATTAATTATTATTATTATTATTATTAAGCTAACTCTTAAAGTTAAATTTAAATAATGAAATATATAGTCAACATATCTATTCAAAATCCAAACATGTAAGCACTTAAATCTTCAACTATGTGCTAAATGTAGCTGTCAACAGACTTGTCTAAATATTAATCACGCTTCTTTTTCAATTTGGGATCTTTGTTCTATTCCTCAATATATTTTCTAATCTTAGAGAAAGTATCCAAACGCTATTTAATAAATAAAATATTAATAAGTAGAAATACAACAATTATTTAATTTTTTAACTTTTAAAGAAAATGAAAATAATTTAAATATTTTTTATTTCTTTTGCTTTATAATTGAATTATTTAAAATCTAAATTATTTATTTTACTGGCCCAACGATTGATCCTAATATTTTTAAGTATTCAGTCAGAGTTTAAGTATTTTTTTCATGGATCTACTTTATAATGTTAATATAAAGACATATATTTCTTAGCTTCTCGCAAATCTACTCAAAATCTGGTTTTTCTTATCCAACTAAAATAATATTTGCAATTAAAATTTAGATAATTTAATAAACTAAAATAATTAATACTTACTTAATCTCAAAACACATCCAAGATTGAAACCAACCTATTCTGCAACTTTTTCAATGTTCATAGTTTTCTAAAATTATATTTCAGTTGTTTATCTTTTATTTTCTGCTATAACTTCCTTTGCTAATAATGATGGTTCTGTATAATATTTCATTTTTGACTAGTAAGATTTTTTAAACAAATACATTCTTGCCAAGGCAACGCCTGCAAAGCAAATTATGATTATAATCCAATCTAGCATATTTATTTTATTTGAACTATCTAAAATTTCAGAATTTTAAATTTAATTATTATTTTTGTAATTTATTGATTAAATCTTTAAAGGTAGGAAAGAGTTAATAAATTAATTATTTTTAAAAATTTAAAAAAAGATAAAACAAAATAGAATATTTTTTATTATTAAATTAATTGTTCATTTTTTTAAAATGATTATTTCTTATTCTTTTTTTGAATGAACAAAAAGTTTTTTATTATTGAAAGATGAAGACTAGAAAGTATTTTTAATTGTTGTTTTTATTTAATTTTTCAACAATTTAATTCAAATCTTCACAAAACAAAACAACATTCAAAAAAATTTAGATAACTCTAATGCTCAAAAAGTAGAAATCTGTATGATGGTCAAACGTAGTATTAGATCTATGCATGATGGTTTATTTATTGTTTTATTTTTTGTAAATTTTTGAATCAAGCTACTGCTTTAAAACATAAATAGAATATAATCAATTAATTTCATATAGAAGAATTATTTTTAAATGTGAAGTAAAAAATTAATTTTATGTTGCAATTTAATTTAAATATTCATGAAATATAAATAAAGCAGTCATAGTTCCATATATACATAAATAGCTTTAGTAATAAAAAGAGAAGAAGTCTTACAGAAGATATAAGGAGAAGTTAATAAAAACTGTTTTATAAATATTTTATTTGAAATTAATAAGATAAAGAATTATTTAATGCTAAGGAATAAATATAATTTATGTTTAAATAAAATAATTTAATTTAAATGTTCATGATAAGCTAATAAACCAATTTTTTATCAATTAGTTTGAAAAAAATATTTTTTAATTAGCTTGGATTAAAATTTGAAGCGATAAAAAATTAAGAAATTTAATGAATAATTAAATTGAATTATTTGTTATAAAACTGCAAATATCAAATAAAAAGATGAATTTTTTTTTTAATTTAAATTGAATTTATTAGATATTACTTGATAGGCACTAAAAAAGTTTTCATTATTTCACTCATTAATTTGCTCAAAAAAATATAATAAATTAATAAAAAATTCGTAACAACTTTGATTTATATAAGAAATGTAATAAAATAATCATTTACAAAGGGAGTACTAAGATTAAGATAATTTTTAACAATTATCAGAAAATGATGAAAACGAGCAATTGGAAGAAGAATATTTTTCCTAAGACGATGAATTTAATGAGGATGATTAGCAGTAGCAGTATATGTAAAGGAAGGAAGTAGAATTGAAGAGAAGATATAATTTGTATGATATTTTGAAGCAGTATAGAGAAGAAGGCGAGCATTAGCCAGTTTCACGTTTATTTTATGCAGCATATTACAATGAAGCAGCTCTTCAATAGCAAAATATTGAATTAGACTCATACATGCAAACAAAAATTAACCAAATATAAGATAATCTCAAAGAGTAATTTTAAGGCTACTTTTTGATCAAAGGTTCATTCTCCATTCACCTTTTAGAAGCTGAATCTAATGCTCTAAATGAATTTGTTAAAGAATTGCACAGCGACTATCATAAAGAAAAGTCTATTTATTAAAACATCAATATCATCGCTTTCACTGAAGAGAATTCAAACAGATTCTACAATAAATGGTACTGTGATAATATTTACTAAGCAGGGCCTACTCTCTCATAAGAAATAGATAAATCTGAAAAGCAGGTGCAAGATAGAAGTTGGGAAATATTTAATCAAGTTTGTTAAGCGGGTTCTAAGTACTCATAAAAAGGATCAAAAAAATAATAAAAACTTGCAACTGAAATAAATATTTCGACTGACGATATGTCTATTTTGATGTCTAAATTTTTCACTCATATAGATGACTATTACAACCTGTATCTTAGCGATATAGAAATCCAATTAGATACTGAATTGCAATATCCTTATCAACCATCTCTTATTAGTATATTAGAATTCTCTACTTTAGGCAAGTTAGGCAAGCTAGATGCATATTGAAAAATAAACTCTTTCTAAATTAATTATAATGGTCTATTCATTTTAAAATGATTACTATTTTTAAGTTTAAATTTGAGAATAAATTTAGATATTTACAAAAAAATGATTTTATTATTACAAAAATAAAGATAATTAATAAATAAATACTTAATTCTTCATCAGTAAATTCTTATAAATTTATCTGTTTGTTTATTTGTTGATGCGACATGTATGTGTTTACGCATTGTTTAATTTAGTTAAATAGGTATTTCATCTCAGTTTCTTAATCTAATTTTTTCAAATTGAAACTCTTAAAATTATTAAGTTTCAAAAGTAGACTTTAAATACTTTAAAAAAATTTTAATTCTTTAATTTTAAAAGTTTAAATTTACTTAAATTATTATGAATCAGATATATTATCAATCAATCAATCATTTTATTTATTTAAAGACTAAAAATATAATTAAAATTATAAAATAGCTTTAAAATTTTCATAAAAACATTCATCTTTTTTATTAATATAAAATGAAAAAATGGTAAATTAAATATCTTGATAATTTTATCATATAAAATATTATTAAATCTTGAAAATAAATTCTATGAATTGCTTTATGTATTTTTCATGCAATAAAAATAAGGAAGTATCTTGCATATTGCTTAGTTTATTTTAAAATAATTTAAGGAATATTTAAATCTTCTTCATAATTTAATTTGGTTTTTATTCACACATTAAACTATTTTTAAAGTAATTTGAATAGGTTTCATTATTGTTAGCATATCTGTATTGTAAAGAATGATTTTAATTCTTTTAATTATTATATTTTTAACAGTTCCTTAACTGTGGTTCTGGTTGAATATTTAACTTTATTATTTAGAGAGAAGTAAAAGAATAAAAAAAATGAAATAGATTTTTAATAGACTTAATTAAAATTAAAAATTTGCTAAGATAATTAAAATGACTGTGCAAAAAGTGGCGGAATTATGAAGAATGTAAAATAATACACACTATTGTGTAGTTGTATTGTCTACTAAAAATATTATAGTGGATTTCAAAAGATATATTTTTAAAAGGATAAACAAACAAATGGTTGTATAAAAAAATTAAATTATAAATTAAAAATTGTCAAGAATTGTCATATCTTATTTTAACAACTCAAATATATATTTAATATATCTATTGAAAAACAATCAAGCAAGCAAGCAATCGAATAAACAAACACAATAATCGATCAAGCAAATAAACAAAACAAACTAACATCTCACAAAAAATCTAAACGATATAGGTAGGGATTTTAAGATCTTTCGCAAAAAATAAAAAATAAAGAAATATATATTTTTTTCGAATAAAAATATTTAAAATTCTTTTTAAAGAAGAAAAATAAAAGACAAAGAAATCTTTAGATACTTAATTAGCAATAATAAACAAATAAAATGGAAGTCTTTTTAGATAACACTCCTGAAAGTTTTTTGGTTGAAGTTTACGCACACTATACAAATTTAGTTCATAGAAAGAAGGTTAACCTTATTAGATTAACTCCAGCTGCACAACAATTTATTTAGCAAGGTGACTTGAAGATACCCAATTTGCCATGCTTGATTACTCCATAAGGAATCATTTCTAATCCAATTTCTATTTGCGTTTACTTCAGTGATATCAGTTTCACCTCTGGCATTATGATTGGAAAGAATAACGATGCATAAGTATATTTTTAGATTAGATTTAAAAAAGCTCATATGCTCTTCTGACTTTAACCTATAAAGCAAATATTCATTATTATTATTTTATTAATAGTTCTTGTCATACTTAGATTAATGTAAAAGAATTCAAAAGAATCAAGAAGTTCAATTAGCCGTAAATTATTAAAACTCAAATAATGAAAATCAATTGAATTAATTATTATGTTTTTCATATAGAATTTAAACAAAGACTTAGAATCTAAGGTATTTTTGGTTGGTAGTCACATCACTTTAGCTGATATTATTGTTTTCGCATATACCTATCATATAATTACTTGTCTTGATGATGCAGCTAAATGGAAATTCAACAATGTTTTCAGATGGTAAATTTATCTGATTTAATAAATATTTATCATTTAGTTTTAATTCCATAAAAAACTTTTGTAATTTGTAAATTTTAATTATTTTAGGTATAACAACGTTTAAAACTTAGAAGGAATGAAGGAATTCATTCAAAATACTAATAGATCTTTAAGTATGTACCCTGAACCACTTATTGAAAGTGAAGATGGTAATTAAATTAATTACAAACAATTAAATAAATTTAAAATATTTTTATAAAATAAATAAATTAGCTTCTGCTAAAGGAAAAGGTGGAAAGAAAAAATGAAATTTAGGGCTAGTTGTTTAAATTAAAAACCAATAAATAAAATATTATTTTTTAGCAATAAAGCAAGCAAATGAATAAATAAATAAACAAACTAACTTACTAATTAATTTATATATAGCTTTGTGTAGGATTTAAGTTAAAAATATAAACTTTTTATAAATTAAAATAATTTATTTTAATGGTTTATAGAGCGAGATAATTGATATTTTAATTATAAATTAAATTAGTAATTTTAAAAATTATTTTGTAGTTAAGTAACTTTATAAATTATATGTTTTTTTTAAATTTTTCATAAAAGAAGTTTAATATTCTAACTCATTAATATTTAAATCCTTTCTTGCACAAAAATACTTCTAAAACAAAATAAATTATAAAGGATTTATTGATATAAGTCAATAATTTTATTTAAGAAAAACAAAGTAGTTTTAATATCATAAAATTTGGGTTTTTTCATCTAAAAAATAAAACTACTACATATAATCACAAATATACATGTTTGTTTTTTTTTCAATATTTAAACTTTTTTAAATGCAATATTATTTAAGAAGCATAAATGATAGCAAAATCAATCAAATATTCAATTAACATTCTGGTTAGATGGTGCTATGGTATACATTATGATGAGACTCACTGTTTATGGTATTTTCACAGTAAACTATTCATTAGTTTTAAATTAAGTAATATTAAATTAAGGATTCTAGATTTCTTAATGAGTGAGCTTCATTTCTATTTATTTTGTTACAAATAAAGCCTAATTCTTTTAAATACAAATTAGCTATCACATTAACATTTTAATCCAAATATGAAAAATTAGTAAAGAGAAGATAAATAAATGAAATTATCCAAATTTAATAAAACATTCATGTTTAATAACATTTTCGTCTTTAAAATGTTTTTTAAATAGAATTTAATAAAAAATTTAATTATTTTATTACTTTATTGAATGGGAAATATTTAATTAAAAACAAAATACAACTAAAAATTTTAATTATCTGTGAATTAATAAAACACAACATTTTATATTTCTCTTTGACAGTTTTTATTATATCTGTATTAGAATAGCTTTATCTTAGTTTAATAATTTTATTTATGAATATTACATCAATTATTTTTATCAAAAGTTTTTATTTCTATATTGATTTAATAATAAAAAGGAATAAATTTAACATTATTAAATAAAGTTATATAGAAAAGTGTTAACCGTAATTTATTAGGAAGTTATATTTCAGGAATATATTTGTTACTTTCATTTTCCAAATAATAATAAACTCATTCACAGTTTTTCAAAAAATATAAAATAAATAAATTTAAAACAAACTATTTAAACTATGTCATTTTTAGCTTACTTTGCTTTAATAGCAACAGTGACTGTAATTTACTTAGCATTCCGAATTGTTATTTTCCCTAAACTAAAAATTAAAAAACTAAAAAATAAATATGGAGATTAAGTTATAGTTTTGTATAATTTTGGGTCAGGACTTATTTAAGAAAAGAAGAAAAGTTTAAAGCAACAAGGTGACAGTCTTGGAACTATTCGCAAATTATTGTGGAGTAACCCTAAAGCTAAGGCAATAATTCATAATAACGCTTCTGGATAAATAGCTTATTCTTTTATTGATCCTGAACTTATTAAATAGGTTCATTAATAACCAGAATTTTTTGTTAAGTAAGTAAACCACCCAGCTGTTCTCTACTTATTTTCTAAATCAATCCTTTGTATGCAAGGAAAGGAATGGTAGAAATAGAGGTAGTTTTTTGGTAAATCTTTTCATTTTGAAGAAATAAGGAACTACTTACCAATTATTAAAGAAACTTCACAATCAGTATTTGGATCTATAAAAGAAAATCTAAGTGATAGTTCTTAAATAGAAATTTAAGTTGTCAAAATCTGTGAAAGTGTGACATCAGAAGTTGTATTTAAAGCATTTTTTGGATTTAATTCCTAAAATTTAATAAATGGATCATAGAACTCATTAGTCTAAGAAATTGTATCAATAATGACTGATTCTTATAGAATATTTTAATTTAATAAATTAGCTTTTATTAAATTTTTGATTTTTAGAAAGAGAAGCTACGATTTTTTCCCTCTATAATGTGAAAGGGAAATTGTATAACGTTTAAGGAAAGTAAAAGAGGAATGTGATAAAATTGTATAATAAAGAAAATAGCAACTATTAAATAATCCTTCTCTATATAAATACAATTTTTTAGATTAGTATTTGAAGGAAATCCTTCTAAATAAAAACTAGGATATAAGAGAAGAAAATATAATTGATAATTTTTTAGCATTACTGTTTGCTGGAACGGATACTACAGGAAACATGGTTGGCACATCTATTTTTTATCTTTCATAAAATCCAGAAATACAAAATAAAGCCAGAGATGAGGTAATAGAATTATTAAGAAAAAATCATTAATGTAATAAAATGCAAGATTTGTATGAATAAATGACTTTTGAAGATATTACTAATTTCAATTATTTAAATTCCGTATTAAAAGAGTCACTTAGATTAATTCCTCCTGCTGTGAATGTATTCCCAAGAAAAGTTATCAAAGATTTATAAATAGGTAAATTTCAGTTAAAAAAAGGTGATGCAGTCAATACTAATTTTATTTGTGGTCATTATAATCCTTAAGTATTCAAAAACCCAGAATAGTTTGATCCTTCTAGATGGATGAATGCAAACGAGTATTTTTGTTATTTATGAAATCTTCATTAATTAAAACACTATATTTAAAATAGATAAAATTAATTTAGTTTCACTCCCTTTTCTTTAGGTCCTAGAAACTGCATAGGGCAGCACTTAGCTATGATTGAAGGAAAATGTATGTTGGCTTATATTTTACTTAACTTTGAAATTATTCCAAATCTCAAAGTAAAGGTAAGAAAGGAAGCTAAAATGAGTTATGGATTAATACCAGACAATCTTGTTTTCTTTAAAAAAAATTGCAAAAATTATGATTGACTGATAATAAAATGTAAAAAAATTAATTTGTAATTATTACCTTCAAATTAAATAAATTATCTGTTTTTATTTGAAATGTAAAAGAATCTATTCAAAAGAGCAAAAATTATAAACTATTTAATAAACAAAGAAGTTTATTTTTTTTAAATTTGAAAAATAAAATTATCATTTTTTATTTTGAGAAATATTTTTCTCAAATTTTACAAATTCAATAAAACTGATTTAAAATGTTTAATTTTCTAATCCTTCAACAACCAAAAATATTCTTTGGGCAGAGGTTTTTTAGAATGTTAATAGTTTTTAGGAAATTTGTTTTTATAAAATTTAACAATATTTTTTAATTATATTTTGCTTATGGCATTCATTATTTAAATTTGTGATTATTTTTATGATTAAACATACAAATATTTATTTATATTAAATACTAATTAATTATTGTATTTTTCCATCAATTTTATTTATAATTAAAATGCTATTTTTTATTTTTTTCTAATAATTTATATCAATTTATTTAATAAATAGATAGATAGATATATATATTTTGATGGTATAACAGATTATTTTGTATTAAAAGTCCAAGTATTCAATAAGAAAAAAAATATACAAACGAAAAATATAAAGATACTAACTAGATCGAATATAAATAATTTAGGATAAAATATTTAATTACAGTTTATCATATTATAAATAAATAATATGGAAATTAAAGTATTTTTATTGAAGATTTTTGAATTAATTGGACATCTATCTTATGTGTTTTAAGAAAGTAATATGTGCGGATGGATAAATTTATGTTTTTAATTATCAATTGCAATTAATTGAAAGGAATATTTGATTTTAAATCTTTAAACATCAAATATTTTTTGTTTAATTTTTTCTCACTCATTTGTTTTTAGAGAGGTTTTAGACAACAATAATTGTTACACAAATCAAGATTATTGTAATGAGGTAATCAGTCCAAGTTAATGGAGAGGAATCACCAGGAGTAGGAGGTGTTGAGCTTTCAGGATCATAAATGACTCTAATGGCTTCAGTCTAGCCAGTTAATGGGTGCTTGACATATATTTTATTGTCAATATTTTGGTTGAATTCAGGACTAATTTAAATTTCAATCTTTTATACACTCTTTTGTTCAAACTGTTTTATTTTAATATGGAAAATATTAGTTATTTTAATTAAATATGCATTAGAAATATTTTTAAGTATTTACGAATTTAGAGATCACGTGAGGCTTGATATCGTTTCCACCGAAAGAAATATCAAGAGGGAAAGTAGTTTGGATATATATTTCCTATTTGTTCATGGCTCTATTCAACTCAATCTTTTTTATAATTAATTAATTAATTAAAATCATTTAATTCATTTTTTCAAATTTTTAAATATTTATTACATATTTTTCATTGTTTGAAAGGTGAATCTTCCAAATAACATCATTAAATTTATGCTCTTAGACGAAAGAGAATTTAGCATCTTAATTTCTACTAGAAATTGTGGTAATTAAGATCAAAGAGGGTGGCATGTTCTGTTTTTAATAAATGAAATAATTAAAATTATTTGCATACGCTTTATTTATTATTTTACCATAGTCTAATAGTTATTAGGTTCTACCAATTTTACAATGCACTAGGCTTGCTAGTTACCATTTGGAAGGTCAATTACTTCTCCTTAAACTTGGAACCATTCAGAGTGTTCAGCCTTGCAAGACCAAGATAAGTTATTGTTTATAGGGTTTTTATCAATAGAATTTTCTAATCTCTTCAAGAGTTCTTTACTACCACTTCTATCCTTCAAGAAGATTTAGAAGGGGATAACATATCTAGTAGCGTAATCTGGATGAGAGGGTTCATTTGTTAATCTCTGTTTACAAAAAATATATTTAAAATAACTCTTAAAATTCAGAATTTAATATTACATTATTTTTTCCGATATCTCCTCTAACTATTTCACCTACTTCTTGGACAATAACCTTAGATTTGTAAACAACAACGTCATTGTATTATACCAAAACTTCTCCAGGTTGGTGAGCTTTAGCAAGTCCTCTATTGCTGTCAATAGTTAATACATTTTCATTTGAGCTAGACCATCTCTTAGAATTGTATCTATCTCCACTGCTCTTAGCTTGTAGTACAGAGAATTAAACTGAACCTCCAGTGTGTACAAATACTGGTGAGGAAGGAGATACTATAGACCCAACATTAATGAAGAAAATATCATAGATATGAGGGTTAGCTTCAAGATAGACAATACATATTGAGTGTCCAGAAGAAATAGCTCTCAAATTTAATAAGCTACCATCGCTGATTGTAGCAGAAAGTACCTTTGTGTTTGTAACTTTAACTCTTAAATGAACATTGTCCTATTTTTTTAATAATAAATTTAATTGTAGTCAGATCAGATAATATTTTTGTTTGTAAACAAGTTTTATTTAAATAAATAAATTTTATTTATTTTAAAAATTATTTTTAAATTTATTTACAAGTCTTGTAGGGAATGATCTGCCAAGGAAATCCTACATTCTAACTTAAAGAGTGGTTTCACCTTCAACTTACATGTTGATGACTTCATGGGAATTCTCTACAAATAATGAATAAATACTTGTAGTGTAAACGTGAACACTCATGATTTCTTGTTAAAGAGAATTAGAAACAGCTCTAATATGAGTAGAGACACCCTTTTTATCACCAGTGGTAATATGACCATTCTAATCAACTCTAACGGTTTCGTATTGATCACTTGAGCCACAAGCAGTAACAAAAGTGTATTTAAGAGGGTTTTAAATTGGCATAAAGTAACCACTCTTGGGAGGAATCAACAAGATAGAAGGCTTAATATCGGAATAAGCAACATAAGTAGGAATAGGAATAGAAAGAGGATTGATGACATCAATTCTTGCTACAGTTCTAACATGAGACTTTTATCCAATAAAAGTAACAGTAAGCTCGATTTCAGCAACACCAACATCAACTGCAGTGGCGTTTACGGCATATAAATGAGAATCACCAATGCTAACTTAGTTTTTATTTGAGGATTCAATATCTGCAGCAGATAAAATTTCAGGAGAGATGTTTTGGGAAATTCTCAAAACACCTTCGAGCTTAGACTACCAGCTAATTGATAATGGACAGATACCAACAGTCATCAATTCACCTTGAATGAACACTTTTTTTAAAGAAAATTAAAAATAAATTAATTTTTTAATAAGAATTGTGCTTGTTGTTTTGATCAATAAAAATGATAAATTACTTTGAGCAATAAGTCTGACAGTTGTAGATTAATGAAGAGTACGGTCGTTCATACCAAAAATCTTAACGTCATCAATGTTTTACACTGTGACAGGGACAGTGATTTTGCTAAGCAAGGTGTTATTTGGTTGAAGATGAATAAAGAATTCTAAAGTAGAATTGCCTTTAGCTTTTTCTAATGCTCTGATGTCATAGAGCTTAGTGTCAAGTTAGTTCAAATCAATCAACTTTTGGCTACCTTGGTGGTTTTATGTCTCTGAGCTGTAACGAACACGAGTTGAATCAGAAGGACCACCTATGAGTTAAAGAGATGTTTGACAGTTTGGATGCAAAATGATTTTAGGAGGATAAGCTTCAAGAGGAGGGAAGACCTCAAGATCAAGGGAGTTACTCTTTATGATAAAGAAGTTAGCATAACGTGGGTCATTGTAAGTACTGGCGCTACCACTCTTTAAGACAGCTACTAATCTGTAATTACCTCTCTTCTTACCATCAATAGAGAATTTATGTCCGTTGAGGGGATCTCTCTTTATAGCCAAGGTAATTCCTTCATTATCAGAAGTATCACTTTCCAAATAAATATCCATAAGAGCGACTTAGGAGTTAGTGTATTTTCTTCCTTAATCATCATAAACTTCAACGACAGCCTAGGTGTATGCACCTACAGGGATAATGTCTTGAATTAAACGTAAATCAATACGAGCAGGGTCACGGACTTAAACACGACATTCGATTCTCTTAGCACCTATTTAGAGAGAATCTTCAATTTTCAAAGAAGAAACACCGTTCTTGAAGGTAACAAAGGCTAACTTACTTTATGAATCATGATATTTATGTTAGACAACATCTGTTGCATTATTGTGAATAATATACTATCCAGAACCATACATAAGATTCATTACGTATTTATTTTCTTTGTGATTATATAAAAGAGATTCAACTGGATCACATTCTACATTCTTAGAGACTGCGATAAGAATTTCGTCATTTACTGAGAAACTAACAGGAGAAGTCTAAGGATCTTCCAAAGTAGCACTTGTAGCTTAGATTTTAATAACATCAGTGTTTTGTTAATTAGCGAAATTTACACAGGTGTTCAATTCATATTTACGGAACTCATCTTTTTTCTAAGGAATCTACTCAGTATTCAAACTAAGCTTGAACTGGTCCTTGTATTCACTAAAGTGGAGGTTTGTTAGAGGACCGCATTCACTAGTAGTGATCTTCCAGCCAATAGCCAAGGAAGTGTAGTTTGCAAAAGGAAGACTACGAGAATCGAAAACTTAAGTGAAGAAGAAATGGTTCATTTCAGTTTACAAATGATATTTATTGAACTTAGAGGTTTTAGCATGTTACAAAAGAACAGATTCGTCATCACTGTCACGCTAGTTAGGAGATGTCAAAGGGTAAATGTATAAAGCATGGGGAACGTTACACCAAACAATCAATTCGTTGTGTAAGACCAAAGGACGAGGGAGCTTAGCATCAGCTTCATTTTAAGCTGAAATGGATATGGTGTAAGAGTTTTCTTTATCAGTCTTACATAATCCACAAGTAAGTTGATAAGATTGAGTGATATTACCTTGAGTGGTTTACTTAGGGATATTAGAAATGAGACCTTCTTGTCCTGCACATCCCTTTTACTTAAGATTTACTTGAGTGTTAACATTAATTTTACGCCATGATTCCCATTGAGAAGGACCATGCTTGAAACGCCAATTGTAGGAAGAACCCATAGAAATAATAACTTCGTCTTTCTTAAAGAAGCTGAAATATTTAGGGTTGATGATATTTTTAAAAGGCAACAAGACCTTAACTGAAATGTACTAATCAACATTTTCTTAGAGTTGTAAACCTTCAGCATAGATACGAGCACGGTATTCTCCTGCTTCCTTAGCAAGAATTCTAAAGGCACTACAGTAACCGTAGTTATTATATTCATAGTGAACATTGTCGATTTCTTCTTAAGTAACTGATCTACTTTAGATATACTCTTTGAATTCCTCATTAAAGCTTTTCAATTCATTTTTCTTCAATTCTTACTTAATAAATTAATTATCTGCCATTAACTTATTTAAATCTTTAAGAATTTCTTCATAAGTTTGGAATCTTTCTGCCGAGCTACTATAGAAAGAATTTTCTTCTACTGAAAAGGCTAGTGCTGAACAATTTGAGAATCTCTAGCTTCCTAACTCAGGATAAGCAATAGCGAAAGTAGATTCATAACCATTGATAAGAACTTCCTTCATTTGTTCTAATGGTGCAGCTCTCAACACATTGCTAACAATGACCTATTTTATGGATAGAAAAATTAGTTTAGATTAATATCGATGATAAAAAAAATATTTGATTATTATTTTTATAAAATTTTTACTTCGATTTCATCAAAGTTCTTTTCATTCATCTTATCACTAACATGTAACTTAGCAGAACCTATTGATTTAGGGTGAACACGATTGTAAGAAGTAACAGCAATAGTTGTATTTGATGTATCCCATTCATATTATCCAGAACCACCAACGACCTTTAATTTGAAAATTTACTCTGAATGGAGGGGCAAGTGGATGAAATTTCCAGGCTTGAAGAGCTTAAGGGGCATTACTATTGAGATGTTTACTCTATTTTTTATTTCCTTTTCTGGTTTCCAAATAGTTTCAGAGTTTTGAGTTTTACCTTTAACTTCAATAAGTTAAGCAGCAACAACTGTGCTGTTGGTTAAAACTTTGGGTCTCACTCTTAATTCGTGGTTTCTTTGTTCGATCACATCAAACTTGGTCTTATCAATAATAACCTTTAAAAATAAAAAAAATATTTAAATTTATAATTTTTATTTAGTTTGGTTAGGTTTACATCTATTCTGACATTAGGTGTAATTTTAATTTCATTTTTGTTGATATCATATAAAACAACTCTAAGATAGTATTCACGGTTTCTTACGAAGTGGGTGGACTTTTCAAATATTTCTTGATAGTATCCTCTTCTTGCTGATTCCCAAGAATCAGCAGTGTATTCGCGACTGAAAATTTCAAGAGAATGAGGATAAACAACAGTAACAGTAGAAGTTACTTGATAATCTACTTGCTTAGAGGGTCTAACTATAACCTTAGTAGGTACATCTCTCTTTTCTTCAAAAGTTAAGAGCTAGCCATTTTAGTGAATTTAACCAATTTTTTCATCTAAAATCTTCCAGTTATAGTCGTTGCTTGGGAGTTTAATTTTGTTATCTGCAAAATAATTTGGAAAATATTTAAATATTTTTTTCATAGTAAAAAATTTTAATTACCTGTGGCTTTCTTAGTGAAGTATAATTCATACTAGAGGATTGTTTGAGGAAGGAGATACAAATCATTACCAGGATAGATGTCAAACTTATCAATAGCATACAAAGTGACTGGAAGTGAAACCAAAGTCTATCCTAATTCTTTAATCTTGACAGTAACATCAGCCTTACCTGTCTGTAAAGCCTTGATGACAATAATATCAGTCTAAAAATGGTAGCCTTCTAATTTCTTTCTCAAAGGACTAGTGTTGATCTTAGATTCCTAATTTCATTAAATTAATTTTAGTTTTATTAAATAAAAATAAAATTTTTTAAGAAGAAAGAAAAAGATTTTGATTTTACAAATCAATCAAAAAGTTTAAAATTAGAGTGAGTTTAAAAAATAAGTTATCAAATAATTTGCTTGAATAAAAAAAAATTATTGACAGAGAAAAGAGTGTCTCTTTAAAAAAATTTAAAAACTGCCTTAAAAATTTAAATATCTGGAATATTTAATGAATTCTGTTAAAAAAGTATTAGAAAGATAAAAAATAATTTGTTTTTTTATTAATTTAGAAAGTAGATCAATAGATTAATTGATAAATGAATGAATTAATAGATTAGATAGCTATGCTCATATTATTAAGAATTAAAATAAGTTAAAAAGTATATTGAATTTATATTTCGTTTTTATTGCTTATTACAAAGGAGAAATTTTTGAAATTTGTATCTTTAAAGAATCTACTGCGAAATTAATAAATAATTTCAATAAAAGAGGCAAACAGTTTATTTTTAAGTTTTCTTTTTGCAAGAACTACAAATAAACCAAAAATCATTTTATGCTATTGCACTTATTCTCTCTTTGAGACTTATTAATTGATTTATTTCTTACTTACTCATTTTCTTTCTTCATATTTATGAATTCTAGAAAACAAAAAAAAAAATTTACCTTGAAGGTGATAAACTCAAAGATGTTTTCTTCTTATTAGATGCTCCACTCAAAGCGCAAACCTTCTAAAGAGGAAAAGGAGTTACCTTCCTTATCATAACCAATGATTTCGAGGACAGATAAATCACCAACATCGATAGTTCTGAGCTTTGTTAGAATTTCAATCTTTTAGACTTTAGCTATTTTAGATTCTACTCTCATGACATCTCCTGTATCTATATTTTTTTAAAACAAATATTTAATAAATATTAAGTAATCGCAAAAAGGCATTTATATCTTTGCTATTTTTCATAAGATCTCTAAAAGTAAAATTAACATAGCCTATCTACTATAATTCCAAAGGTTTACTAAACGCTTAATATTAATAATTGTATTTATTTTTTCTTTTCTAAAATTAATTTGAGCAATCTCTACTTTAAATGCCTAATGAAATTAGTAGTTAATAAAAACTATTTACCCTTATCAGTAACAGAAATCCAAATGATATTGTCGTAAGGACGGATGTTATTGAGCTTAACTAATGCTGTAGATTCACAAACAGGATTAACTTCATCACTAATTCCATTTATTTGAAGGAAGTCTGGTCTAGAAGAGGACCATGTATAACAACCATTGCTGGCTTCCAAAAGGAATTAAGGTGCTCTAATTTCTAAATCTTCATATAACTCGGGTAAAAGCAAGTTGAGCTTGTTAACTTTCTTTTGGTTGTCTACTGTTTTGATAGCAGTGACTCCACCAATTAATATACAACTAATCGCTAATAAAGCAAAAGCGATTCGATTCATTGCAAAAAAGTTCTTCTTCTTCTTATTATTTAATTTACTTTTTGATATATTAATTATTATGTTAGTATAATACTTTTCTAAATATTCTTTATAGTTTTCTCTCAAGAGTTAAAAGGTATTAATTAATTTATATATATTTATTTTTAATTGTTAGATTTTTTATTGTGTTTTGCTTTGCTAATTTTTTTATCTAGCCTTATGATTCGTTCTATTAGACAGTCTAACTTTCATTCATTCATTAAATCAATCTATCAGTCAGTCAAGATTTATTTATTTATTTGTTTGCTTGTTTTTTAGGTTTGTTTATTTGTTTCATCATAGTAAAAATCTAAATGAGGCACTCTCAAATATATTAATAGACATACCTAATTATTTATTATATTTTCAGAACATTAAGCTTTTTTACTGCTAATTAGTTATCTTCAATGAAAAATCTATGTTTTAATTTTCTTTTTTTTTAAATTTCATATTAAATTTCAATAGTAAACAGCAATTTTCAAAATATTTTAATTTTATAAAATTTTAAAGAGTACTAAAAATTGTAAATAACATTTTTTTTTAATATATTATTTCGGAAGTATTGATGGAATTCAAAGGTTTTAATATAAATGATAAAGTATAAAAACTTAATTTAGATTTGTTTTAGATAATTTTATAGTTTTTACAAACTTGAATCTAAAATTAGAATAAAGATTAATAAAAAAATAATTGTTTTAATTTAAATAATAAAAATGAAATATGATTTATTATTCAATAAGAAATCTGTTTTGATGAAAAATTTATTTTTTTAACTTAATTAATTTAATAAATATTTATTTACAATTATTTCATAAAAATAAAATATTTTAAAGAAGACTTTTAATAATTAAACAAGATATTTATAAGATTTATTGATTTTTAAATCAACTTTGATGGTTAAAGTAGAACATATTATTTTAGAAAGAATCAAGCAATTTTATTTATCCTTTTTGAGAATTTTTTGAGTAAATTTTAGAAAAATAAGAGGATTATTAATTATGAATTGATTGATATTTGTTTGATTGTCTGCTATTAAGCTGTATTAGTATATTTTATTCATTTATCTATCTATATATTTGTGCATATGCAAAATAATAAGATTAGAATTAATATAGCGGGTATTTTTTAATTAAGATATGAAGAGAGTAGTAAAATAAAGTTAATAATTAATAAAAAATTAATATCGATCAATAAGTAAAAAATCAGAATTTAACTTAAATAATAGATAAAATAATTCAACAAATGGATATAGATCTAGACTAAGCTGAAGCTCTTTTTAACGTAATTAAATTTACCTTTTAAATCTCTTAAAAATAACATAGCGCTATAAAATTTACTTTGATAAATAGTTAATATTTCACTAATTCCCATTTATTTTGTTACCATTTTTAACTTAAATCATCAATTAGGTGGCTATTTACACTAAAAACAAACAAAGTATGCCAAAAATAATAAAAATTTTTTAGGTCTTTAATATAAAACAATAAAAGCATTTGCTCTTTAAATTTAGGTGCACATAAATAATTAAAAAAAAGATAACTCACCTGAAAATTCGTTTAAAAATGCCAATAGCTTCATCTTTTGAGAAAGATAATTTTTGCTAGACATTTTTTTCAATTTCAGAATCAAAATTAGATTTAAAATTTGAAAAATCAGCGAGGAAAATGCAATTAATAAATAAAAAAAACTTATTTAATATTCAAACAAATTAATAATTTATAATATCTGAAACTTTTATATGTAAAATAAAAGAATAATTTTCTAAATGTCTTAAGGAAAAGCAATTTTTTGTTTAACCATTTAATTATAATAATTTTTCCCATAAAATTTTTAAAAAAATATGTGAATAGCCCTCTAGTTTTAAGAAATAATTTAGAGATATTAAATATTTTGTAATGCGTTATTTTGTTTGTGGAAATAATACATAATTTTTCTGAATATCTTCCTTTTTACCATGATTCAGGCTCTAGAGAAAAATTATCCGAAAATGAGTTGCCATCATTCATTACACTACTTTGCCACACATTCCCACATAATTGTCACTGCCAACAACAACTGACACTACTTAAATCTCACTTTAGTTTGGAATAAATTAGAAGAACAATAAAAAATAAATAAAATAGGTAGTTAGTTAGTGAGTAAATAGAGATTAAAGGAGAAGATTCAAACAAACTAAACTAAATCGTTTTGTTAGTTAGTTGTGGTGCGGGAAGTTGTTGTTGACCTTCCTTTTTAAATAAATTATAAAAAAATATAATTTAGGGAAATTTTGAAGTTTTTTGTTTGCCTCAACTTGAAACTTAAGATAATAAATAAAATAATTTTAGGGCTAAAAATTTAAAAACAGATTTTTATAGGATTTTGGAGAATTTTTAGATTATTAGTTAAATGTTGAATAAGCTTCAGCATTTAATTAATGACAGTGACATTAAAATAAAAAAATATAATAGAGTTAATTATTATAGCAGCATATTAATAAATAAATAAAGCATTCATATGAACAAGAATTTAGAATATAAAAATGATTCTAACTATCTATCTATCTCTTCTCTCTTATAAAATAAATAAAAAAGTAATAGGCAAATCAAGGATTAGAAAACGGTTCCAACGGGGACATTAGAGATGACAAAGATGAAAAAAAGAGCAAAAAGAAGAAGCATCATAAATCAAAAAGCAGATCAAGATCCAACAAGAAGAAAAGCAAAAAGAAACATAGCAGTAGATCCAGATCCAGATCTGGCAAAAAAAGCAAAAAGCATCGTTCCAGATCATCAAAGAAGGACAAGAAGCACCATCACTCTTCTGAAAGAAAAACTGAAGAAAAATAGAGCTAAGAGGCTATCTCGAAGTCTTAAGAAACAAGACAGCTAACATCTGTCGAAAGAATCGAGCTAAAAAAGAGGGAGCTTGAGCAATAAATTGAAAAATTAAGTAAATTTTATTTATTAAATTACTCTAAAAATAATTCAAGCTAATATCAATAATCAAAATATCACTAATATATAATTTTTTTTATCATTAGACAAGGATGCAGAAGATGCTGCCAGAGAAGATTTAACTGTTATGATTTATTAGCTACCTTCAAAGGCTGAGGAAAAAGATATTTGGCGTTACTTAACCAAACATTGTGGTGCTTCTAAAGTTAGAGATATTAAGCTCATTAGAGATTAAAAGACTAAGAAGTCTAAGGGTGTTGCTTATGCTGAATTTTATATTAAGGAAGATGTTGACAAAGCTTTGGCTGCTGACACTAAACCTTTCTTCTTAAAAGGTGAAGAAGTGCCAATGTCTGAAGTGAGAATCCAGCATTCATAAGCCGAAAAGAACAGAGCTGCCTTAGCTGCAAGGTATTTAATTAAAATACTTTTTATCATTTATTTTTTTAAAATACTAATTCATATCTTGTTTCTATTCATTGTTGAAATTAAAGTTATATTTTTTTTAAAATCAATAATTGTTAAATGAAAAGAGAAATTAAGAGACAAAGAGCAGAAGCCTTAAAAGAGCAATTAGCCAAGTTACAAGAAGGTCCTGTTAAAGTTTTTGTTGGTGGTTTAAATGGAAAACTAGCTGATATGAACGAATAAGATTTAAAGGATATATTCTAAAAATACGGTGATATTGAATCTGTTGAATTGCCTGTTAATGCTTAAGGAAAATGCCTTGGTTTTGGTTACTTGACTTTCAAAAAGAAAAGTGATGCTCATGAAGCTATTAAGATGATGAATGGATTTAAATTATAAGATCAAAAGATTTCTGTTACTCCTGTAGCAGTTAATTTATCTTTCGCTCCCGTTCAACCTCTTTTCCCTTCAAGTTTAGGAGGAACTCAAACTCAAGATAACATTGATTTAGATCAGAATGAAAGTAAGCAAATTATTAGATAAAAAATATAAAAGATTTTTGTGATAAAAAATAAATAGACGCAAAACATACTTTAAATTTTATATTTATTTATTTATTTATTTATTTATTAATATATTAGATAAAGTTTTCTTGCACTCAGCAGCCAAAAAGCTGGAATTAATGAAGAAATTAGCAGGTAACTCTACTCTTTCTGTGCCTGGAACTGAAACAGCTGCTTAGCCTACTGTAAACACTCCACTTCCTATTCCTGGTATAGCCAATTTACCAAGCTTGAATATAGCTCAGAATCCTTAAATTCAAAATAACTTCATGGCTGGAAATAGACCTCCTACAAGTTTGTTGCCCACCAACTATATAGTATTAGTAAATATGTTTGCAGAAAGTGATTTCAAAAATGATCCCTCTTTCTTTGCAGATCTTAAAGAAGATGTTAGTGGTAATTAAATGATTTAATTGATCAAAAAACTTATTCATATTAAATTAGTTAAGTTAATACTAAATATTTTATTATAATTATTTATTAGAGGAATGCAAAAAGTATGGTGATGTTGTTGAAGTATTTGTAGCAATTCGTAGTCCTTGTGGTTCTGTATTTGTATTGTTTAATGATGCTGTTGGTGCAGTTACTTGTGCAAAGAATATGGATGGAAGAATGTTTAATGGAAGACCTATTTCTTCTTATTGTATTTCAGAAGATACTCTACAAGATGAATTACAAGAACATCTCTGAGAGATTTGTTTATCATAAAATACAAAATTTATATTGAATATAACTAACTATATCTAAAAGCACCTTATTCAAAGCATTCATTCATTCATTAGTTCAATTTACTAGCTTGCAAAATATAATCTATTAAATAATAGGTAAATAAATGTATTCTAAATATAAATAAATTAAGTTAAGGATTGATAATTAGAAATTACTTAGTTTGTTGAAAGCTACAATTAATGAAAAATACGCCTTAGAGTAAAGTAGTTATTGCTTATTGATTACTTTTGCTAATTATATATAAATATATATCTATTATCTTTAAAGTAAAAAGAGTGCTTTTTAAAAATTAACATAAATATAATATTTTAAAATTAAAAGTAAATATTGTCTCTTAAATTTTGTGATTTACGATATATTGATTGGTTGATGTTATCAACATAACATATTTTCATTAATTTATTTTGTTCATAATTTATTCATAATCATAAATACTTATTATTTATTTACTATTTTTATTTTTTGAGAAACTTTTGGCATTTATTGCTGCTTTTTAAAAAGATTACAATTTGGTTTCTTTGGACTAACAAATTTTTAATTTAATGTTTTAAAAATTTAATTTTTAACTCAATAGTAAAATAAAATATAATTTTTATCAGAAAAAATTCATTAAAATATTTTTGTGTGAATTGATTATTTTATTCTATATTAAAAATGAACGAATAGAATAAAAAGGAATGAAATAAAAAATAAAAATCTATTTCAAATTTAAAATAAAAATATAGCTTAGGATCCTTTATTTCAATATAACTTCATGGTTGGAAATAGACCTCCTACAAGTTTGTTGCCCACCAACTATATAGTATTAGTAAATATGTTTACAGAAACTGATTTCTAAAACGATCCCGATTTCTTCACAGATCTTAAAGAAGATGTTAGTGGTAATTAAATGTTTAAATTGATTAAAAAACTCATTCATATTAAATGAGTTAAGTTAATACTAAATATTTTATTAAAATTATTTATTAGAGGAATGCAAAAAGTATGGCGATGTTGTTGAAGTATTTGTAGCAATTCGTAGTCCTTGTGGTTCTGTATTTGTATTGTTTAATGATGCTACTGGCGCAGTAAATTGTGCAAAGAATATTGATGGAAGAATGTTTAATGGAAGACCTATTTCTTCATATTGTATTTCAGAAGACACTCTTCAAGATGAATTACAAGAACATCTTTGAGATATCTTGTTTATCTTAAAATACAAAATTTATATTGAATATAACTAACTATATCTAAAAGAATCTTATTCAACGTATTCATATATTGATTCTTTCATTAGTTCGTTTTGCTAACCTTCTAAAAAATCTATTAAATAATAGGAAAATAAATACATTATAAAAATAAATAAATTATGTTAAGGATTGATAATTTACAAATTACTTAGTTTGTTGAAAGCTATAATTAATGGAAAATACGCCTTAGAGTAAAGTATTAATTGCTTATTGATTACTTGCATGCTAATTATATATAAATATATATCTATTTTCTTTAAAGTAAAATGAGAGCTTTTTAAAAATTAAAAATTAACAAAAATATAATATTTTAAAATTAAAAGTGAATAATTTCTCTTAAATATTGTGATTTACAATATTTTGATTGATTATGTAACATATTTACATTAATTTATTTTCTTCATCCTTTATGAACAATTTTTGGTATTAAAAGCTTCTTCTTAAAAAATAATCAAAAATTAATATTAAATTTAAAAATATTTTCAAGAAAATTAAAAATATTACAATTTTGTTTTTTAGGACTAATGAATAAATGATTAAAAAATTTAATTTCTAATTGAATATTAAAATAAAATTTACTTTTGATAAAAAAAATTTTTTTTAAACATTATTAATATTTTGGTGTGATTTTAATATTTAAATCTATTAAAAATGAAAAAATTTGTCCAATTAAAATAAAAAAGTATGAAACAAAAAAATTGAAAACCATTTCAAATTTAAAATAAATTTTAATTAAATTTAAATTTATTTTTTTTAGTTAACAAATTTAAATGATAAAAAAATTTAAATTCTTTTTTGTAAAACTAAATTAAATTATTTGATTTGAATAGTTAAAAGATAGATTTAAAATGTTTATTTATTTTTTTAAGTTTTTAATAAAATACCTAATTTAATTTATTGAAAGATGGAAAGAAAAAATTAATGAAAATAATTTTAGAATAATTTTAATTTAAACCAAAAAAAATATTCAAAAAAGAATTGAATGTGGTTTTAATTGAGTTTGATTATATTTATTATTGATAAATGCTTTAATATGTTATTAAATAAATTATCAATATTGAATTAGATAGATATATTGATAAATAACAGATTTATTTAATATATAATTTATTAAGCTGAACAATCAATACAAATAGTAGCTGCATTCTTTACTAACTCAATAAAATAATTAATTAGGTTGAAAGACATATATAGATAGATTGCACTTAAATTTATTTTTAAAGATAAACTTAAATTTTACAAATTATGGCGTCAATTTTAAAAAATAGTCCTTAGAAAGCAGCTGCTTCAGTTTAAAAAAAGTCAGCTGCTCCTAATAGAATTTAAGCATATAATGATAGTGTTAGATCTCAAAAAAATGGAGAGGATTTGATTACTAGTAAGGACTTTGATTTTAAGTCTGGAGATACAATGGAAAAAGAATTAGAAGCAACGTAGAATTAAGGATAAAGCAAAATTATTAAAAGGCCTGATTATGTCAACGAAATGAGCATTTAAGACAAGCTAATTAACCAAAAGATTATAAAAAATATGAATAAAAAGATAACATTTATGAAGAACCCTCGTTTCCGTGTTATCCGCCCTCCAATATAATTCACTGATTTAAATACAAAGCCCGTAAATAATAAAAAATGACATTCAATTTTCAAGATAAAATTCATAATAAAGCTCATTAAAATTCTTAATTTTATCATTAAATAATGCAAAATTTCAATATTAACTTATTCATAGTTACACATTATTTATGTACTTAATTATCTTTATGATTTATATATTAGGGAGTTATAGTTGATATGAATGATAAAGAGTGTCCATTTAGAGCACACCCAGAGCAAGTTATCTTTTAAGAATATGAAATCGATAAAATATATGAAATTAAGCTTAATATTACTAACATAGATAGTGTTTCACGAAGAATTAAGTTCCTTCCTCCTTAATTGTAAGTTATCTTTTCCAAATATTCTTACTTAAATAAATAAATAATTAAATAAAATCTATCATATGAAATTAATAATAAAATATAATTAAGATTTTAGTTGAAAATTTTATCCTTTCATTTTTTTATCAAAAATCTATTTTATTTTTATAGGAGCTGTTTTTCTATCAAGGAAGTAAAATATCCTACTCCTCTTCCAAAGAGTGAGTCAGATGAAAAATATTTAGAAAATTAAGAGCTAGGAATGGTAGCACCTGGCATGAGTGTTATTTTTACTATTCAATATTATGCCTAATCTCTAGCTGAACAGAACGATGGCTTATAAATTATAAATGAAATAAATGCATTTACTGTAAAAATTAATATTTATTTTATATTTGCTCAAAACAAATACAAACCTTTAGTTAGCATCAAATCAGTAAAAAATTATCTTGATTATTTAATTAGGTGCCAATCAAAGCTAAAAGGAATCCACCTGAATTAAATTTGCCATAGGTTTTAGATTGCAAAAGTTGCTGGATAGGCGACAGAAGCCAGTAAGTATTTAAGATAACAAACAAAGGTGGAGATTGTGGGTTTAGATTTTTTAGTAGTGAAGAAGATGATGATTAAATGGACTAAGACACATTGTTTACTGGGAATTTTGTTTTATTTCCATGTGAATTTTATATGCAGCATGGAGAAACATAAGAGATAGTTGTTACATTTACTCCTGAGAAAGAAGGTGAAGAAATTAAGAAAATTATTTTAGCATGTGATAATCACACTAGTGCAGAATATACTTTAAAAGGAAGTGGTAATATGGCAGAAGTAGCAATTTACGGAGTTGATGACTTAAAGGTTTCTGATTTTAAACAAGAACTACAAAATATGAATAGGATGTTCTTTGAAAATGCACTTCCTGGAATTCAAAAAACCAGAAAATTATTGTTAAAAAACACTTCTGATGTCGAAATTAAATTTCATTGGAATTTATTTAAAGATAATATGATTCAATAAGATTAAAAATCAGCCAAGACCGATGCAGGTGGTAGTGATTATCAAACTCTTTTTGATAATAAAGAAGACTATTGCTTTAGCATTACTCCTAATTCAGGTGTATTCGAACCTTAATAAATAGTTGAATTCTAGTTCAGTTTTCTCACTAATTAACCTGTTCCAATTTTTGAAAACGCTACTTTTTTTATTGATGAAATACCATTTGAGAGTATTAGAAACGTTTCTCCATACCTTCAACAATACATGACATCAAAGGTAGCCCATCCCTAGAATCTACCTAAAGATAATCTTCCTGGTTTTGTTGGAAGTAACACAGCAAGGCCAAGTGTAGCCTATTTTGATCTAAAACTAGTAGGGCTGAGCACTTGGGCACCTGTTTCCATAAATAAACCTTTCCAATATTTTCCATCTCCTCTTGCAGTTCATTAGGAATATCAAGATATTTTTGTTTTGAAAAACGAATCAGCTACAACAATAAACTTTGATATTTCTATAATAACTACTGAGTCAGTAATATGCTTTGTGGAATAAGACACTGTAATTATTTATTCTTAATTAATATATATAAATTTTTCATAAGATTAATTAAAATTAATATGTGTTTGGGAAATTAAAATAGATTTTTAATATAAATAAAAAGGGTTCAATAGGTCCAAATTCTAAGTATGAAGTCAAAGTTACTTTTTCATCAGATGTAGTTGGATAAAACTAGAAAGCAATGCTTTAAATAAATTTTGATATTAGTCATTCTCTTACTTATGAAGTAATAATACTTTTAGCTAAATAAATATATTTTAAAGGACTTAATAATTATTACAGGTATTGGGAAACTTTGTAGGTCCAAGTATAAAGATAGCTTAGCCCATTCTAGATTTTGGATTAATGAGGCAATATGAAAATAAGACAACAAAGCTAATAATTGAAAATACATCTCCTGTAGCTGTTGAAATAGCTATAAGAGATATTAATTAAAAATTAAGTAATAAACACAATTTTTGGTTTTATTTATTAAAAAATATGCATACATATCAGAAAAGGGAATTTCAAACAGTATTCAAAAGTTGACCTCGCTTGGAACTATTGACCTTTATGGTCCAGATACTTTGCTTGATTAAGATGAGTATGAGCAACATCATTTGAAATGCTCTTTAGAAATAGAAGAGTAAGCACTTCTCATTTAACCATATGAAAAGAGAGCTATTAATGTAAAGTGTAAAGCTGGTGCGCCAGAATCGTACAAAACAATTCTTGAAATACAAGTTGAACATTCTAAAGATCCACTCTTCTTAAATGTTTAAGCAGAGATTCAAAAAATAATAGTCAGTTTAAATAGATTATCTCTTGATTTCCCTTGTATTTATGCTAACAACGTTAACATCATTGACCGCAAACACTCCAAATAATACATAGAATTACAAAATCTAGGTAAATTGATTCATGTTCTTTAGATTCACTCTAAACATTTTTAAAATAATAATTATACAGGTAATATCGAAGCTGAATTTGAATGGGAAATTCCAAACACTTCTGCTTACAAAATAGAGTTTGAACCATAAAAAGGGAAATTAAAACCAAAAACAAACAAAGTTATCAAAATAAATTTAGTAGTATACAAGGGAGAAACTTTAGATAATATTTTTGTTTGCAATATTAAAGATATGAAATATCCTCTAGGTTTTCAAATAAGCACAAAAGTTTTTGGTCTTTCAGTAAGCTTCGAAAGAATGATAGTTTAGGAAGATAATGAACTCAAGTAGAATTTAAAGGTAGCTGAAGAGAATGACAATACAAATTTATTTAACACATTAATAATGAAAAGTAATATCAAAAACAGTATGCTTCTTAAAAGCATGAGAAATACACAAGAGTTCAAAAATTTCGAAATAACATAGAAGCTCAGTAAATAAGCTAATAACACTTCTTTAAACACTGTCCCTACTAATTTCAAAAAGGAACCTCTTCATAAACTGGAATTCTTTGGGTGCTAGATTAATTAACCTAAATCAATATATGTCATTCTATCAAATACATCAGGAATTCATACTAAATTTAACATATATTCTGAAAATTATCAGCCGTTTACAAAAATCAAAGCAGACCTAACCTAATCATTCATCTAGCCTGATATTTCTCAAATTAATGAGGAAGAACATGAACACAATGAAAATGAATATAACTAAGAATAAGTCTAAGATTCATAACTCATTTAGGATTAATTATAATCACCAGAATAAAAGGTTAAGTAATTCAAATCCAACTAATAAAATCCTTCAATTACTATGTAAAGTGCAGTTAATGACAGTAATACATTTACAAAAAGTAAAGTTCTAGTGAATACATCGAATTATAGAATTAGCTAGCTCAAAAATAAAACAAACAGAATCACCACAGTATCTCTTATTACTGCTGACCATGAAAAAGTTAAAAATTTCCATTCAAAAGCAGGTTAGGAACTAAATGCAGCAAGAAAACTTGATAAAGAATAAAGATTCCATCTATAAAATGATAAAGGGTTTGCAATTGGTAAATAATCCATTTTTATTAAAAAATATTTTAAATAATTTATTTTTCATAAAAATAATTTAGTCTGTGAGCCTAGCAGTGGAAATTTAAGAGCTCACGAAGAGTAAATAATAAAAATTACAGTTTTTAATGACATTAGTGGTAAAATTGAAGATAATCTCTTCCTTGAAATTGAAGGACTAGAGACAAGAAAAATACCAACAATAGTTGATGTACAAGGTTCACCAGTAATTATAAGTCCCTATTAGTTAGGAATAAACTATAAAGGAGCTTACCCTGTATTTGATTTAGGTCACTATATGAAAAACGGAACTATGGTGGAGAGGGAATTTAAAATTACAAACACTGGTCCTAAAACAGTAAAAATTGAATGGAAAATGTATAATCTGAACTCAAATAATTAAGAACAAGATTTCTTTGATATTAAAATCTCTGATCCTGAATTGGGTTCTAGCGATATATGTAAATTAAATTTTGTTCCTATCTCTCCTCCTGAAGCTATTCCAGGTCAACCCTTTTTAATTGATCCTAGGTAATAAATGAATATTTTATTTAATCTTAACTAAAATGAGTTTAATCTTAGTTATGCATGTGACTAAAAATTAAGTTTCTTTAAAATTAATTTAGCCTAAAAATTACTGAAATATTTGATAAATCATAAAATTATAAATTTAATTCTTTGCATAATTTATTTAACTAATGAACTAAGAGTTAGTTTTTTATAAACCTTTTTGTCATAATAATTTTTTTAAAAATATTATTTTTATATAAAAAGCGGGATGATAATTCATGGAAGAGAAGAAAAGGTTTTCAAAGTTAAATTTTAAACAAATGAAACGAATGATTTTATTTCTGTTCTAATAGCATAACCAGTGATTATTGGAAAAGATGGATAAGAAGAATCCCATATAAAAATAGATAAGTTAATATTATAGATCCTCTCACATACTTAGAAACCTTAGCTTTACTTAGATAAGCTTGTATTTAATTAGAAAAAATTTATTTAATTATTTTTTTTAAGTTTTTTAATTCATCAAATAAAATAAAACACTAAAAATTCATCAAAAATGTTTTTATTTTGTCAAAAAAATAATCTTTAAAGTGTGAAAAATATCTAAAAGATTATTTTATCTTTAAAAATAAAAATACAAATAGTTTTATACATTTTTTAAAAAAATAGCTTACTCATAATGGAAAACATATTTTGACATTTGAAAAATGGGCTCTGTTCGATAATAAAAAGGAACACAAGGAAATCTGTTTGGTAAATAAAGGATTTGCCACTGTAAAATTTGATTTAGAAGTTGAAGGACCTTTTGAGCTCGACGATGTCAACTCAACTAGCAAAACAAATGTGTTGAATTCTATGATTATTAGATAATAGCGTTCACTTACTAAAGCCCTAAGCAGTAATAATTAAGGAAAGTTACCTCTTGCAATGACTTATACACTTGAATAGAATACAAATATGAAACTTATGATTAAATACAAAGGTTAAAAAGTTCATGATGAAGAAGCTTGGCCAATGACATATAAAAATTATGAGTTTGGTAAACTGAGAATCAAATACACAAATGGAGATGAATAAGAAATAGATTTAGAAGGCCACCTTTTACGTCCTCTCATATAACTAAATACTTCTGGCCACGAAGATATTCCAGGCTAAGAAGTTCAAGATTTTGGAACTGTGCATATAAATAATGTTAAAAGAATAGCCATATTCATTTCAAATATAAGCAAAGTACCTGCAAAATGGAAAATTCATCATATAAAAAACCCTTTCAAAAAATTCCTTGGCACTGCAACTATGACATAAGAGGAGTACGAAAATAATGCTATCACTGATGATTAAGATGTATTCCAGTTTTCTGTCACTGAGGTAAACTAAAATTCTACCTTTTATTTAAATATATAATTTCATCCACAAAATAAAAAAAAGGAATATTAAAAATTATCTAAAAATGAACATTTTTTGATAAACTTAATTAAGTTTTATTCTCAAAATATTTTTAATTATATTTAATTTTTAATAAAATAAATTGATTAAATTTGTTTATTAATAGGGTCTTCTTTATGGTCCTTCAATACCTGTCAAGAGCCTTCCAGAAACTTTGACTTTGCCAACTATGATAACAACTATGAAAAATCACTAAAATGAAATAATTCCTTAGTAAATATTGATAAATTTTAAGGTAAATTACATTTTTTAAATTGAGAATCCCAATTTTAAAATTAAATTAAAATATCTTAACAGCCTAAAAGAAATTTAATGTACAAATCAAAATATAGAATCAGTGTGGAAGAAGGTCCCACTGTAGATTTTATACTTAGAGGATAAGGAACTTATGATGAAGAAATAGAATAATGAATGAATTAAACAAGTGAATGATTTTAAAAGAAAATATTTATTATAATCTAAAAAATATTGTGTATATTTATTTCAATATAACTTATACTGTAAATTTAATATAAATTATTTACTTAATTGTAATTGTAATTTATTAATTAATTTTTTTTAAATTAAATAATTAAAAAAAATAAATATAAAACAAGCTATTTCTTGCATACATTTTTAATCATAAATTATACAAAAATAAATAAAATTTTAACAATTTAAACATAAAATAAATATGATCATAAACCAAGCTGCTTTTTTTTGAGAATTGATTGAATTAAATTTAATTTAAATCTATTGATTTCATTTTGTTAGTTTACTCGTTTTTTAGAAAATTCTTTTTTTATTATCAAATATTTTTAAAAAAGTTAGAAATAATTTAAAATTTTATTTTTAATTGTTTAAATTAAAAATTAAATCTAAACAACAAAAAATAATTAGAAAATTTTAAGTATAAAATCTTGAATGCAAAAAAATATCAAATTTTTTATATGTTTGTGTATTTATTTATTTGTTAATTTGCTTAATTATTTATTTTTTGTTTAATTATATTCGTTTATTTAAGTTTTAACAATCTAAAGTCAAATATTTTAACTTATGCAAACGTTTAAGCTTTATTTTATAATAAAATTTATTCTAAAAGTTGAATATTAAATAAAAAAAATAGATTAAAATAAAAATTTAAGAATGGCTTGATAAAATGTAGTGTTTTTTGTTTTGTTTGTTTGTTTGTAGGCACGTATTATTAGTTAAGGTAAATAAATAAGTAAACTATTGATATAAATGCAAAGTAAATCAGATTTAATATCTAGATAGAAATATGTTAATTATATTTTGATTAAAAGAAGAATTTTATATAAATACCATCAACCAGCAAGAAAGGAGATCAAAAAAATGTGTTTACAAAATTAAGAGATAAAATATGCAGTGAAGATTGATTTGAGCTTATTGGTTGATTTAATTAATTTAAATTAATACTTGATTAGATCAGATAATTTTTCTTTTATTAAATCAATTATAATAAATTTTTTTTGGCTGAAATATTATTAATGATACAATTCTACTTAGGATATTTTGCTTCGCCAAGAGCTGAAAATTATAATTTGCTGTTTAGTGAAATAAATATCGTTGATTATATTTAAAATATAAGTTTTTTCTTGTATGCTTTGTAGATTTTATATCATAAATTTATAAACTAAACTTTATCTTATATTGAAAAATAGAATGTAAGGAAGGTTTGTATAAAATATCTATATATATACTCAAACAAACTATTCTATCGCTTGAATTAAGTATTAATTAAATTGTTATGTTAATATTTGCATTATATTAAATATTGATGAGATTTTCTATCTTATTGTTTGTTAATCATTCATTTTTTTATGTTTATCCTAATTAAATATTAATCTATTTCTACCCTAAAATTCATGCTTAAAAATCTTTTGTCTTTTCTTGAATATTTACCATTTTTGCTAAAAATTATTTAAGAACTAAAAAATGCATTTTTGTCATCAATTATTCATTCAATCTTTAGCTTACTTTAGGTGAATTTTTTTTATAATATTAAAATTTACTGAATTTATTTTTGAGATAAAAATTTGGTTTGTGACAAGATCATATAATAGGTCGATAGTAATTAATTGAGATGTGACCTTTTTTATCTATTTGAGAAGATCTTCTTTGTCCAAAGATTTTTTGTAATAATAAATTGTGTAAACATTTTTTATTTTCCAATTAAAGAATAAAAATAAAAAATATTCTTTGCTATAAAAATGGATCAATTATAAATTTTTAAAATGTGAAAAAATAATTTATTTTTTGAGTATTTATTTTTTATGTTTGAATCAACTTTTTTTGATTGGTTGATTATTTTTTTTATTTAATAATCATCAAACCACAACAAATAAATAGATAATTAAATAAATTAATTAATTAATAAGGTTATTTTTCTATTTTTTTAAGCTTTAATTTCTTAATGCTGGAATAATACATTTTTACAATCATTATTATAAATTTTAGAATATTTATTATTTACATTTTGAAATACAAAATAACTTATTTAGGATGTAAGATTATAATATTAACTCATTCTTACTACATTCACGCAAAATAAATAACTAATTGTCCTTATGATTATAAAATAATGATTAATAATCAAAGTGGCTACTTGCAACATAATTAATTAATAAAGTGAATTCAATTAACTGCATTCAAGCAAACTATAAGAAAAGACTAGTAGAAAATAGAACTAACAATAAGTTCCTAAATTAAATTGGTTAGTTAGTTAGTAAGTCAATTGTTTGGTTAGTTTGTTTGCTTGTTTATAAATATTCAATAAAAAATTAGTCTGATGATCTTAAGCATTAAAACATTAATTCTCTTTATCATGTTATTATTTTATTCATATTAATATAAATACATTTATTTATTTTAGAATGTATTGTCTACATTAACTTATGTGCTTCTTTTTTGAAGAAGATATGAATATATATTAGTAAAAATTTTATCAAATTTTGAATAAGTTTTACAATAAATACTCTTTAAATATGTTAAAAAATACCATTATAATATGATAGAAACTTCAAAATAAAAGGTAAGGTATAAAATGTTAAGGCTTCAACATCATTTAAGTTTTATTTTTTGGCAATATGTAATTTACAGCAGATGTTAGTTAGATAAATATAAAAGATTCTAACTTACAATTAATTATTGATTTCTTTAAGATAAGGAAGATAGATAGATAGATATAAAGAAAGATATGATTTTGTATCTTTTTAAAACCAAAAAAAGAGTTATAAGCTAGATTGAATAGTTGTTCGATCTATTGACTGATTGATTAAGTTAGTATAAACAAGGTTTCAATCACTTTTATTTAAACGTAAAATTTAACTTATTAGAAAAATATTAAGTGATTGTTTATTAAATGAAATATCTTAAGGATATAGTACATATTGTTTATTTTATTATGCAATATATAATACTGTCATAGAAAAAACTTAATTTAATTTATAAATCATCACCTTTTTAGTCAGTTTATTAATTGCTGCCAGCAAACTATAAACAATTAAACAGTCATCTATCTTACAACAAAAAAAACAATAAATAAATTAATAATTGCTCAATTAAATAAACTGCCATCTTTTATAATATTTACTTTGGTTTAATTACTTTTTACATTTGAAAAAAGTGAACAGCTAAAACTATCTAAATGATATTTTAAATAATTAGCAATAAAGGAGAAGATTATAATACACTGGATCAAAAAAATCTAGGAGAGCAATTATATTATTTGTGGGCATCTTTGCTGATTAAAATCAAGCAGAGGAATATGCAAAAAAATAAATTATTAAGATTATTAGTTCTAAATATTTTTTTATCTATGTAGTTTCACTGGTTAGTAATTATTCTTATACAAAAATTTAATTACAGACACATAATATTGATTTCAGCAAATGTTATTAATTTCTCGCTTAATTAGATAAATACAAAATTAATTTATCTCAGTTTGACTACTCTCGAATCAGATTAATTTTCCTTATAATATTCTTAAACATATATAAATAAATCCTTTTATAAAATCCTACTTAAAATAAATACAAAGAAATAAATTAGCAAACGGATATTCAGCGCCCTTCCCTTCTTAAAACAGATTTTTATGAGTTTAATAGTGTAATCATTTATTTTAATATAGATATAAAATTTATAGCAGAAAAGAAAAGCATGAAACAAGCAAGTACTGTTTATTTAATGGACTAGTATTTTGATTTCAATTATTATAAGTAATTTTTACCACAAAATAAAACTTTTGTCAGAAAAATCTCATATCACTTTCATATTCTTAATTCAGTTTAAAATCTATTCTATTTATCGAAGTTTTTAATGGCTCTTTTATTTATTGGTTTAAGATAAATAAAATTTAAATCAAAACTATTACAAAAAATAATAAAATTCTATCTTATATTTGAAAAACAATTACAAAGGAGAATGTTTTAAAATTTTAAGGGGAGAATTCGCTTGAAATCATAATAAAAGAATAAGTCTACGAAATTAAATATCCTGAAAAAATTAGAATAACTAAATCCAAGTATATTTTGTCATTAAAATCACAAATCTTTTTTTATCATAGAAGGATAGAAGGCAATTAAATAATTGAATACAAATAAAGATAATTTTGACAGGTGTTAAGAAATAAATTAAGTGAATGGTTATTCTATACCAAAAAGTCTGCTTTTTAAATTGTTTGTAAATATTTATTTATTTATTAAATCGGGGGCCTCATTAATCATAGGAATCTTCAGAGAAAAAAGGAAGATAATAATCAAAAGCTTTCTTTGGTAAGTTAAGTCTTTTTATTCAAATTAATTTTAAAAAAGCAGAATAAATACTTGCTAGCTTATCTTTAAAATTTGTAAATTTTTTTATGGATTGATTTATTTATTATGTTTGTATTTTTCGCATAATTTGATCAAAATAAAGTAGTTTAAAAACCATCTAATCTTAGTAAAGAAAATTTGATCATTGAACAAAAGTAACTTTAATAAGACTTGTGGGTTTTATTTATGCCTTAATATTTCGTTTATGCTGGAAAGATTGTGAATAAACTGCATATAGATAAATATTTGAAAAGTAATTTGAGCAAATTTAATTAGTACTTTGATTGAGTTTTCCAGTAAATGGCTAGTTTACAGAATGAATCAAATTATTTTGAAGATATTAAATTTTCTAGATCTATTTGGAATAAAGACTGACAAATTTAATCAAATTAGATAAATAGATTTGATTCTCTAAAATATTTATTAGTTTGTTTTTATCTTTTATTTGATTCTTTTTATCTATCAATTTATTTGATTCTTTTATATGTGATTTTAAATTTTGTTAGAGAAGTGTAAATAAATCTAAACAAAATAAATAAAAAATGAAATAAAAAAAGAAGCAAAAAGAATAACAAATTATTAATTTATTTGTTTTTTTGTTTGCTTTTTTGATTTTTGCTGCAGCATGTATGTCATACAGTGCTTATCTAAAAAAAAGTATTACTTAATTTAATGAAGGTATGTATTAATTAATTAATATGATAGAAAAGGCATTTCAGCTAGTTTAATTAAGTTTTTACCTATCTGTATTTTTAATTAAATTTTTTTTTTTTGTTGCTGTCTTTACTTATTGCCTTTACTATCTTTTACATTATTTATTTATTTGTTAATTTGATTGCTTGCTTGCTTGTATGCTTGTTTTGATTTTGTTTTCTTTTAATTATTGAATATTTATTTATTGATTTTGATTTTGCTAGCTTTATTATTTATTGGTTGTAAGAAAGAAAAAAATATGTTTTTTATTGATATAATCTACAATAAATCAAAAAGCAAATAATTAATAAACAAAGAAAAAATTGATAATTAAAAAGAAAGAATCAAAACACAAAAGGAAATACAAAGGTAACTTTCTTGTGTATTATACGATTTTGTATACATTCCTATTTTTTTAAAATCTCAAATCTCACATGAAAGCTCCTTCAGAGCCTTCCAAAAGCGTTAAAGCAAAAAATAAATTGGCATTTAACATCGCTAAGTTTAGGTTTTGGTACGCCAACGAATACTCTAATGAAGGATGAGAGTCAAATAAACTAATACTTACCATTTTTTATAAAAAAAGGTTGACCAAATTCTTGGACAGAAAGAGTTTTGTTGTTAATTTATGTCCTAATCTCAATCATCAACCTTATATGAAAACGATTCATATTTGTCTGAATCTTTGACTTCTGGTAGCAATATGCTCAACGATAAGAACAATTACACTAGAGGAAGAGCTTCTCAAGTGAGCAACCAGAGTATTCTCTATGTAGGTAGAAAGAATGCTTCTATGGTTTAGCACGTCGTTTAGAGCTCTCCCTAACATTTCTCTATTTCAAATAAACTCAATGAATCCTTTGGTAATATATTACAAAAATATATATAAATAAATACATTTAGTTACTTTTTCTAATTCAAAGTAAATAAATGTGCATATAAAAGTTCATTTTTTCTTTCATTCTGCTTAGTTAGTTAATTATTTAATAATTTAGAAAGGTGATGAGTAAATAAATGCTTTCATTTATCTTGCTTAAATGCAATTGGCATTTATTTAATTGCAAATAAATTTACAAATCTACTAAAAATTGAAATTTATTTCATAAAAACTATCACTAAATTCCTCCTCCAATTAATTTTATTATAATTTTTAATTAGTTCATTTTTAGCTATTACAACTTATTAAGCTACTTCTAAAATTTATTTGAAGTAATAAATTTGCAAATTTGCAATGAGTTAGTGAGTGAGTGTATAATAAATAATACCACTCAAACCTAATTTTCATCTGCTGAATATTTCAATTCAAAGCAAGATGATTTTAAATTTCCTAAAACACTTCTCTCTTGCATTATTTTTGAATGTTATTTTGTAGAAATTAATTTTGCCCACATCAACAATATAAAAAATGACAAATGCATTGAAGCAAACAAGTATTATTTATTTAAATCTTTTAAAAGAGGAAAAAAATAGAAGAAAATTTTAGAATATTTAAAACATACATAAAAAAATTTAATTTATAAATTTGAAAAGCCTTCCAAATTAAAATAGAGTTTTATTCCTCTTAGAATATCCTTTCAAATACTAACTAACTATTCTACCCCTTTTATCTTTTTGAATTAAGTTTTCTCAAAGCGGATCAAAAAGAAAGAAATATTATCTAAAATAAAATAACTCAATCTTATAATTTTTATTTAATTTATTCTATAGGATCAGATCTAGTTTAGGACTGTAAGTTTTTGTTTATAAATTTTTTTTTTACACTTATTTTAAATGATAAATCAAACTCTGCAAATAATATATTTGCTTCTTGCGGGATCTAAAATTTGCTTAGTGATAAAAGTCTAGAACATTTAGAAATTAAATTAAGAGTAAGAGAAATTTAAGAGATTGGAGTGAGTGTGAATGCGTTAGTAGGGAATTACATCAAATACTTGGATTAGATTTATTTAGGCTTTAAACGTGAAATAGAAAGATAGATTAAAGTAAAATAAGATATAAACTCTATATATGATGATGATATAGATTAAATTCTGATTTTTAAAGAATAATCTGGCAATAGAATAAAAAATACTAATATTTCTTAATGAAGAGTTGACTTAATACGTTAATAATTTAATAAAAATACTTGAACTATAAATTATTAATTTTTAAAACTGTATCGTCATACATATGGAACTTACTCTAAGCATTCATTAATTAGCAATGATAATCAATAAAGCTAAATTAGTTCTAACACAGGAATAATTAACTCTATTACTAAGTATCAAAATAATGCAAAAGAATAGATTATTCAATGTAGAAGAAACTCTTTTTATTTTTCTTCAAGTAATAAACCAATACGCTGCCTCAAATTACTCTAAAACCACAAAATGCGCTTCTTTGTAACCTTTTTCACATGATTTATTTTATTTTGCAATTTTGTAAGATACCTTTATTTAAGGCTGAATATGACGTTATAGGAAACAATTACACTGAACAATAATAATGATGATATTTAATAAATGCTAATTAAATGTACTATCAATACGAAATCAGGGTATCTGCTCCTTTAATTATTTTCTTTTAACTGGAGGTTGTTTTCCTTAAAAAAATTAATTTAGTCAGATTAATTTGCTATCTCCTTTAATATTACAAAGATCATGCGAATGAAATTTAATTACATGCATTTTGAATCCAAAAAACCTTATTAAATATTATATGAGCTATTTATTAGATTTCTAGAGAAATAAGGATTAACTGGTGGTCAGCCTAATCTATAATATATTCTTCATTAAAATTTTGATAAACTTACTTTTATCTTCTACTGCAATTTTGTTTGTAAATTTGCGTGAATAAAAAAATACGAATATTCATAGTACAAATGTGAAATATTTTGCATGAAATCGAATTCTACTAAATTTGAATAAATTGACTAATACTCGTTAATATTTGGTGCTATTGATAATTTATTTGCTTTTATTGACGAAATTTCTCTGGAATTAATAGTGAAATATAAAGAGAAATTTAAATTGCTTAAGTTGTGATTATTAATTGCGCTTTAACTTTTCTAGCCTAGTCTAATTAATATTTGCAAAAATTAGCCATACAAAACCTATCTTAATTTGTGTAAGTCTTAAAGTGCAAAAAATTATGAAATCCAATGCAACGTTAACTTACTCACATCCAGCACTCATTTCTCTCCCTACATATCTACTTACATTATTTGAATTATCTGCGTATTATTTCATAGATTTGCTTCATCATATCCTAAAATCTTTCACATTATCCTTTTTAAACAATGAATAAAGATTTATCAATCAATCGATAGATAATAGATTGATTTATAGTTTGATTTATCATTTAAAAGCGAATTAATAAATGAATACCAAAGAATATTTAAATAGTTAACTATTTATGTAATATATTATTTATTTTTAAAAAGAAGATAATAGCACTCAGCACAGAAACTCTAGCTTCTCAAATAGTAATGGTGGGGGATCTTTCATATCTCGTAGTGGTAATGGTAATTTACATATTTAATTGCATCTATACATAAAGAGAACTTAACTAAATACTTATTTATCCCTCCCTCCCTTCTTTTAAATTTAAATTTTTTTATGGGTTTGAATCTAAAATAAAGCTCACTCAATCAATAAATCACTCATAGTGGTCCAACATATTACTTTCACTTATATTTTTAAATTATTTATTTATTTATTTCACTTGAAGGTGAAACTAAATTTTCACATTATTTGAATCTTATTTAAAATAAATGATTGAATCTATAAGACAAAGTGAATAAATATGTTTGTTTATAAACAGTAATCTTATATTCCTTACTGGCTTTATTTTATATTTAAATATTTTAGTTTATTCATAATTATTGATTGATCATAATTTTTATAGTGATAATATTATTTAAACTTCACTTCGAATTAAAATCGCACCAAATATTTTAAGAGAAATGAAGATTTAAATAGAATATCTATACTCCCATTTAGTTTAATAGCATACTATGAACCAAATTAGCGCAAAGAATCAAAAGAGAATAAAAAATTATTGAATATTTTTTATAAAAAATTGACAGATTTGTTTTTAATCCGAGTAGATTTAAATTTTGATTTCTACTTGCCAAAAATCATTAACTAATTAATTAAAAACTAAAAAAAACCAAATAGTCATTCAATTACACAAATATCTTTTTAAATTCTCCTACTTTTTCCTTTAACATTAAGATTTTTTAATTAATTAAATAATAAACAAATTTTTTCCCCACACTTTATACTTTACTGTAAAAAAAAAAATTAGTTTATCCTTTCAGTTTTTAAAAATACAAAGTAAATTTTGAATAAATATCTTTTTAAGAAATGAATGAATTATACTTTTCATGAATTAATTAATAATTTTAACTTAAAAATTATTTTTTAATAAAAAACAGGAAGAATATTATCTGACCAAAACTTAAGCCCTCTTTGCAACAAGTTATCTGACCTTTCTAATGGTGGTGGATTCAGCAACAGCTTTAATTATGGCAATCGCTAGATAAATACATCAACATCGAGCTATTCATCTCTCAATGACAATATTGAAATGAGTAACTCTCTTCTCCTTGCTAAAGAATATTTAGGTAATTATTGAATAAATCAACAAAAATACTTTAAAATTACAACAATACTAACTTTTTTATTTAAAACTGATATTTCATCACATTATTATTAATATTAATCTCTTTTATAGACCTTTTTCAAAATTCTAATTCAACTAAAAATATCAATTTTTATAATAAAGAAAAAGACGAATCTCTGATTGATTAAAATATTTTTGAACTCCTTTTTGAAGATTTACACACCCTCAACTCGAATAGCATTAAAGAATACTACAATAAAATTATAACATCTTTCTAGAATGATGATGATTACTCATAATTTTTTAATGAAAACCAATTCATTGAAGACTAAGTCTCAAGCAAAAAAATTATTAATTTATAATCAAATTCATCAATCTGCACAAATTTAAATAGCTTGAATGATGTTTCCTCAACTTCTCCTATGAATGAAGCATTTGATTTCTAAACCTTTGACACTATTTAAGACTTTGATAATTCCTAACAAAACTTAAAAGTTGGCTCTGCAATGAGTTCATTAATTTTCCAAATCAACCCATAAAAACACTTCAGAAATACCATGATTCTCACATTTGACTACTTTATGACTCCTTTGACATTCTTGCTCTACGTGATAAAATGCGTAACTAATCTTTGAATTATTATTTTATTTCATTAATCATAATTGTTAAATAAAATTTTTTTCATTTATGAATATTTTTTGATAATTTATTTTAGTTGAATTTTGAAGAAATAAAATTTTTTTATATTTGTAGTATTATATTCCCAAGCCAATCGGACTCAGTGAAAAGGAAGAAGAAAAATTCGATAAAAGAATGGAATAAATTCGTATCAATATTGGATAAGTTATCAGAGATTACGTAGAAATCCGTTCATCTGAATTCCTTTAATCAAACATCACTAGCGTATTGTTAATTGTCTTTTTCCAAACAATTCCTTCTAATAGCAAGGAAAAAAGCTTGTTCACTCAACTTGCTGAAAAAGTGAAGGAGAAAAAAACTTAATATGAGCTATAAAATTTGTAAAAAAGTAAAAGATAAGCAATTATTTATAATAGCTCATGTTTTAGTACTAACTCCTCTTCAACTTATCCTCAAAATATTTACCAAAAATCAAACCCTCAAAATACTTCATTCTCTGCCCCAAACAATTTGATGTGTTTAGGCCAAAGCAATTCTAGCATTCTAAGTGAAGAATTGATGAGAATCGAAAAGAAAAATAAATAAATTCAACGTCACCTCTCCCTTTACGAACTCTCCCCTCTGTTACACTATCAAACTGAAACTATAGCAAAAGTCTTAGCTCAAATTGATGCCAAGTGGTTTATTCGTTTGAACATCAGCAATCTCATTAACTCTAAAGTAAGTGTCTGTAGTAAATCTTCCTATGTTAAGAAGTACTCAAACCGTTTCAACTATTATGTTTACTGGTTTAAGAACTAAGTGCTTAACTAAAAATAGATTGATAACAGAGTTAGCCAAATCTACTAATACATCGAAATCATGATCAAGCTTGATCAAGAATATCGCTCATATCCCACAGTTCATGCACTCTACACAGTTATTTCATACATGCAAAACTAACTTCCCTAAACATGGAAGCGTTTAGAAGAAAAGCTTCGTGCTTAAAAGAAGTGGGTTTCCATCACACTTGAATTACAAGAATATCAAAAGATGTTCAACGATAAATATTATGGCTACAAACAAACAATTCTGAAACATCAAGAAAATCGTAAAAGCTATATTCCTTGCATGAACCCTTACTTACAAGATATCTATAACGATGAAATGAAATTCACTGCTGTCTCTGCTAAGAAAAACAGTAGTGGAAACCAATTAGTAGTTCCCAGAGTCATTCACGAAAGAATAGGCGACCGTCTTTTGAACCTCTCAGTCTTACAAAAGCAATGTGAGAAAGTTTTCCCCAACCAAGACAACGAATACAAAGATTTTAGAAACACCAGGAATGATGAAAGCCAACTCTATACAATCTTCAAAAAGAAATGCGTTAAAGAAATCGATGATCTCCTCCTTTAAAATTGTATATAATTTAAAGATCTAGAGCTATACTTTATCGGAAAGTGCAAAGAAATAGAACCTAACTGACTCCTCAGATTACGAAGTGGAAATTTAATCAAAGATTTTCGCTTAACTAATAAGTTACATTATTCTAAACGATCTATTAAGACCTTAATTTAAATATTATTATTCCCATCAAAATCTAAATCAATCCTCTAAAAATAAAACTTATAAAATAATAAATTAATTAATAATCTAATCTTCTCTAATTATCATACTAAAGTCTTGAATCTTAAAACCAAAACCTGAAAGTAGGAAATGAATGAATGAATAAATATAATCCATCTAATTAATAACAAATAATTAGCAGATATTAATAAATAAAAAAAATAACCAATATTAACTTATAATAAATTTATTTTTTTTCAATTGATATGCTTGAGTGTTCCTGAATTTTACAATTAATAAAATATTTAACTTAAAAATCCTATAAACTATAACAACAACATCAAATGCTTAAATGCAACATTTGAATATCCTTGAGCTTTTAACAACTAACAAAATTTTAAAGAACGAATTAGCTCTTTCAAAAATATTTTTATTACTGAACTTTAATATATTTATTACCCTGAAAATTACACTACTCTAAAATAATAACTAACTAACTAACAAACTAATTAACAAACAAATTAATTATCTTTCTAACATTCCAAACAACGAATTAATCGCTCACTCATTTATATAAACATACACAAAAACAAGCATTCTTGCATAAAAAATGAAGAAAAAGAAAAATTTATAATCTAGATATAAAATATATTTCCTGAATTAATTAATTAACAGAACTAATTATAATTAAAAAAATTTAGAGTTATATTAAATTAAATAATTACCATTAAACTCAAGCAAGCAGCTACTTAAATACATATTTACTTAATTACTTAAACATTTTAACTAATAAGTAACAAATTTTTACTAATAAATCTTAACAAATGGTGATTTAATTAATTATTAACAGAAAAAATCTTTATATACAAAAATTATTCATTCATAAATCTTAAAAAAAGAATAGCCCTAAAAAATAAATAAATAATTTCTAAATAAAAGAATCATAATTTAATTTTTATATTGTTATTTAAACCTAATTTAACTTTGAACTGTAAATACTATATTTTAAACTTTATACTCGTTCGTTTCATCAATCAACTCATAATAACTTACTAGAATTTTAAGAAATTATTTTTTTTATATTTTAGCTAAACATTAATAAAATATCTTAATTCACATTATGAAAACTTTGTTGAATTTTTTAATTATATTAAATTATTAGAACAAATACAAAATCAAATCTCTTAAAAAAAGATAAACAAATACAAGAAATTAATAGTAATCTTTTATATCATGAATTTAAAGCAAATAATAATTTAAAAATCTACTTTTTGAATAAGATTAAATATATTAAAAGAAACATTTTCATAAAAATTTAAATCTTAGAAGTTTGGTTGGACTATTTTTAAGATATATTTGTAAATAAAGATAATAAAATTAAGTAAAAGATATAAAACTTATAGAATATTAAAGATTACTCGTTCTTTAAGTTATAAAATTTGATAAAAATTTGTTTTTCTTTTTATTTTGATAAAATAATCATGCCTAATTTCAGAATTGTAAATGCTCTAGAAAATATATTTTATGTTTTATAACTTATTAAAGATTTTAAATTTGAAATTGAAAGATTCGTATTATTAAATTATATATTTTTTCAGGGATATGATCTAAGAAATTATTTTATTTAAGTAAGAAAAAATAATAAAACAAATTTTTTTATCTAAATTACCACCCAAAAATACATTTTTATTTATTTTGATTTTTTTTGAATAATTGTATTAAATTATTTTTCAAGTATGAAAAATATATATATACTTTAACAATCATTAAATCAAAATTTTTATATCAAAACAATAGCAACAACTGTAATAACAAAAAATCTAAATTTTAATTTAGTATTTTTAATTTAATTCTAAACATATTATCCATAATTTCTCCCTGAGAGTGTGTAAAGTTTTTATCTTTTTATTGAGGAGAGGAGTTTTTATTTAACTTTTTATTAGGCTCTATTTACTACCGTTTAGGTGCTTGGAGGATAGTAATTACAGTAATTGTTAATTTTAAATATAAAAAGTAATAATTATTTCAAATATAAAATAAGCGTTTTTTAGTGAAAATAAGGTTAGTAATGTAAATTTTGTTTGGTTAAAATGTGATTTTTATACAAATTTATTAAAATTTTAAATTTCATCATAAAAATATGTAATCTTTTAATTAAATAAGTAGTAATTAAAGAAAATCTAACAAATTTATAACTTTTAATGTAAACCTATAAATAAGAAATATTAGAACACATAACTTAAAGCTTAGAAATATTAAATAATTTAGATATCAGACCAAATAAATAAATACAAAAAAATTTCTAATAATATATCTTTGTGTGAATTAATTAATTAAATTCAAAGCTAATAAAGTATTGTAAACTAAATCAAATCTCGTTTTTTACGCCTTAAATATTGTCTCTCTTATTTTTTTAATTTTATAACTCAAAAATTTATATTTTTTTAATTGGTTTTTTGATCAATAAATTCTTTTATAAATTTTTTTATTTGACTAGGTTTTTAAATTTCGATATTGATTGCATTCTAAAATTAATTATTTTAAGACCAGTCAGTCAGTTCTAGCTTTAATCATATCAATTTTGAGAAATCATACTTCTCAATTAATTTAGATGAAAAACTGAAAAGCTCATTTTTTATATAACTCTTTTTAAATTGAGAAAATATAGTTTTATTTATCAATAAAACTTAAAGGCAAATCTTTATTAAAGAATTAAAAATACTAAGTAATGGCAATTACATTTAAAAAATTAAAATTTTTGAAAATAAATTTGGTTGGTATTTATTTAACTTTAAATTTTTACATATTGTTCTATGAATTAAAATTCAAATTAACTTAATTTCTTTTTTAATGCTACTTAAAAACTTTTTTATTACTCCAATAAAAAATTATAAAATTATTTTTTAAACAAATTAAGCAATCGATCAACAATTTGTTTTTTTAGTATTTATTTATATGATAAATGATTTTGATTGAAAAATATTGTGATAAATTAATATAATTAACTAAATTACAGTGTAAATAATTGATAAATACCAAAAAACTAAGAATTAAATTATTAACCAATTTTCTGATATCAAAGTAAATTTACCGATTCAGTCAATCATATCGAAAGTAATCTTTAGAAAATTGAATATTTTTTACATACCTACATTTTGATTACAGGTCTTTATTTTTTACAGCTATAAAATATAGCTAGAAATTATTTTTAGGGATATAAATTATTAAAAAAAATAATACACTTAAAATTCATCTAATTTCTTTCAAACAATTGTCTTTTAAAAGATCGATTTTCTCTTTTTACTGCAATTTTTACTTCAAAAATATTTGTTATAAATTTTGTTAAGAAAGTTACTCGAGTACAGATAATTTTTTATTTAATTCCGCGATAAAGAAAATCAATAAAATATTTTTTTTTAAAACTATTAAAACCAAGCAATATTTGCCAAGGATTCATATAATTTTAAGCAATTTGTTTTTAAAAGATGAATTATCTCCTTTTTTTTGGTTTTTCATTTCTAAATTTTTTTGAAAATCTTTATTTACTTCAAAAAATTTTTTACAGATTTTGTTAAGAAAGTTACTCAAATATATAAAATCTTCTTATCAACATTTAAAATAAAAAGTCTTATTTGATTAGCTAAAAAATAATAAAAATTCAAAGATTTTGCTTATTTTCAAAAAATAATTATTCTTTGTAATTGTATTCTAAAAATAAAGTTTTATATGACTTATTTATTTTTTTTAAATTATAATTTACTCCCCAAGCTTGATTCCAAGATGCAGGCATTTTTCATGAATAAAAACC